TGCTGAGATATTCTAAGGGTGAAATAGAAAAGAGCCAGTCTGTCACAGTATTCTACTGTCCTGAGATAAACACACCCAAACTACAAGTCTACGAACAACCACCAAACTGACTAGATTTGGTGAAGTCGAATAGCTAGAATACCTATCATCCAGTGAACGTTTCCAAATACATGGAGTCGTACTGAAGCAACAAGAAGTGAGCGCAAAAATGTCCCGGTCGGTTTTTAAACGCTCACGACAAAAACATTAGAGATATTGGTTAATGGATGTCTCTATGTGAATGAATGTCTGATCACGTGTTACAGTTTACACACACCCTTCTTACTAGCACAACTTTTAGTTGCTTAAATCACCTGATGACTCAGTCGCTTTCTTCTGAAATTTATACACAGGTAGGAGTTATCTGGTGACCGATACCAGAACTAGTGGTATACGAAACCTTAGGGATTAAATCGAAGGTAATACAATACGTGCCTCACAACAGCGAGGTAATACTTCAAAACTTTGCACATGAGGAATTTTGTAAATTGCAACCGAAAGCCTTCTATGAATGCGAAAAAATCATCTGGTTAACAATAGGTCGGGAAGTTTAGTCCTAACGTGATTTACATTTCTCAAACTTTTGCTGTGTTCTTACGCAACAAAAGTATCATTTCCAATCCAAAGAATCTATTCTGAGCTATACGTTCGGTAGATTACTTCTTTTTTTGTGTTTCACTTAAATTAATAGTTAACTGTGGTTTTGCCTCAGCTCACTATCGGTTTTTTTTATAGTTTTCACGTAAGGGCTAGCTTTAGCTTATCGTTAACTGTTTTTATACTTTTTTGATAGTTTTTGTTTACTGTGTGTTTTTTTAACGGTAATAAATTTACTGCTTATATTTTTAAGACAGTCTAAATCACTACCCATGAAAAATTCATGCAAGAGACCTGGTTGCCGTTTTGCCGTTACATCTGGCATGCAATGTGACGACTGTAAAGGTTGGTTCCATGAGGCATGTACAGATCTAACAGCAGCAGCCTATAGCAGACTCAGCAAGTCTGATCGTAGGTGGGTATGTGTTACCTGCAACACCGATACGGTAGTTATGTTGGGTACTATCATTACTTTACTGACAGGTCTGAGAGATAAGTTGTCTAAGAATTCGGTAAATGATATCATCATGACAGGTAACAAAGCTGGAACGCATAGGGCAAATAAGAAAAAGGATACTGACAGGTCGGTTATCGACGGTGCTGTTAACAGCACGAGTGATGATGTGCTGAAACTCAGCACCATCTTAACATCGGCTGTCATCGACTCCCTCAGTAAACTTGGGTCCCCCGGGGAACGGTCCTTGAATGAGACAGTGGTTCCTAAAAATCCTGTAGGTGGATGGACTCACGTTAACAGGAGTAATAAAGCCCAAGCGTCCCCTCCGAAACTGAACGTCCCAAGTATCGTGCGGAAATCAATTGATGCTTTGGCCGCACAGTCTACACCCAAGACTGTCCGCCCTCTCAGTTTGCAGGGCAAAAACGATAGGATGCTCTGGGGAGAATTAAACAAGAACCTTGAACTCCCTAGAATAGAGCCTTTGATCGTCACACGGCTCACTCGGGGGAAGGACTCTAACCACCTAAATCACCCGAGGCTGCTTCGTGTTACACTTAAAAATGCCTCCGACGTAGAGGACGTCCTGCTAGCCAGTCACTTACTGAAGTCCGATGGGAACGTAAGAATACTGCCCGACATACCATATTCTGAACGAAATCTCATCCGGAACATCCCTAAGGAATCTCGCGAGGCGTTTTTCCGTGGACAAAATATCGTTGTGCAAGGTGTGCCGGAAAATATGGACCCAGCTCAAGCAAACTCTGATATTCGGGAATGCAAATTCATCAAGCATTCCCTAAAACTCAAGAACATATTGACCCAACAGGTAATGAGACTGGCCAAGAGAGATGGAGACTCTAGGCTCGTATAGTTAGGCTACCTGTCCACTCACACACGGCTCATACAGACAAACAAGAAGAGGCTCACGCGTTCCAAATCGAAAGCATAACCTGCCTATACACGAACGCCGCGAGCTTGCCAAACAAAATGGATGAGCTACGTGAACTTAGCAACGCTAATGATGCCATCTGATAGGAATATCCGAAACTTGGATAACGTCTCAGTTTACGGACCAAGAGTTGGCAATAACTGGGATGTCTTTATTTCGCAGCGACAGAAAAACAGGAATGGAGGTGGAGTAGCACTATACGTACGGTCATGCCTGAATGCGCACCAACTTCACAACCAAGAGTTTCACAATCTTGACGAGTCAGTATGGTGCTCAGTAAGATTATCTACCACCTCGAGGTGCCTAGTTGGGGTCGTTTACAGGAAGCCCACTGCCGACATCGAATATGGCAAACGTCTGCTGGAAGGATTAACTCGCTCTACGCGTCTCGGATTCTCTCATATCCTGATTCTAGGGGATTTCAATCTCCCTAGAATCAACTTCGTGGAACATACATACATTGGTGGTGCCAACTCTACTGAAGCTCTGTTCTTCAACCCTATCGGCGATCTGGGATTATTTGAAAATGTGAAGTCGGCAACCCGTTGGAGAAACAGTCAGACGCCGTCACGCTTAGACTGGGTATTCACAAATGAAGAATTCCTAGTTGACGACCTCTCAATCCTGGCTTCGCTGGGGAAAAGTGATCACGCCGTCTTATCATTCAGCTTCGTCAGCAAAACGGTGCTAAGATATCCTACTAGCAACAAGCGCTGGAACTTCAAGCGGTTGAATGTGTTAGCTTTACAGGACTATCTTCAACAGGTGGATTGGGATGTTCGCCCTGAAATTGAAGTGGATGCTCATTGGGATTTTTTACTGCACACGATCTTATGTGCTACTGAGCATTCAGTTCCTAAAATGGTCCCAAAAAGCTACAAGCAACCTGCAATCATCATGAACCGCACTCGTCGTTTGCTAAACCGCAAAAGGCACTGTTGGGCTGAATATAAACGAACTGATAACAACGGCGCGTACAGGCAATACAAACATATAAGGAACATATGCACAAAGGCAATAAGAGAAGACAGGCTTCAGTACCAGACCAAGCTTATCGATAGATTCGTCTCCAATCCGAAAATCTTGTTCAGTTATGCAGCTTCTCTTCGACAAGGCAAAACTGGAGTTTCCCAACTACTTGGTCCTAATGGCCCGACCAACAACGACAGTGATGCCACTAACCTTTTGGCTGAACACTATTCCCGGACATTCCAGCTGACCCACATCAACCATACTGACGAAAGCCTCACCTGCACCTGTATAGGACTTTCCGAAGTGGACCTGAGTGCTGACCTGGTGCTCCGTAAACTGCAGAATCTAAAAAAAGACACTTCTCCTGGTCCGGACATGGTTCATTCCGCTGTATTGAGGGAAGCAGCTTCAATCCTGGCGACACCACTTAGCGTGATGTTTGCACGCTCGCTAAGCAGAGACAAACTACCGGAAATATGGAAGCTGGCCCACATCACACCAATTTTCAAAGGAGGTCGACGCAGTGAACCCTCAAGCTACCGACCAGTGGCCCTTCTCTCTATACCTTCAAAAATTATAGAATCCCTAGTATTCGACGGCATACTAGAACACTTATCATCCTCAAAGTTCTTCTTGCCTCAACAGCATGGTTTCAGAAAAGGTCATTCTTGTATGACCAACCTGCTGACTGCGGTGGATAGATGGACAACCATCCTTGATCGCAAGGGGAAGGTTGACGTCATCTACCTGGACTTCTCAAAAGCTTTTGATAGGGTCAACCATGCATGTCTTATCAAGAAGCTTGGACGATTGGGTATAAAACCCCCTTTAATTGACTGGATCACTTCATACCTAGAAAACCGACATTTTAAGGTCAGGGTTAACTTCACTCTCTCTCAGGCTATGGAATGTCCTAGTGGGGTCCCCCAGGGTTCAATACTAGGACCTCTTCTCTTCTTGATTTATATTAACGATCTTCATCAACAAGTTTCATCTGACTTATTGCTTTTTGCTGATGATGTGAAACTTTGGAGAGAGATACGTAATCATAATGATATACTAGTTCTTCAGGAGGATCTGACTCGACTTCAAAGTTGGGCAGACGACAATGGACTTACCTTCAACACTTCAAAGTGCAAGGTAGTCCATCTGAGACATGTTGCAGACTATAGTTATAACTTAGGTAACTCACCTCTAGAAGTTTCCCAAGTTGAAAAAGATTTAGGAGTGTTGGTACCCTACGACCTGAAATCGTATACGAACTGTGACAAAAACGCCTCTCAAGCAAACCTTGCACTGGTAACATTGAAGCGCATTTTTGGCCAGTTTGACGGTAGAACCTTCCATATAATCTTCAACAGTTTTATTCGTCCCCATTTAGAGTATGGAAACATAGTATTTCCTCCCTCCCTCCAAAAAGATAAGGTCACTCTGGAACGTATACAACGTCGAGCCACGAAATCAGTTCGGGGTCTCAAATTCAAACCTTATGAAGAGCGCCTCAAATCACTTAACCTTTACCCGTTAGAGTATAGGCGTCTTAGAGGTGATCTTCTTATGACTTATAGTATCCTTAATGCTTCTGGTCATCCCCTTAAACAACTTCTTAAGCTTAGTCATAACACTAACCTCAGAGGTAACACCTAGAAATTGGAGACCCTACATAGCAGAACAGACTGCAGACACAACTTCTACTCCGTTAGAGTTGTCAAGTGCTGGAATTCGCTGCCGACTGAGCTAGTCCAAGCGACTTCCCAGGAGTCCTTTAAGAGAAAACTTGACTTATTCTTAAGGACTAAGGATAACATATTATTATGGTTTACCAAATTCTTTTTTTTTCCCTCTATTATCGTTCATATACCTAGGTTCTTGCCTGGAGGTATTGGTGATCCACTGCTACCAGACACGGAAGCCCGTTAAGTGAAAGCTTATTCTATTCCGTCCTCAACCATTTGAACCATTTGAGGTCTTCACAATATTATTGTATTTTGGAGGTCGCCTAGAAGTTACAAGGTCGTCTAGGTGATGCCTGTTGCTGTTCTTGCTTAATAAGTACAAGTCTACTTCGTAAGTTCTGAGCTGATATCACACTAAATCCACCAAACTTATAAACATGGTATACAAATTATAAGTGCATTTTCGCAACACAGTATGCATCCTCTTTAAACGATAGTCTTTTTTGGATGGTTCAAACCCTCTGAATTCTAAATGTTAAAACTCGGAATAAGGACTTAGAAACATCACTCAAAGTTTTTCAATAAGAACTAGACTGTATATTTTATGCATATGTCAGATGTCTTATTTCGTAACCGAGACTATGGTTCTTACCACAAAGTTTTTATTGAGATATACATAACAATAAATATGGTCATGTCGACATATCATGTCTTGATGTATATTTCTTTTCCAATGTCTTATTCTTCTAATACTCAAAAATCAAGCGGGGAGGTTTGTGGTGCTTTGTGTTTCTAATATTACCTTGCAAATTCCTTCATACACCCAATTACATGACAGGGATATCCCATACTTTTGCAAAAGAGGGATGTATTGCGTAAGGTATTAAATTCTGCTACTGGAGAGAGTGGTGAATCTGTTGGCGCTATTACGAATATGGCTATGGGTGGGTACCTAATATCTTTCAAATGATCGGTCAGTCTATCAGATACTGACCTCCCACCCCATTGATATCTTGTATTTCTTTTGCCAGAACGAAACACCTGTAAATAAAAAAAGCTGTACGATATTTTGCTCACTACGTATATAATTAGACAGTATGTGTCGGATTAATCAACCAAGGACCTTTACTTCTCAAAATACATACACATTATTTACTACTGTGGAGATTATACTCTGAGAAGTTTCGATTTTTGTAGTTGTATTGAGGTATATTTTTAGGTGTACGGATAAGCGGGACTTGTTACGATATTTCTTGTTTCTTATTGTATTGAATGAAGTAACTTATTAACTTCTTTACCTCCCTGTGGGTCATCACCCTAGGCTTTGACTCAGACTTCTGTTGGATCAATACTTTTTATTGATAGAGACAATTATATCTCGACATTTCATTTTTGTTCAAGTCAAAATAAATATACTATGTTAGGATTTTTACCAGATACAATAATATAATCTGCCTACTCTAGGTTGGTAAATTAGTTCCTAGGATGCGATGTTAATCTATGAATTTAGATTAAGGTATAACCTGTAAGGGGACGTCTGTGAAGCGATTGAGTTGTAAAAAATATTGTTAATCCTAATAAACACCACTTGAGGTTACCAACTTAGTTACGCTACAAGTTGTAACTCGACATTTGTGGGAATTAGACATCTTGTAGGTTTAACGGTGAGACTAATTTATGGACGATCTTTAAGCGACACTAGAATGACCTTAAGAATGTCTACCCACTAACTAGGACTAAATGAGGGTTGTACAGTAGTGTGAAGAAATCGGGATTATGATTTACAGTTGATGGTTAGGGTTAGAAACTAGGTTTAGAGTTTTCATCACAAACTGACATCAGCTAAAATGCCAAGACGCTATTTAGCGAGATGGATGAATGAATTTCGCACAAGATTTCAAGACCTGTTATCTTAAGTCTGATTGGTTAGTCTATAAATTATAGTCTGACCGGATCAACTTTCTTTGTACGCTGTTCATCAACATACACCGGCAACTTAGTTATGATAAAAATGCCTACTAGAACAAGGCACTAAAATGTGCCTTGCATAAAGTAGATTAATAATAGTGCGAATAATTAAAAAGTGGGTCAGGTCATACATCGAGTAATTAATAACTCAAGTTATCAAACTCAGACATTATTCGTAAAGCATGTCCAAAATAGTGTTTAAGATAACTATTGAACTATCATCACTTGCTGAACACACATTGACAATCTTGGTATTACATTTATTGTGTTGTCACTGAGTCTAAACAATCTTTCTTACACAGTGTTAGTCAAACACAGTTGCTGAATATCCTTAACGAGAAGACCTCGGGTTTCACAAGTATTAAGGAATTGCTCACTCATAAATTGTACTCGTCCAAAATGAGGCGGATATAGGCAGTCTTTATCTTCCTCTCGATCTTGAATTCCAGTATCTTTTCAAACATACCTGTCCTCTCGTTCATTTCGAACCACTTTCCTAACGTTTAGTCTTCCTTTTTACCATTGCTGATACGTTATTTCGATCTCTTTATTTTCATCTTGTCACGCTAATCTTGTATACGACTTGGGCTAAACACATTTGTGCCAGGCTCTATTATGATGATTTCTATCGGCTTATCCAATAAATTGAAGGGTACCATGTTGTCAACTAAAAAACATAACCATTATTAATTTATGACACGTTTGGCAGTGTTCCAGGATTTGAAGAAGGTAAAGATATAGTTAGTACATCCTGGAACTGAACAAAAAAGGCCTGTTCTCCTCAAATCAGTCTTTCACGATTCGATTGATAAACAGACCCAAAGGCTATTAATACCTACAATTGACTCGGATCTGTTCGTAAACGAATCTAGAATATTGCAGCTAAGACACTTTTCTGATTAAATATGCCTTTAACGTTGAGTATGCTCTAATTATGTACTAAGGCGCTTTCCTAAGGTGGTGAGCTAATGGTAAGCTTAGATCTTTTCCTTTGGTCTCATTGTGAAATAGGGGGCTATTTTAATCTAACATTTTGCATCTGAAATAATAACTTTGTTACCGACGGATCTTGTTTCTTTTTGTCTACTTAAGACTATTATTCTCTGAGACCTATGCAAGAAGGTTTACAGAACACAAACAAATAAACTCTGGTTGAAATTCTGCTTTATTCATCTAACCATCAAAAGTGGGAGAATTGATATTAGCCCTGTTGATAAATGCTCCACAACCAATATTCTCTGTAAGAGGTAACAAGTCAGCTGATTGATTATACTTATCACTGAAGACTACCTCAATGTGGTTTGCATGTGTGAAAAATGTATGAAAATATTCAGAGAGAAGAGTTGTTTGCTATTTGTTCAATTTTTCCAGATTTGATAACTTCGGTCAATGGAATCAAGAAATTGCATGTAATGTGTTTTTGAGCTCTCTTCGTATTATATAGATACCTGTTGATTCTGTTCGTGATCTCGATAAAGCGAATTTCCCTGTACAAGTCAGTTTAAAGATCAGTTCGATCATACGTCCAAGCGGATTAAAGAAAGTGGTGATCATCCATTTGTCTTGTAGTCCTACATATCCTGAAACGTGAGTAGTGGCATATAGTTTGTAAAACTGTTAGATTTAGCAAGGTTTGTTGTTTTTTCTTTTTTAAAAGGATTTGACTCATGAATGTGGTTTTTACTTCACGTTAGGAAATTTATAGAATATTACCTCGAAATAGTTTTGCTCGTAGTTTGTGAACAGTGTAGTTGTGATCTAGTCCTCCATATCTTCCCAAGCTCTACACAGAATTTAGCTGTACTTCTGTTCGTTATGAATATAAAATACTCATTAATAATTGTAGATGTTATATAGAACCTGATCTCTTACCATAACTACGAAGTGTTTATATCATCTGTTTCTCATACGGGTAATGTGCTTAAAACTATGTATTTTGGCTACTTTGTTGTACAAACTCGGTATTAAAATAGTACATCGTAAATCCGAGAACTTAAGCAACAAGCTTTGTCGTAAATACATGACAGTGATCTGTAACATAGGAGGGCTCATGACTTCTTCTATTTTCTCACTTCGGTTGTCACAAAATTTGGTATCTTTCTCGATAACCTTATGATAACTAAGTACATGATTCCGCCAGATGAATTCGCGAAAACTCAAAGGATAATTCTTTGGTCGCTCGTGTGTATGCTTAAAGCCCGTAGTTAGGTAGGATTTATCACACGACAGAAAAATCCACCTTATAAAGTACCATCAGAAAATTAATATAAACGATAATGGAAGGTTTACCTGGGACTAGTTAGACTAAACAACATCTGTTGTTAGGTGGAATTATATGACCTACCATTTTTAGTCTAAGCGAAGTGGAATATGGGTTGAATGTGGAAAATATTTTCTTGTGTTAGAAAGTATGTAAATGTTTTAGTTAAAACAATTTTTCTCTTTAACATATTAAAACTGGAACTCGCCAAACTAAAAATTCAAGTTCAAAATCTATCATACCTATAGAAATCTGGATAACCGTATTTTATCATTTTTTCACAATCATTTGGGTCTACATTCTGGTACATAAAACTGTGGTCTTGGTCATAACGTAGCACTTGATATAAGCGTTTGTCAGCTTTATTCACCTAGTTACCACACTCAGCAAGATTAGGAGAAAACCTAGTATGTTTTACTTACTTCGTGCTCCCAATATACGCTAGTGATTGCTCGGCGAAACCTGTAGCCAAATACTCCCTACCCACCCATTCCTTCTCTTTCCACAGGGCATTATTCACAGTTGTACAGCAATACAAAGCTAGCCACTGAGGATTGTACTCGTCCTTTGTTTGGGAGATAGATATTTCACTGACTCCTTAGGTGACCAAAGTTGGCTAAAGCCCAATGTCCTTTTTGTATCCATCCCATGGTTTCAACAGCTGCCGACTTAATAGGGTTGATGAGACTTCCAATATAAATAAAGTGGTTAAGACACTCAACTATTTCACTCCTTGGTAAGCAGAGATGGATAGTGGCTAGCAGTGGAATCCAGGACGCGCGTTTCGTTCTATTTGGGACTCGTCAGCTGGATGTACCTGCATCTCAGAGTTGATGTTCACTCTGGGGCTCGAACCCAGTACCCTCGCTTCAAACGCCATCGCGTTATCCACTCGGCCACTGAGTCCTGATAGCCACTTGCTTGTGCGAAGGTACTGGGTTCGAGCCCCAGAGTGAACATCAACTCTGAGATGCAGGTACATCCAGCTGACGAGTCCCAAATAGGAGGAAACGCGCGTCCTGGATTCCACTGCTAGCCACTATCCATCTCTGCTTACCATGCTTGTGAATTAAGGCTATATTGAGGCAATACGCACAGTATGAACAGATGCCAATTAGAGACTGACCAGTTGCAGTCCTAACAAATCGATGGGAAGATTCAAACAAACAATACTGAATGTATTTCACTCCTTATTGTTAGAATAGACTTTGATGCAAACATTGGAAGTCTATGGGATCATGTGGGAAACATGCTGTTAAACCCTGACTTTTTCTAGCCCGTCTTTTACTGTGTAGAATGATAGCGTTACTGGAGATGTTGGTTATCTACGGAAAACTTCTTACTACTGTCACGCTCCAGCCGTATTACTTTATCCTCACAACTTAAATTTTCAAACCCTCAGTCTTTTTGGGTTCGAAGGATCTCATTCAATGAATGTTTTAGCCATTATGCCTCGATTTAGCAATAGATGGGCTTGGCTACCTCTTTGAGGTAGCAGCTACAGTAGGAAAACTTGTAAAGGATTTGAATTACATTTTTATTTCTTGCCATATTTGGCTGTTAACTGTCAGCCCATATTACACTGCACTTCCCCAAAATACTGCTTCTACGTTTTGCAGCTGCTTCCTATATTATGAGTAGCATTTTCAGTTTATTAGTAATCAATTTATGTTTATGAACTTTTAGCTCTTTCATATGTTATTTATATAACTAGAAGCTCACAATCCATCTTCCTATTGAAAAGAAATTTTAATATATTCTATTCCCCTACAGACTTCTCAACTTCCGTATCAAAGGAGACAAACGAGTCACTAAAGCACAAATAAGTGTCCTTCATGATGTTCTTAAGCAGTTGACTGAAACAATGAGAGGTCAGGTAATCTAACATGATTATGAAATTTTCACAATTTACCTACAATCAGTTTAGTTAGGATTGACATCGATTTTTGTATCCGTATTCTTGATTCACCTTTTAGAAAATACATTGTTGAAATCATGAGTCAATTAAGGCTAGACCACCATGAAAAACGTGGAAGCACTGGACGGCCGTTTCGTCCTATTGTGGTCAAGTAATCTGGCCCGAGACTGGTAGGTCCTGGGTTCAAATCTCACGAAGCGAGGTCGTGGATGCGCACTGCTGAGGAGTCCCACAATAGGACGAAACGTCCTTCCAGGTTTTCCATGGTGGTCTAGCTTCAATTGACTCATGATTTCAACTATGAAAAATACTGAAATCTCCACAAAACCCCTTTCAGAAAATGCATTGTTATGATACATATTATCGTGAATTTTGAAATTTATTATTTTTTTCGGAATTTATGGAGATATCAAATAACCTTTCACAAATAGACTTTTACTAAGGGTCTTTTGTATTCACTCCATAATCACCTATCTTATATAGCGTTAATTAGTTTACTTAGACACCTCACTTTTAGCCACTGTCTGCTAATTCTCAATCCTGTATGAAATTACTTGTAATGTGAGTGGGCAAACGTGCATAGACATAGTTACTTTACATGTGATACTTTTTTGGCATTAGTTTTTGTTATGACTTGACCTAGCTGTCGCCAATTTGTTATGTTTTTGACCTAGGCGGTAGCCAATTGTTATTGATCAAGGTCGTCGCTGACTCGTTATGACCTTACGAATTTAACAAAGGCGTAATTCGCGTAAATTGTCCACCAATAGAATACGACTTCTACGACCTTCACACTGTGACAATGACGTCCGATTAGTATGAGCAATCTAGCGTCCTTATTGGCCCTTATCCGCCTACCCGTCCACTTGAGTCCAAAACACCAATAGCAGCTGCTGTAATGCGAAACGTTTATTTCAAGCATACTTTATCTATATACCAGACAGGCAGACCACACCACACCATAAAATAGAAAATAATATTTGTACAAAACCAGGCCAAATGAGGCTGTAAGCGTGGGAGACAATAATCAATAAAACTGAGTATAACTTAGGAACAGTAAATCATACAATAATAATCAATAGGTCAAAATGAAGCTTACAATAAAATGAATATAGATATAGATAATCTAGTTACCGAATAGTTATACAATAAGAATGATAGTCCAATAGTAGGTCCTGCAAGTTACCCGTACTTATGTCTTCGCTACTACATAACAGTTTTGGACTACGTTTTCATTCGTTATCCTTTGATTGTCTTTCGCTGCTATCGTTGCTTACTTTGCGATCCACCTATTTTCACTACATATCACTGTTCGATAACCTCAAACAAGTCTATGTTTGCTTATGAAACTTCTACAGAAAAAAGAATGATATGGTTAATTGTGTCATTAACACAACTAAGTAGATGTGGTATTATGTATGTATATCCGTTTCATTACTATCATTCATTTTCGCCAAACAAGACTGACCAATAATTCATAGCATTCCTAATAGTATCTTATCGTTAAGTCTTCAGTATTATTATTATTATTGTCATGTAGTAGAGGTTTTTAGTCACGTGCACTTAACAGAGTAAGCGAAATAACTGACTATTTGGCCGTTGTTTCAACCGGATTTTGTCGTTTTCATATTTTTATTTACACAAAGAGTCAGTCATTTATATCTCTAGATTTTTAGTATTTTGAACTAATAAATTATAAAGAGATTACCTTGTGTTTTCAACCTTAAGAAATCAACAAAGTTCAAAAGCCCAATATTCCTTTCACGTAATTCTATATCTACAAGATGTATTTCATTACTATTTTTCGGATTTGTTCAACATATGAATGGTGATTGTGTATCCAGCTACCTGTTGTTAAACCCATTATTTCTTTTTAGTACAACTAAGTGTTGATGGTCTCCTAAGAATTTCACAATATGATAATAGGTTTCTTTTGACATACGTGGTTTCTCAAAGTTTTTTTTTCCTTAAAGCTTGCTCTTAATTTTCTTATCTCCAAAAATGGTGATAGTTTAAGGCGATTGAATGAGAGTTTTCTTCAGGAAACGATGTCTTGACACACTGGTTATTTTTAAATATGACCATTGGGTTCTACTTGGATGGTTCAATAGAAATGTGATAGGTATTTATAAACGTCCCGAGTTCTATGCATTGTGAGCTTGCAAATATGCTTTTCTCACATGTTGAAAATAAAAATTAAAGCATGTTCAATGTTTCGTGGTTTTTGTAATTTTTCCGCCTAATTTGCGCTGTGATAATAACTGTTCGTTCTACATCACAAAGTTCTCATATAAAGGAAGATTAAAGTACACAGTTCATTTATGTTTTAAAACTGTAATTAATTTACTTTTAATGTTTCTTTTTGTTGTTGAAATAATTACTAGATATGCATGAAAGAGCTAATCGAAGCTAGTCACGATTTCTTAAAGTCATTGTCCACACCCATCGTTGATTGTCAAACACAACAAGATCTCAATTTAAGAAATGATGATAATCTAGTATCTAAGTTAAAAATGGTGAAAAGAGAAGTAAGTTTTTTTGTTCAAGTATAAATCTGTTTGTTTATTTAGTCCTTAAAATTTGTAAGTTTCTCATAAGTATTCAACGGTGGCTATGTGCATATATGAAATCAGTCAGTCAGTTACAACGTAGAACTTCGTATGTACGTACATCAGTTTAAGTTGCCATACCACATTATCACAGAGATGCGGTTGTCGATTCAAATCCCATAGTGGTAGAAGTAGTAAGAGTATAATCAGTGATCCGAAAGATTAAGGTTTGAAAATGTTATTGAAGGAGTATAATACAGTGAAATAAATTTGGAAAGGGAAAAAGGATAGGGGCATGAAGAATTCAGAAGATTAGAATTCGGCAGAACACAAAGAGTGAATGCACCTGCGCCATTGCAAACGATTTTGAGCCATGTCATTCATGGTCTCTAACCATCGGTTGCTATCATCTCGCGGATCCCAACCAGGTAGTCTACACCTACCAGCATGGCTTTTTCACTACTTCATCAATCGATTTGCCATCCTTACCTAGTACCCGTTTCCTAACATCTGCATTACTTACCCGGTTGTCCCAGGATATACGAGCAATGCTTCGAAGACACCTGTGATCGAATGCTAGCAGCCTACGAATATCCTCTACTCTTACCGACCGTGTTTCACTACCATAAAGTAGGACGGAACAAACTGTTGCGCAGTAAACCCGTCCTTTTTTTGCTAGACGGATATCTCGCCTACGCCATAAATGACGCAAGTTGGCAAAAGCTAGACGAGCCTTCTGTATCCGTGCTGAGATTTCGTCACACACCAGACCACAAGGGCTGATGAGACTCCCAAGATAAGTGAAGCTGTCAACACGCTCAACTACTTCACTCCCTATCATTAGTTCAGGTGTCGATGCAACCCAATCCTGAAGTAACATTTTGCACTTCGAGGGAGAGAATCGCATCCCGAACATGCCTGCATTGTCGCTTATAGTGGTCAGAAGACTGCATGTTGTCAGAGTCTTCACCGAATAAAACTACGTCGTCGGCGTATTCTAAGTCAACAAGTGAGCCTCCCGGTAAAAGTTCAACTCCCGGAGATTGAGATGATGAAAGTGATACCTTTAAAAGCATGTTAACGACAAAGTTAAACAAGAATGGGGAGAGTGGACAGCCCTGACGAACACCACTTGAGGTAACCAATTCTGATGACAGTTCGCCATAGGCTCTAACTCGACCAGTTGTGTTCGAGTAGAGAGCCTTTATGAGGTTAATGTACTTCTTTGGTACTCCTTTCAGTGACAAACACTGCCATAGAACCTCACGATCAACGGAGTCAAATGCCGCCTTAAGGTCAAGAAATACTACGATTGTGGGGCGTCTGAATGTATGTCTATGTTCTAGGACCTGACGTAGAGTGAATATCTGGTCTATGCAACCACGTCCAGGTCGAAAACCAGACTGGTTTTCTCTAGTCTGCTCTTCACGAGCTTTGGTTAGGCGTCCAAGTATTATTGAAGCTAATATTTTAGACACTATATTAGTCAAACTGATTCCTCTGTGATTGTCACAGTAGGACTTTTGTCCTTTTTTTATGGACTGGCACAATCAGTGATTGGGACCAGTCAGATATAATTACGTCCAGTTCCCAGATTCTACCTAAGACCTCAGTCAATCTTGCTGCTAGTACTGGACCAGCGTCCTTAAAAACCTCAGGGGTAAACCCTGTCAGGGCCTGCGGTTCTCCCTCGTTTCAGATTTCCTATAGTTTTTTCAACCTCGTAGAGAGTTGGAGGACTTACATCAATTTTCCATTCAGGACGACTGGGGATCGTGGGTAACTGAAGTGTGGCTGAAGGCCATTTGAACTGATTCCTAAAGTGTTCTGCCTATCGATCCAATCCTGGATTGAGAATGAATGATATGCTCATCTTTATCTGTGATAGTTTCGCTGATATTTGGGTTCCTAATACCGGTTTCTTTAATAAGTCTGAACAGCTGTCTGCTGTTACCTATTTCCGCTGCCTTTTCCATCTCTCTTGCTTTCGCTACCCACCACTGTTCGCGATCATTGCGTAGGCTTCTTATTAGCCTGCGATTAATAATTATTATCATTTATTCAACTGTGAATGAAATTTCTATTATTTTACATCAGGTTCTATGTCGAATTATTGATTAAAGTATTATTATTCACAATGGGAGTGCACTTTTTTCACGCATTCTATCATATACCTCGACTTTATGTGAACTAAAACGATGATCGAGCGCAACTGACACAAGACGAACGCAGAAAATCCCTCCTCCTACAAATAGTACCTCATCAAGAACTTTCTTAGGTGTAGTCATTCAATCCAATACATTTTTACCCGAAACGCTTCTTATGAGATTTAATTTATTATCTTATCTTTTATGACAGGCGTTTCATCTGATGTATTTTTTAAAATTAAAATTCATCACTTTTATTGTCAATATTTTCTCTAGACTTACTAGTGAGGAACTCAAGTCGGATTTATTTCTTTTGGCAAAATATCGCATCTTTTAGATTATTTTTTCTCAAATAAATTTCTTCTTGTTAATCATCCAGATTATTTTGTGGATGTTTACCTTTCAGATTGAACACATTGATGAGGCTATTCAGTGGCGTTTGTCATTAAATGACGTAAGATTAATTTTATCATTCATTTATCAAGTGTAGTGTTTTAAAAATGAGACTCTTTATGTAGATCGTAATTTCAGAAAAATAGGTGTTATAATACAACTAAGTACAGGTTCTTATTTCTTCATCTTGTAGGGATGCATTTGGTATTTTTTGGAAACTAAAAAGTATCATTCTATCTAATATTACAAAATACAGCTTAAATCCTTGCATATAATTATGTGATTACTTAAATGTATTTTTGTTTCCTTATTCGGATGATAAAGTTTTTCTCTACTGAATGAACTTAAGGTTTGTGGCTCATAGCTTGTAGTTATAATCTGACCGATGCTAGTTGGTTCTGTATGATTGTATCATACAGAATGAATAATTGCAGTGCCGTTAAGAAAGCATCCAATGTCTAGTAAATTTGTCAATATATATATGAAAAATACAAATGTGTAGTTGTTAAAATACCGCATTGAACTATACTGACACTGGTCCACTCTGCTTACCTATATGGAAAACCGAAATCTAATAGTATTATGCTTAGAATATGTTGGTCGTCGAAATTGATAATGATATCTTAGATAATGTTCGGTGCATTAATTGTTATTTATGAATTTCATGCTATTGGTTTCCTTTATGAATTTTAATTAAGCCAAAACAACAAGGAATCCATATTATTATGTCTCACTTGTTATTTTAACTTGTACATTGATATGACGTGATTAGTCTCAATAAGGTATTAACGTATCATCGTAATACACGTGTAAGAGAGGAAAATATTGTAAACCATCAGTTATATCAAAACCTGTTAATTTAATTAACATTTGAATGACGTAAATGTGTATATAGTTTCTTAATGAAAGGTAAATTTCTCCTGTTTGGTTCTTCTAAAACCTTTAGCGTTTACTGTTTACAAATAACTTCAATCACCAAGTTAAATATTTTATGAGTAATATATTTCACTGCATTTTAACCTCCGGATACTTTCTTCTCGTCGTCCATTACATTATTAAAATATAATTAGAAAAATACACATGAAAAATATTTTGCGCGTTAAATTTCTCCTTGTACATGTTTATTTTTATTGACTATTTATTTATTTTATTTGAACACATAAATATTGGTACAAGAGGACACCAAATACATATGCGCCACACAAATCTCATTTAATTTGTGTGAGGGCTGTGATACTGCCCGGACGCCCAGACCGAAGCAGGTAGTTTTCTTAGGGAGCCACACCCGGAGCCTTTGACCTAAAGGTCTGATCCACAAGGCAGTGGAGCATCGTAAGGAGATGCATTCCCATGGTAGCCGGTGACCAACGATTGATTCATACGCCATTTGTTCCCTCAGGATACTGGAGCCCATGTGCACTATTGGTTTGAAATCAGGGTTTTCCAACTCCCCTAAGTGGACTTTCCGTATCCACCAACCCGTTTAAAGCACTGGACATACACTTTTCGTCCTCTCAATTTCATAAACAACAGTAATGCCACGAGAAGGCAGTGAGTAGGACTTCCCTGTCAGAGGCTATATGTTCGCTGGCCATGTGAGAGCATTTCGAGAGCTGACTCTCCCCACTCTCGGTCAAACCAGGACATTTGGGGGATAGCAGATTAAAACAATACATCATCAATTATATAAGAAATTCGGTCGATCACCTTTTGTATGAGGGACTTGAACAAATTATTCAGTAGTTTCGTTAGTGCTGAATATATAAATTTAGTCTCCAGTTGTTTTTTTTTCAAAAGAAATCTTAGCAAATAAGCATGAAGTAACAAATTATATTAACATAACAGTAACTCATGTTTTCGATAAACGTCCGTGACAAATAATCACAGGGATTCCTTTCTTTTATGGCAGTCAGAAATCGAAAGAAAAAAAGAAGAATATCAACTTTCTGAGTATGTCATAATTTTTTTTAAAGCGTTTTTCATTGGTATCATTCATGTCTGTAAATATTGTTAAGTTGTTAATTATTCAACTTCTATTAATCAAACTAGGTTTTAAATCTGTTTCTGTTATTGTTTTAAGTGTCAAATTGTGTATCTCGACTCCTCCTTGTCTATTACTCCGGTTTATGTGGTGTACGTCCATTTTAGCCCAATTAATTACGTAAGAAAGCCTCATTACGTGGAAGTTTTAAACACTTACCTGTATAAAATTATTTCTAGGTAAGGAGCTAACTCACTTAGGTCGCTTCAGAGTTATGCATCATAAATCAATAGGTCATTGTTGTGTCTGTAAATCGCCACTGTTATATCTTAGAATCGACATTGTTATAACTAGAAAATTTGGGTCCATCAGCAGTGTTGTAACTAGGTAGCCGACTGTTATATCTGGAGAGTCGTCTTTGTTATGTGCATATTGGGTCTGTTGAATTCATAGTCTTATTGGTTTTACTTGAGAATTAGGAACAATTGCAATTCTTCTATTTCACTTATATTGCACTTGTGGGTGGCCTGTGCTCCTCCACGAGGGATAACAGGCGTAAGTAAATAAGTAAGTAACTTCTTATAATGAGAAATGGGAACCCACTACACTTTCCGCGACGCAAAGTGCGAACACGAAAGACTGGTGCAATGAAGATTTATTGACTCCCCACAAATACATTTCCAAACAAGTTCCATAATCACATCCAAGTCACTTTAATGTTAGACCACAATACAATCATTCATATACTAAGTTTCATACACCTACTAATATCACATATGAGAATAAATACGCAGTTACTGTAAAATACACTAAATATATTTTACCTGAATTAACACAGTAAATAAAATTGTCATACTGCATGAGAGTCCACATTTGTTATATAGAACAAAGTTCATACTAGATTGATATTGACCGCTCGAATTACCGAACCTTACCATTTGTCTAGATTTCATTTTCGTAAGGTTTACCTTCTTTTCCGATGCACACTTTAGTAACAATTGCTACCATAAAATCTCCCGGTCATGCAATCAACTGCGACTTTCTATTCAAGGAATTTGAATAATTTTGGACTTCAGTATGTGGATATGTGTTTTAAAACTTGCAGAAGGGTACAAAATTGTTCGAGGTTTGAAATCGAGTTTATTTTCTGGAGTTTTTTGTTCCTGGGCTGCGTTTTGACAACGAATAATTATGGAAGCTAGTATTTTCAATACTGTCAAACCGAATTCTTTGTGGTTTTCACTATTAGTATTCTTCCTTTTCTTATAGATTTGGTTGAATGTGACCATGTCCTCCAGCTCTTATACCCTAGAAAATATTTTAGTCAACTTTTACTAAGATTGGACCATTACCTTTAAGATCACTTAATTTAAGATATCAGATTCGGTTTCTTTCTTAAGCTCCATGCTAAATATGACGTTTCCAACTTCCCTAAAAGTTAGTACATGTATCGTTTCTTCTTTTTTCTTAAGACGCTTGAAAATGCGTTCTTTCACTAAACCATAATCGGAGTTTAAATATGCCTTAGAATAAGTAGAAGTCTTCTGTCGAACTTGTACAACTGAAGTTGACCTCCGTGTTTTCTGTTTGTGTTCACTGTTACGTCAACAATTGAGATAATGTTTCTCTCTATGCTCCAAACTGCTTGCTAGAAATAAGTATCTTGACGTTTAGATATTCCATGTCGTTGTTACTCATATTCAATTATGCCTCATGGGAAAATTTGTTTTTTAATTCATGTGCTTACTATGTAACTAAACATTTATATGTGCTCTATAATAACACCCGATGGGTTTCAGTGTTCTGCGTTTATGCGTTTAAACATTCCATGGTTTTTAAAAAAACTACATTCTAATGTTATTTTAGACAACGAATTATACTAGATTATTACTTTTAATTGTTAATCGAAAATTAGGCAAAATAATTCATATTTACAACCTATTTCTTTAAAATCGTAAACTTACTATTCTCTATGGTATTATTCTACGTTGTAATAATTTTCAGAATTTTTTGTCAATCTGAAGTTCATAGATTGGATACTCAATCATTATCAGTGCATTTAAATTCTCATCGTTACCAACCCTCCTATCCAGATGTTATCGAAAGGTGTCCACTAACCAGACATATGTCAGTTTGCTCTCTAAAAATGTTGTATTTAGAAGACTATAAAAAACTGAAGAAATACATAAACTTCGAACAGTATGAAGCAGCGCATAAATCACATGAATCAACGTTCATTGACATTCAGAGAGGATGTTGTGCTGATGGACCTCATGATCGATTCAAGTATGTATTCTGTAATTAAAATTTTTAAATGATCCAGTGTTCGCAGTACAGATATTTTTCCGTGTGTTTGCTATTTCGATGGATTGGAAGTAAAAACCGGTGCTTCAATTCAATTGCATGAATGGGTTTTTCACACCAATAATGCTTACTTAACTAGCAATAACTTTCTGGATAATTTCCTTACTCAACTAGCCTACTTTGCCCGACAAGATAAACATCCAAATCTGTGTAGAATTTTAGGTGTTGAATGTACCAGAAACTTACCTGCTTGTGGTAAGTCTAAAAATTACAATCATAATATTCATTTCGATAATATTCAATAGGCTTGTTTGTTCTTCCATATATTCTTGGAGCTACAGATCTTAGGGTTATTTAAACGTAAGAGACGTACTACTGAAGATATATTTCATAGATCCAGATTAAGCCAATTTTTCCTAAGGTGTATGTCTGTTAGAGCAAGTTTAAGTAAGTACATGCATACATTCAAGTTGACTGCTTGAAGTGCATCTGTAAAGCATAGAAGCCAAGTTATTTGTAAATAACTTCTAAGTCTTCTCTTTGTTGAATTTCTTATTCTGATTATAAGTTGAATGAATAATATATGTCAATCATCATAAATTGTAAAATTTTAATATTGTACGAACGAGTAAACATTGTTCAAGAATCTTAAAACGGGAAATAAACATTTTATTTCACTGCATCCACTGATAAGAAATTTTTGGTACTCTTGTTTACAACAAGTAAATTTGAATCGTAGCGACAAATATTAGTCCCATTTTGCCAGGAATTATATCATTTTGTATATTTCACTGTTATTAATAAACAAACAAAACCTCAATTTTATATTCTTTTTTTGTTTAATTGCTTTGCTTTGCAAGTGTATTGGGTATTACCTGATTTATTGAATCTCAGTTGATATGGCATGTTTCTAGCCAGTTGTCTGGTACATGTGCTCTAAAATATTTAGTACTGTACTTAATTATCCATGTGCCACTATTACAAGATTGATAGTTTCACTCGTTTTATTTATTTTTTATTTAAACACATATTGGTACAAGGAAGCACCAGATACATATGTGCCATACAAATCTCATTCGATTTGCTTGAGGGCTGTGATACTGCCCAGATGCCCAAACTGAAGCTAATGGTTTTCTTAGGTAGCCACACCCGGAGCCTTTGACCTAAAGGTCTGATCCACAAGGCAGTGGAGCATCGTAAGGAGATGCATTCCCATGGTAGCCGGTGACCAACGATTGATTCATACGCCATTTGTTCCCTCAGGATACTGGAGCCCATGTGCACTATTGGTTTGAAATCAGGGTTTTCCAACTCCCCTAAGTGGACTTTCCGTATCCACCAACCCGTTTAAAGCACTGGACATACACTTTTCGTCCTCTCAATTTCATAAACAACAGTAATGCCACGAGAAGGCAGTGAGTAGGACTTCCCTGTCAGAGGCTATATGTTCGCTGGCCATGTGAGAGCATTTCGAGAGCTGACTCTCCCCACTCTCGGCCGTACCAGGGCATTTGGGGTCAGTTTCACTTGTAATGTATTATGACCATCATAAATCAAGTCTACTGTATCACATTCTATGTAATTTGTCAGATTTTAAGTGTAAATTCCTAGTAAATCTAACTCTCATTTTCTTATAAAGTTTTTACATAGTGCTTCATTGTTCACCGGGTTGTTTAGCGTTTCCTAAGCACCAAATAAGTTGAAAATATCCATATAGTTGTCCTTAAATGTATTCTAAGTTACGGAAAAACTGTTCAAGTTGAAGTAGTAATAATCTTGCTTACTATACGCTTGTCGTCTCACTTTGTTTAGTATTTAATTATTGTTTATGTTAGGTACTTGTATGTTTGTTAATATGACCAGCAGACTGTGATTGGAACATGTGTTACGTTGCCTAACTATCTTCTATCTGGACGCGCTATTTCATCTGGAGTAGGAATAGGTTGGATGAAAACTAGGGAGTGGTAAACTAAGACACGACATCAGTTGATGAACCGTTGAATCGGGTCATGTTATAGGTGCTGACTACTTGGTGGTTAGACACGTTACGACATGGCTCAGAACCGGGCACAGTGATACAGTTGTTGATTACCCGTTGAAAAGACCTTGGGGATGCTATGTCCTTGTCGTGGATGTTTGCGTTTCCGCTCTGTAAAATCAGTTGATTTCTGGTAAGTATATCAGTATTCGATATCGATCTCAGATGTACCGAAACCACATACATCACTGAGATTTTCACCAATTTTTACATTAATACAAATCAAATAGCTGGCCTTGCTAGTTTAGGGAGTCTTACTTAATGAAGCAATATAAAATATTTCGCTATTTGTCATTTTGATGTTCATTTATCTGGAGACAATATGATATTGGTTTCATATCTCTTTTTACTGACACTGACTGCATATTGCTTTACTCGGTGGTGCTGCTACCATGTTTTAGTAAATTAGAAAAGCTATTATTAGTATGTAATTTTCTAAGCTGTAATTGCATTAGCCTACAGGTCAATAAGTTTAGTATTTATCATGCCATTACAACATTTTACCACCATATTCATATCTACATGTTTCGTCCCAGTACATAAGCTATTATCTTCGATTTAAGTAAAAACAGTGTTTTGTTGGTTCGAAATTTGAGAAAAACAGTGTATTGTTTAAGGTTTATTGAGTCTTGAAGATCTTTAGTTGGTAATTCGAATATGATGTGCGAATTTTTAACTTAGCATGGTTTCTTGTAATATTAGGCTTCAAACCTAACATATATGAAGTTAAGATGGATAATGGTTTCCAGCTACCTGAACCTAAATGAGTAAAGGTGGGTTTGAGGTTTTTAATGTCAATTGTATAAGCAGGTGAGCTTTAGTTTAACTGTTTGGCTAATATACAACTCATTTAAATTAGTTACCTCTTCTACGACAAGTGTTTCATTATGTTTTTCTCGAATCATAATTCACTACTTTCACTTCCAATAAGAATCATTGATGCAGCCGGTTTAATATATGCTCTTAAATTTGAATACTACTGCATTTGTAAGTTTTTATTTACTGGTAGGGATGTCATTTTGGCAGCTGGCAAGACACGGAATAAAGATTTTACTTGTTCGATTCATTGCTTATGCAAGCACTATCACCCCATTCACAATCTGGGTTTGTTATTGAAAACATGATATGCGTTTATTCAATACTACTTATAATTTACTGTTAGTCGCTTCATTTTTCTCTCTATGTTGTGGCAAAGTTAGATAAACTTGTATAGAGAAACACTATCAGTTCACTATTTTTTTATTCATTGTAACACCAAACTTGTTCAAAGTATTGTTATGATTGACGATTTTCTAACTCCTTAGTTCTACATAATATTTTGCAGGTTTCAGAGTTTCGCTCCAACATTTGTGTTCTAGTGTTTTTTCTCATACCAGACATCTTTTAACTAAATAAGGTTAAAAGAAGTATTTGAATAAGTGGCAAAATGTAAAGTTTTAGTTATATTTTATAATATTTTTACTTTTTGAGGTATTGATATTGATGCCTATCATCAGAACATGGAGAAATCATGGGAGAATTGGGATGTTGTTCGTCTAATCACGGAACGTCCAAAAGGCACAAGTTTAGAGTCTGTTGGATCTGGAGTACTTTCTCCAGTTGCTAATGAGCAACTTGGTCCTAACTTATTCTCCGTTTCAAAACCTCTTGAAATCGGTGATAAAAAATTGATGTGGTTACGTTATGTAATACACCAGATCGTTAGTGCAGTTTCTTGGCTTCATACCTATTCTTTCGTGCATAGGAATTTACATGTAAGTTGCATAAGCGTGCATATGCTAATTACCATACATCTAATTCATTATTCCTTCAATCATGGTCAATACCACAGTCATCTTGGCACCGTACACACTTAAACTTCGCTGGTCCACTTCACGGGCAAAGTTACCTTTTGGTAGTTGATGCATATAGAAAGTGGCCAGAAATTTTTCTCATGGGAAATGCAACTGCAAACTGCACAGTCAGAAAACTACGTCAACTATTTAGTTATTTCGGGGTCCCAGAATTAATAGTTATCGACAGTGGAACATAGTTTACGTCTACTACTTACTTATTTACGCCTGTTGCCCCTTGTGCAGGAGCATAGGCCGCCCACCAGCATTCTCCATCCAACTCTGTCCTGAACGATTCTTTACAATTGTTATTCATTCTTTCCATAACCACTTCTATTTCTCGGCGTAATGTGTTCTTTGGCTTTCCTCTTTTCCGTTTCTCTCCAGGATTCCAAGTTAGGACTTGCCTTATGATGCAGTTCGGTGATTTCCTTAATGTATGTCCGATCCTTCCCCAACGTCTTTTCCCAATTTCCTCTTCATCTGGAAGCTAGTTTGTTCTCTCCCACAAAGGGCTGTTACTGATGGTATCCGGCCAGTGAATGTTGAGTATTTTGCGTAGACATTTGTTTATAAATACTTATATGGTTTCGGTGATGGTTATAGTAGTCTCCGAAGTTTTAGCTCCGTACAGTAGGACTGTCTTGACATTCGTGTTGAAGATCCTGACTTTGATGTTAGCTTGCAGACAGTCGTTTTGAGTTCCATATGTTCTTCAACTGTATGGATGCTGTCCTTACTTCACCAATCCTTGCCTTTACGTCTGCATAGGATAATCCTTGTTCATCGATGATGCTGCCCAGGTACATGAACGTCTCTACCTTTTCCAGAGTTCCTCCATCGAATGAGATTGGGTTGTTCTCTGTGTTGTATTTGATGATCTTGCTTTTTCCCTTGTATATATTAAGTTCTACTGCTGCTACACTATTTTGACCTGCATTCGGTGTGTATGGGATAGGAGGACTAGATCAACTGTGAAGTCCGAATCGTCTAGTTGCACGCAAGCTGTCCATTGTATTCCGTGCTTCTTATCCGATGTCGAGGTCTCCAATAATCCAGTCAACCACCAGAAGAAAGAGAGTAAACGACCTTGTCTGATATCAACCCTTCCTCGGAATGCACCTGTCAGCTGTCCTCCATCCACGACTTTGCAGTGTAGTCCGTCGTTTGAATTCCGCATGATGTTAACGATCTTCTCAGGTACATCATATTGTTGAGGAACGTTCAATAAGGTTCTATCCACACTGTCAAACGCCTTCTCGTTCTCATGGAAGTTGATGTATAGTGACGAGTTCAATTCAACTGTAAGTTCACAAATGATCGGTAGTGTAGTAGTTTAGTTGGCAAACGATTGATTCTTACGAATTCCGGACTGTTGATCTCGAAGTTGGATGTCTACTGAATCTTCCATATGGCTCAACAACACTCTGTTAATAACCCTTCCTCAGACCAATAATAATGTGATGCCTCTGTAGTTCTCACACTTGCTGAGATCTTTCTTTGGTATCTTGATGAGATATCCTTCTTTCCAGTCTGTCGGCACTTGTTCCTCCTCCCAAATCTTCCTGAATAGAATGTGGAGCATCTTTTCAATTACTTCTGTGTTTGATTTCAGTGCTTCAGCTGATATGTTGTCAGGTCCTGCTGCTTTCCCACTCTCGTTCGTGCTTCTTTAGACAGTGTCAATGCAACTACTTGTGTGCGCAAAACATTTTCTTCCTCGTGACCAGAGTACAGTAGCATCTTCCCCTAACCTAGACTTCTCTGTCCAGCTTGTGTTTGATTGGTTCCACTAACTCCAAGCACCGTCAATTTGTATCTCTTCATTTCTGTAGCTATTTGATTAGTCCAACATTGTCCGGACATTCCATGTACCTATATTGATTGTGGGTCTGATTGTTAAATGATCCATGGGCCTTGTGACTTCTGAAGAATCTCGGCTTTTTCATGAGGTGTTATAATTCTTCTCAATGAACATCATTCAACTCGGAGGACAGAGTTGAAATAGTTCAAATTGTTTTTTTGTGGTTAGCGTTTTTTAGCAAGGTTGTTTCCTACGGGATGGGGTTTCTGGCATCATCCCTAACACTCCTCTTTTACGTGGGCTTGAGACTGGCAGTAACCCTAGAAGAGCTGCAGGCGGAGTTAGCGGGATATAGATGGGATTAAAATATGTTCCGTTCAGAATTGTATTGGAGCACGCTGATGGGTCATTTCTTGGGTAATGAGCGCTAGTGGATACTTGAAGAAGACTATAGAATCTTCTTGCATAATAATTGTACATAAGTTAACGTTCTTCTTATTGGTATCTCTACTTCCATCCAACCTTGTTTATTCAGAATTTAATTACCTTCCTGTTCAACTGTGTTGTGATTCGGGAACTTTTCAAGTAAGGTAAATTGTCCAAGGAATACCAAGCAATAAGAGTAGTTGGGTCATAGTAAGAGAAACTATGACATACTCATATATTATTCTTTAAAATGACATTTTGTTGACATTTTTTATAACAATATCGTTCAATTTTGTTGTTGGCTGCCTGCAAGCATGAACCGATACAAAGTGACTTTTCCAACTTGTTTTCTAAAGATTTGGTAAATAGAACGTTTTCCCAATTAATTATTAACAGTATAGATAGTCATCAGCGATTATGGATTGAATTTGCTGGAAGAATGTATTGTAGAAGAAATTTACCTGCAGTAATGGAGCAATAGTTACATTTTTTGTTATCATTTCAAAGGAGTGGCCGATCTAGTCTAGTGTGAAATTATATATTGTTCAGGGAAAGTAACTCGATTTTACTCATTTGAAGGACATTCATACTTAACTAAGATCAGATAAGATGCCGTGTCTACATTCTGATTGATTCCTCTCTGTTTCATGAGTCATCGAATACTAAATCTCAGCACATCCTCTGTTAAACGTAAATTCTAAAATCTTATCTTACTCTTCAAACTTTTCATCAGGAAATTAATTTTAATTTTATTGTTTATTTTAGATAGTCATCAGTAATAAATAAGTATTCATATTTCTTTTAATCATTTCAGCCCTCAAATATATTTGTGGACAATTCAGGTCATGTCACATTATGCAAATATGAATTCTTTGCGAGGTAATGACTGAATTATAGGTATCATTTTTGTATATTATTACTTATTTGTAGCTAGGACCTTTATTTCACTCACTAATCAATTTATGTAGCCGTTGCTAGACTAGTCGAACTTTAGATACTCTTTATTTTACGAAATCAGATGAGTGGAGCATAAATTTCATATTATCAAGTGTTATGGGCAGGTGCTTCGTTCGAAGAGTCGAAATACTGTTACAATCCGTTTTGGTTGAATCCACATTATATCTAATCACAATTGTACTTTCACTTCAATAGACTGCGGTTACAACGTAGAATCTAATTGTATTATATGGGTTGCAAGCAGGTTGATATAATTATAGATGTTCATTGACTGAGATGACCACAATATTCATCATGTATGCCTAACCCCTGCCTTACTCAATGCACGGTGTTCTCTGGTGTAGGAGAGAGTTGGCAGAAATCCAAAGACGGTCATACCAAGATATGGAGTTAGTCCATGAATTCACTGACTATTGAGTTGAGCCGTATCGGTGGGTGCCAACTATCAGATCGGAGTCTTCGCAACTATCGTAACCAGTGGTTGGAGACGTTAGATGACATGCTTCGGAATCGGTGCAGATATGCTCAGTTGTATTCACTCTTTGTCTTTCCGTAAATCTTGAGTTTTGAAATTATCTTTGTGTTATGGGAATTCATACCTATCGAATGATATTGCCCAGGTTCATTGATTAATTTATATATTTGTGTTCACTCGTTGGTTCCCTCTTGTTGGAACAATGCTTCCAACTCATTTGCTACTACATACTCCTTATGTGTCCTTCAAGCTTGAGTAATCGTTTTATGATTTTTAAGCTCTCTGGTTTACCATTACACACTAACGGTCACTTTTACATTATGTAAGATGTGTTTGATTTCTTCACATTCGGTGATCATACTTCACGTTAGTCAGTACGTTATGCAACCAAACTATTACTTGATATCAATGCTAGTCCCCTAAAATAATTTCGGTTCACTTCGTTTTTTTCCCTCAATTTTTAGATGCGAAGTAAGCAGTTTTAAGCTTATTAGTGTAGTATTACTTGAAAGGCATCACACAGTCAGTGTATAAAATACATGCACTAAGTTAACCGATTTTTGTTTGCGTTCCATAGTTGTGTATCATCTATTAAAAAGCTAGCGTATGATTTGCTGAAATAATTAATGATTATTTAAAATGACTTAGGATAAATATTGCATATTGCAAAAGATTTCGTTTTTTCTATATTTTAAATTGATTTCTGTTTTGTTTACCAGTTTTTAAATTGTTTTCTGTATTTAGACTTGACCAAATCGTTTCCGAAAATCTAAAACAACTAGGTGTTCAGTTACCCCAAAAAGCGTATCAAAGTGCTGTTCACTACTTTGGGCGTTCCGTACAACAAAGAGATCTACATCAACTTGTAAGTACTCTCATCGTCAATAATGTTTTAGCTGTTCGAATCTTATATCGTGTTTGGTTTTGCAAACAGATGTATGGATTGTTGTTTTTGTAGATGATGAAACTGTTCAAATAAATCCTTTACAGTTGGATTGTCGGAAAGTATTTGTTCTCTCCTTAAACCTACCCTGGTAATAAATGCTTATTATCCAGAGTGATTAGGTGTCAAGTTGTTTTCAGATTATTTTATCATTATTATCCTTGTCTATTTCTATAGTTGACCTTTTATTTTTATATATAAATGTTCTTAACTTACATAAAGCCAAAATTCTCCTGACTACGATGTCGAAATTATTGTATGAAATAAACAAACAAATTAAGGCTATATCGATGCAATACACACAGTATGCACATATGCCAATAAGAAACTGATCAATTGCAGTCCTAACAAATCAATGGGAAGATTCAAACAAACAATACCAAGTGAATTCAAACTTCACCCCATTGCACAAGCAAGTGGCTATCAGAATTCAGTAGCTGAGTGGATAACGCGATGGCGTTTGGAGTGAAAGGTACTGGATTCGAGCCCCAGAGTGAACATCAACTCTGAGATGCAGGTACATCCAGCTGACGAGTCCCAAATGAGACAAAACGTGCTTCCTGGATTCCGCTGCTAGTCATCGTCCATTTTTGCTTATAATGCTTGTGAATTAAGGCTATATTGAGGCAATACGTACAGTATGCTCATATGCCAATAAGAGACTGACCAATCGCAGTCCTAAAAATAAATGGGAAGATTCAAACAAACAATACCAAGTATATCAGTTACAGTTTCTGTTTATGTTAGCAAGGCGTAGAATAAATCAAAGAACGTGCCATCCTAAGTTACGTTGAAGCATGCATATTGCCACATTTATAATCAATCAGCATTGGTGAATATATGATGAAGACTAAAGTCTTACTATGTAAAAATTATAAATGTAATAACATTTCCCTTATTGTATGAACTTAGTTAACCTTGCTGTTTTATTTTGAAACATAGTTGCGTTTTTGTTCAAATCGTGTTCTTATTTGGGGACCAATCGAGTAAAGTGAAGTGTGTAAGGAATACTAGACAATAAAAACAACTGGGTCAAATAAGCAAGATTTAACAGCTTCTTTTGAACTAGGTTTAAAGTTACCTTGAATTAAAAATTCGAGATACAATTGGCCTATTTTAGTCCTAGAAGGCTACTAAACGTGTGATAAGTAACAATGTCACAGAGGTTAAATATTTGATGCAATTTTGTGCAGTTAAAACGAAGAAATCCACTGACTCCAGTTGAAACATACAGATGTGGCTGTATTGTGTATACAACAGAAGAAGTAGTCAAAACTTGGTAATTTAGCTTAGCTTGTAGAACAAATTGTGGAAATAGTATGTACATGCTTTACAGTACTAACCTCGTTAAAGATTTTAAACGTTACTTTAATTTAGTGGAGTGCTTTGTGTAAGGGTTAGGGTATTATTTATTGGTTAATAAACGCTTCCCGATTTGTTAGCGACTATTCTTTCATTATGTTTGAAATAATCTCAGCAATCAAAATTTGGATAAGTTCAAAGTCTCACCCCTTAAACTAGTTCGAGCTTGTTCAGGAGAATAAAAAAATCAACATCAAAAATATATATAAAGTTTAAAAATAAATTACACTAAAAGTTTGTCCAACCAAGTTCAGGTATTTGTTTTGTATATGGTAAGGTCATAAGATATTTGGTGTGAATTGCGTTCACATTTTGAAAAGTTCATAAATGTTTGTGTATTTGTATACTGTTGATGTTAGAAACAGTCATAAAAATGATTCCTTTAGCCACAACATGAGTGCCTGTTAATCGTTTTTGTTTATTAAAAAACTAATAGTACATATGAATACAATAATCTAGTCAAAATATGTGTAGATTCAGATTCGTCACATAGTTAACTATGATGTTCGATTAACGATTGTTGTAGATAAATCCAAAAGTAATGAGTTAATAGGCGCCCATTTTGTTGGAATCAAACTCCTGTTGGTATAGATAAGATGGATGTTAAAATCCAAGTACTTGCTTGTCAATCAACAGTTGCCATGGCCAAACTCACTGTACTCCATCTCTCCCATTGATAATGTACCGACTCACCCAAATATACAAAGCTTCAGCTGATAGTCTTTCCTTATGAGTACCAAAACCTTTCTGAAATATTTGGATTCCTTCAAAGTGGGTCTTGTGTACTGTCCCGAGTGCGTTTGGTGCTCTTATTAGTCTATTCTGAAGCTTCTTAAGTTCTTCTGACGAATTAGAAACATGTTTCAAGCATTCATTGTGTTTCTTTACCTTGACATTCGGTTGTCTCGATGTTTCTTTCATATACGGTATTACATTCATGACACCTAATTTCATATACATAATCTTGTTACTCTTTTGGTATCTTATTTTTCAATTTCACTATTGTCAATCTGATGGTGTCAGTAGCTGAAAAACAAACTTATTTATTCATCATTATGTATTTAGTAAGATTATTATTCCACTAATCAAAGAACTAGTTAAATTCTCGACAGAGTTTATGTAACATTATTTTTTGTTGTCTTTTTAGTTTATGCGGTTATTTATGAGTAGCAGTTTAGTTTGCATAAGCTTTTATAGTTTTTCATAGTTGAAAGCGTGAGCCAATTGAAGCTAGACCATCATGGAAAACCTGGAAGCACTGGACGGCCGTTTCTTCCTACTATGGGACTCCTCAGCAGTGCGCATCCACGTTCCCGCACTTGCGAAATTCGAACCCAGGACCTACCAGTCTCGCGCCAGAGCACTTAACCGATAGACCACTGAGCTGGCCGGCATCCAACGGTATTAATGTCTAACTTCAACTGATCCACGAAGTTGAGCAACCGTTCACCAATTTTATAGCTTTTTCTGAAAATTATTTGTTAGTGTGATTCTGAGTTTCACTGGTCAATTTTGTTCTATTTTCACATAATCAGGGTCTTGTTATACTTCATATTCTTATTGGACCATTACCTCATGCCAATTCAACCGAAGTAGTATCATTAATATCTGAAGTGTTGGACGGTCTGAAAATAACTCAACCGGTTTTTAGAGACTTTCTGCAAACATGTTTATACGCTAATCATAATGATCATACTACATCCGTTGTTGATTATATAATGTCACATCAATTCTTGCATGACTCTATTCCTTGTAATTTTTTGTCAACAAAATCAAATAAAATAGAATTGAATTTAAGTGCAATGACTAGAACATCAAATCAGATCAATGCTCTTAACAATCCAGGTAAGTAATAGATATGCATCTTTTCAGTTGAGTTATTTGATTCATACACAATGTTTATTAATATACATAAGCTCTCATTTTTAATTACTTCATTCTATTTCCATAATATAAAACATACATGAATGGTGGCGAAGTGTGTGCCAAACTTTCCTATCATGAATATCTTTTTCAGCGACCGAAACAAAATTATTTTGGTAGAAATAAACAATCTACTCAAATCGTGGAGTTAAAAATATATTCCTTAAATGATTGTAATGCTTCACATAATACTGCTTTCTCGTGCCACGAATATTTTGCTAGATAACCAGCTTTCTTAACAGAAGTGTGGATTTTTACATTACTAGTGTTTGTCTGGACTCTCTCGTTCTCCAGTGTCATCTGGTTGTCAAGAATTTACAAACTATTTTAAGTTCATAACACTATAACATGTCCTGAATATCTGGACTACCTGTTCCTGCCTAGATATTTCAACAAGTTACCTGTTTTTTGCACTTTCATGAAAAATTTACAATCATTCACTGTACAACTTAAACAAAAGTACAGAGACATTGTGGTACCTGGTAATATGCATTGAAAGGAATGAACATTATTGAAATGTCGATTTCTGAACTGCTAACATCTAACGATCACTAATTGACAAGGTGGACTGTCTTCACTTCCTACTAATTCTAAACATGTATCGTAATTGTGGTGTAATAACGATTCAAGAATTTTGACTAAATGATTGCTCAGTATTACCATAAGATTTCAATATTTATCGTCAGAATTGATCAATCAATAAAAAAGAAACTTATTGAAATACTTTGTGCTGAGAATGCTATATTGTACCAAAAATATGATATTGAATAGAGTCATAAATAATAATAATGCTGTCCAAATAATAATATCACCTATCGAATCGTTTTATTTGCGTGATGCTAATAAGAAATTTCTGCCTTTGTATGGCAACTCAATCACTAATTATAGACTGACGTACTCGAATATGAAATACATTTGTTCTAGGACTTGATATTACCTAATTACTCAAATAGAATCTGATCAACTTTCAGCTTAATGATTGTTAATAATCAGATTCGTGAACTATTATATCAACACTCTATTCCTTTGCTATCTACTACGATTTATCGAAAACAGAAAAATTGACCCACTCGTTTATGTATTATTTTTATCATCATTCTATTGAAACTATGTCAGTCAGTCAGTCACAACGTAGAACCAGGCACATATATGCATCGGTCCAAGTTGCCATACCTCGTTAGCACAACAGGATGAACACCGGATTCATAGGAATAGATAATTTAGTGGTGGTAGTATATAAAAGATAGGTTGTATATAAGGATATAGTATAGGAAGGAAGAACGTTGTGAAGCAATTTTAATCTCAAGGCTTAAGGGAAGATAAAGAGTGTATACACCTACGCCATTGTGATCGATTCTGAGCCATGTCACACAGAGTCTCCAACCATTGATTACGATAGTCACGCGAACCCCAACCAGGTAGTCTGCATCTACTAACATGGCTCAGACTAGAAGCTAGTGACTTCAAGCACTGATGCCACGTTTTGGTTTGGCCGCCCCTAACTTTCTTCCAACCATCCCCTACATTAGTCAACATTGCGCGTCGTGATAATCGGTGTTCAGACATACGTAACACGTGGCCCAACCATCTCAGTCGATGAAGATTCATGACCTCATCAACTGGTTTACCATCATTCCCTAATATCATGTGTCTAACCTCACTATTACTTAGCCGGTGATCCCAGTAGATGCGAGCAATATTTCTAAGATATCTGTGATCAAATACTAGTAAATTACGAGTATCTTCTACTCTTACTGGCCATGTTTCGCAGCCGTAAAGTAGAACAGAGCGAACTGCTGCGCAGTATACTCGTCCCTTAATTGATAGACGGATATCTTGTCTTCGCCATAGGTGACGTAAGTTGGCAAAAGCCAAACGAGCTTTTTGAATCCGTGCTGAGATTTCGTCAGACACCAACCTATTAGGGCTGATCAGACTTCCAAGATAAGTGAAGTTGTCGACGCGTTCGACTACTTCAATCCCTATCCTTAGTTCAGGTGTTGACGCAGGCCAGTCCTGGAGTAACAATTTACATTTGGATGGAGAGAAACGCATCCCAAACATCCTGGCATTATTACTCAGTTCCAACAGAAGACTCTGCATTTTGCCAGCGTCTTCACCAAACAGGACTATGTCATCTGCCTATTCTAAGTCGATCAGTGGACCTCCTGGCAGGAGACTAATTTTTGAAAATTCAATCGAAGACAGTGTTATTTCCAGCAATATGTCTATAATGAAGTTAAACAAAAATGTGGATAAAGTGAAAATTCCCATTTTGACATTTGTTAATTAAAAAAGGAACGAATCGAGCTAAGAAATTTCTTTTCAATTAGTTTTTCATCATGGCTCTACACTAATATATATATGGGGTCACCATTGGGCCCTATACTGGCAGACATTTTTCTGGCAAAACTAGAAAATGGTCCACTCAAAGACACAATTAGCCATCTAACATCATATTGTCGCTATATAGATGATACCTTCATAGTATTAGAGAAAGAACATGAAAAGGAGAACATCCTTAATATATTTAATAATATCCACCCATCAATTACGTTTACACTAGAAGAAGAACAGAATGGTAGTATATCGTTTTTAGATGTCCAACTAACCAGAAGAATAGACGGAACATTAAAAAGAGGATTACATAGAAAATCTACAGTTGGTCAGTACACTCATTTCTATAGCGCAGTACCAATGAAATACAAAAGAAACCTAATAAAGATCCTTACTCATCGTGCTAGAATGATTTGCTCTGACGACATTATTTTAGATGAACTGGCTAATATTCGAAACTTGCTTAGTAAGAATGGGTATCCAATGAAATTCATCGACAAACACATGACGGAGACGAAAAGAAGGACAAAGTTACCTACTGTTCCGAAGAAGGTACTGTTCCTAAAGTTACAATTCTTAAATGATGCTACTGAAGAAATCTTGACACAGAGGTTATGAAGGGCAGTACAGAAAACATTTAATGCAGCCCGACTTAGTACCGTCTTCTACAACCGCCCCACAATAAGAACTGTTAATAAAGACAGATTGCCTGAATTCGCCACATCTATGTGTATTTACCAATTCAACTGCTCCTGTGGAGCCAGTTATATAGGGCGTACAATTCGGCAAGTTCGTCAACGAATAACAGAACACCATCCGTCATGGTTGACTAAAGGACAGATAAAGGGGATTAAGAGTTCTATTCTCGCTCACTTGGTGGACACAGGTCATCAGGTTGAACTGAATAAAGCTTTTAAGGTTATCTACCATATTCCATCAAATTTACCACATGGTTTACGAGCTCGTCTATTGCACATAGCTGAAGCCATCGCAATTCATATCCACAAACCGAACCTATGTATCCAAAAGAAGTTTGTACAACCACTCTCGCTACCTTGGCCATCGGTATAGCGGAGTTTGTAGCATAATTTCGGTAAACAATTATCTTATTCCTTCCATTTTTTGTATTTTGTATTTTACTTATTCTCTTCATTCGTCTCTTGATTCTTACATAATTACTATATTACTGACCATTCATCAAAATATTTTGTTAGTTCTTACTTCTCTTTTTTATATATTATGCAACGTAGCAACAGCTTGATTTTCGAATAATAACTTTGATTAGTATTAATCCTTCTCTTCCAATTAATGTTAGTTTATAATCGATGTCATTATATAATCATTACGTAACGTATCTACTCCATGAGTGTTATTTAATTGTAAATCATATATATATTAGTGTAGAGGCATGATGAAAAACTAATTGAAAAGAAATTTCTTAGCTCGATTCGTTCCTTTTTTAATTAAAAATGTGGATAGTGGACATCCTTGTCGGACACCACTTGAGGTTGTAAAATCAGATGACAGTTCGTCATAAGCTCTCACTCGACTGGTAGTGTTCGAGTAAAGAGCCTTCACAAGGTTTATGTACTTCTCAGGTACACCTTTCAATGACAGACACTGCCACAGAACCTCTCGGTCTACAGAGTCAAATACTGCTTTCAAGTCAAGAAAAACTATCATTGTCGGACGCCGATAAACATGTCTGTGCTCTAAGACTTGGCGAATAGTGAATATGTGGTCGATGCAGCGACGACCAGGTCTGAAGCCAGCCTGATTTTCTCGTGTTTGGAGTTCACGAGTCTTAGTTAGACGCCTGATAATTATTGAGGCTAGTATTTTAGATGCTATGTTAGTCTCTATGGTTATCGCAGGATGATTTTGACCCCTACTTATATATTGGGACAATAAGTGATTGTGACCAGTCGGATGGGAATACGTTCAACTCCCAGATTTTAGCAAGAATATTAGTCAACTTAGTCGCTAAAATTGGGCCACCATATATAAAGACCTCTGGAGCCAATCCATCAGGTCCAGCTGCTCTTCCTCGTTTCAGATTAGCTGTAGCCTTTTGAACTTCAAGTAGGGTCGGGGGGCCTACTTCAATGTTCCATTCAGGTTTTCTGGGAATAGTGGGTAGTTGTGCAGTAGCCGAAGGCCAGCTTAACTGCTCCTGAAAGTGTTCCGCCCATCGTTCTAAACGTCTGGGCTGAGAGCAGATAAGGGTTCCGTCTTTTTTCGAGATTGTCTCACTTACACTTGACTTCTTAATTCCGGTTTCTTTTATTAGTCTGAATAGTTGCCTGGTGTTGCCTACAGCCGCTACCTTTTCCATCTCTTTTGCTTTCGTTGCCCACCACTGCTCACGATCGTTCCTTAGACTTTTAGTCAACCTAAATTTGATTTGTTTACGCTCTTTGTCGTGTTCAGAGCCTGATGGGATGAGTTTACGAGAATCCATCAGTGAAATAGACTTGGAAGAAATCCATTGGTTTTTTGGGACCCTACGGCTTAAATTACTAAGAGATGTGACTGCTGTTTTCACAGCTGTTCGTATATCTTTCCAAGCAGCATCTGGGTCAATCTCGTTTATAGAACTACCTAGATATGCACTCAGTTGTTTCTGAAATTCGCATTTGGCTTTCTCGTCCTCCAGTTCAATCCTAATGGGTCTTCTTAGTGTACTTTTCCTGCGTCCATTGAGGCGCAGACAAATGCGCGCTCGTATTAAATCGTGATCAGAGTCTAAACATGTATTCCAATACGAGCGACAATCTTTTATTGAGCCTCTCCAACGATGACTGATGACAATATGGTCTATTTGAGTCCATCGTTGGTTTGGTGCAGGTGGTCGCCATTTTAGACGATGTCTCTCCTTATGCTTAAAATTAGTGCTTGCTAAAAATAAACGATTGTCTGAGCATAGTTGCAACAAACGATCACCATTATCGGTTCGTTGAGCCGGAATACTAAAACACCCACCTAAATGTCTTTCTGTTTGATTTAAGCTGCCTACCTGGGCATTAAAGTCACCCGCTACGACTACTATGTCTGAGCGCTTAGCTTTCTGAAGAAGCTCAGAGAGCTTTCTGTAAAAGTCATCTTTCACTTCACGATGACTGCAGTCAGTGGGATCGTAGGCAGAAACGACGAAAAGGCAACGACGTGTGTCCCTATCCTTCCGAGTTCTTACGGAGCCATTTAGCCGGACAGCACACAGGCGACTGTTAACGGAGATCCATTCTAATAGTGCCTGTTCTGCCCTTGTAGTTAGTGCTATGCTTACACCTGCAAGTCCACGAGAACTAACCATTGGGTCGCCAGATACACAAAGGGTGTATTTCGTTGGCTGTCCATTTTGGTGAGGTGAGGTCAAGTGAATGACCACACTAGGATCCTGTATGCGTGTTTCGGAGACACAGCATACGTCAATGGTACGAGATTCTAGGGTTTTAGCTAAGGAGGCCTGTTGACCGATTTGACTTAGGGTACGTACATTGAAGGCTCCAATGTGTAGTTTGGAGCGAGGTTTTAGTAGACCTGGGACAGTGTTTCGCGCACTAGAATCGTTGGCCATGGTGTCACTTGAGGAGGAAGCCGAAACAGGAAGTTTAGTGCTGAAAGTTGAAGTAGAAGGAACAGTAGGAAGTGAAGAAGGAGATTGATTATGAGTACAGTGGTCTTGAGTGCTGTTAGAGGTATGAGGGCAGTTATCACTTCCCGGTTGCCTACACCGTGGAAGGGTCCTTCTAGGGGTACCTGAAAAGAAAATTGGGTTAGAAGTGGTCTTAATGCATGACCACAGCGCCCAAGAGACAACTGCTTGAGGCCGGTCAGACGCCTTTTTGTGGGTGATTTTTGTGTTAGCTCCGTTCTTCAAAGGACCTTACCACCGGAGACGGAAATCCATTGGATAAGGCGAGGTGTGCATATTTAGGGTCGACCTTTTCTAACCCCACCCCTCCTTGTGGGAAGGCAGCATCGCTGTTATGCTGGTTGTCTGAAGGAAACACGTTACTGCCGTCACGCCTCTGTACAGTCAGCAATACGACTTCGCTTTCGAACCTTGGGTTTGCTGCTTTTAGTCTTACCGCTCTTCAACCGACCTTCTTGGCATGGTAGGACCTTGAGGAACTATTGTTCCAGCCAGTATAGCTTGATTGGTTCATCACGATAGGCAAGCCCGACCACCACGTCAAGGTAGCAGCAACGGTCGGGATTGAAACTATGACAAATAATTCCACTTGTTTAATGGAATTTATCATTAGTTACTGTTAGAAAGACTTACTTTTTGCTTAATATCTAACGTAGAGAAATAATCTATTTTCAGTGTTGGCTAGACTAATCATTCTATTGAATTTTAAATAGATTAGGCTTTTTGTGTATATATATCACTCACTTTTCATATGATTATAATGTGTATGACCTCACAACCCTTCAAGCTTTTGAGTAAATAATTGTGAAATCTTTTTTTTTCATTTTACACTGATTTGTTGGTTTTTCTTTCGTAGATTTGCAAACTGTTGAAGGGAATGCAACTTCTAAATGCCCTCGATTATTTGAGGATTTCACCGATTTTGTTCTAATTGGAAAAGGTGGTTTTGGTTGTGTACTAAAGGTATCGTTACACTATTTTCACCATACGTTTTAATTTTTATGTGTTTTCTCGATAGATATATACACATTTTCGTGTTAAACAGTAGTTAGAACATTTTCATTTAAATAAAGTATATTAAAAACCGTTGTTTTTGTTTATCATGTATTTAGTTTTTAAATTAAGTCCACTGACTACGTTTCACCTCATTTGTCTAATTTTGTATTGAAGTTTATGAAATTTGAATATAATTGTTATGTTATCATAAAAGGACAGTAACTCCCTCAATATCGGTAGTATGTTTGAAAAAAACACCTTATGTTCTGAGTATCTGAAAATACGTGACATGTTTCCAAGCTATTTACGTTAATGAAAGTTTTTAAAAAATACACAAATTGTTTAGAAAATGGTTCTCGTTTGAAAATCATAGTGTTGATTAGCCATCAAAGCAAAATATTGTGGCTTTGATCGATGTTCGACTCATGTACGTGGCATAAAACCCGAAATGCCTTAGTACCACTGAATGTATGAAGAGTCCACTGTCCCTCCCGAAATGATGTCTACGCTCATATAGCCATTACTAGAGAAGTTCTACTCAGTGCCTTTTCTCGACTTGTATGTTGTTTACAGAAATAAGAAGATGAAATCCAGTGTCTGGGGCATGATTCAGGTTGTTTGGTACTCAGGGTCCACATAGGGCGGTTAGAAAACCCTGATTATTAACCAATAATCCTCATTGGCTCCAGAATTCTAAAGGGACGAATGGCTTATAAACCTGTTTCGGTCACCGGGTTCCATGAAACTGCTCCACTGCCTTGTAAACTAGGTCTCCAATTCAAAGGCCATAGAATGGCCCTTTAAGAATACCATCTGCTTCTGAGTAAGCACCTGGACAGTATTGGGAGCCACATACAAATATGTTTATTAGTAACGAAAATATTCTCGTTCGCCGTCGTTGTACTTATAGTCAACTGTAGTACGTCTGGAATAAATTGATATTAAATTTAATACTTTTGTCTCTATGATCTATTATAATGCACTCAGTTTGTCGACATCTGGGATGATATAGTTCTGACATTGAAATGTTTTTTTTCTTTAAATCATGAAGGCGCGGAATATTATCGAAGACCGTGATTATGCTATCAAATGTGTGAGAGCATCTAAAAGTCAAACAAATACATTATTTCGTGAAATTCGTACTCTTTCAGGGTTACAACATGAAAATATAGTCAGGTGATTTTGTTTTTGTTTTGTCTGAATACTCATTTCACATACTTTTCGGCACCCTCGTTAGTCTAGTTATTATAAAGGTTAGACTATGTTTATTTTAGTACTCATATTAATAAATATATCTGAACATTTCAATGATATTGCATTTGAGAGTGCAGTGGTTGTTATCTGTAGTATTTGATGATTGTTACTCTATCGCAAGTTTATTAGCGTTGAATTTGCATCATTGGAATTCAACCCCGTGGTTCTAATGGTCATCGGTTTATCTCGAGACTGTAAAGTTCTGGTTTTGATCTCTGATAAGTTCCGTATTAAGATGAAACAAATGTCTGGCTACCTCTGGTTACCAATGGTACCTTGTTTGTGGTCAGTAGTAGAGTCTTAGTAGAGTTCTATCCTTATGTTTCTATATGTCCTGTCGTTGATTGTTTTTATTATCTTGTTTATCAACCACATGTATTTAAATCAGTTGATCGGACTTACTAAACACTAACCATCATGTTATTATTAAATAAGATGCATAATTAGATGCTATTTGATAATCACTGTTAGTTTGTACTGAACGGACCCATTGGCCACGTTTTCAGTGTGGCCACAGAAACGAATAATTTGACCTTACTACCGTTCAACAATGAAGTACACTGTGCTGTTACCAACTATCAAAGTTTCATTGTCAGCGACACCAGTTAACCGCTGTTAAAATATTAAACGTATTTGATTGGTTCAATACATTTATGTTGTTGAAAATCATCGCTTCATCAAATCGTTACCTCCAAAACAAGTTGAAATGTTTATAATTGAATATTTGGAGAGTTTTTTTTAGACCTTTTTATAGATGTCATGCCACCAACAATAAAAAATTAGTAAGGCGAACAGACAAATCAAGAGTGATAAAACAGCAGAACCTGACAACATACCAGCTGAAGCACTGAAATCAAACACAGAAGTAATTGAAAAGATGCTCCACATTCTATTCAGGAAGATTTGGGAGGAGGAACAAGTGCCGACAGACTGGAAAGAAGGATATCTCATCAAGATACCAAAGAAAGATCTCAGCAAGTGTGAGAACTACAGAGGCATCACATTATTATTGGTCTGAGGAAGGGTTATTAACAGAGTGTTGTTGAGCCATATGGAAGATTCAGTAGACATCCAACTTCGAGATCAACAGTCCGGAATTCGTAAGAATCAATCGTTTGCCAACTAAACTACTACACTACCGATCATTTGTGAACTTACAGTTGAATTGAACTCGTCACTATACATCAACTTCCATGAGAACGAGAAGGCGTTTGACAGTGTGGATAGAACCTTATTGAACGTTCCTCAACAATATGATGTACCTGAGAAGATCGTTAACATCATGCGGAATTCAAACGACGGACTACACTGCAAAGTCGTGGATGGAGGACAGCTGACAGGTGCATTCCGAGGAAGGGTTGATATCAGACAAGGTCGTTTACTCTCTTTCTTCTGGTGGTTGACTGGATTATAAAGACCTCGACATCGGAGGAGAAGTACGGAATGCTATGGACAGCTTGGTTACAGCTAGCTGATTTAGAACAAGGGGATCTGATAGAGATGTGACGACTCGGATTTGCAAAGCAAGGGCGACGTTCCTACAATTGAAGAACATATAGGACTCTAAACAATTGTCAGCCAACACCACAGTCAGAATCTTCAATAGAATCGTCAAGACAGTTCCATTGTGCGGAGCTAATACGGAAAACAATTACAATTATCATCAAAATTGTATAGTCATTTATAAACAATTGTCTACGCAAGATACTACAGATCTGCTGGCCGAATGCCATCAGCAACAACCTTCTGTAATAGAGAAGAAATCAGCCCCTTGATGAAGAGAAAATTAGGAATAAACTGCGGTGAATAGGACAAACATTACTCAAATCATCAAACTGCATCTCGAAGCGAGATGTAACTTTAAATCTTGAAGGCAAAAAGAAAACAGTCAGACATCAAAAGAATAAGTCACAGTTGGAGATAATTGTAGAGGAGATCCCAGGATGGAGTTGGTTTGAGAATCCTGGTTGGCGTCCTATACTCCACGAAGGGTAACTGGCGCAAGTTAGAGAGTTTTTAACTAATTCTAACTTAGGTATTGCCATCGGTCTCGTAGCCATACTTACGATTAAGTACCAATTCAATAACGACTGATAGGTTTGACATTAACCGAACCCAATCATTTCATTCTATCCATTTTTATTTATCAGTAATAAAGAACCATCAGTCAACCACTCAGTGAAGGGGATTTTGAGGATTGGTTTAATTTATACGTCTTGGTTTTCAATGATACCTCAGATAAGATCGGTCTGGGACCAATAGGACGTATAAAGTATTAATTTTTATCTCCAAAGTTATGTTTTTTTGACTTCTTTTTCATTCATTTTATATTAATGAATGACTAATTAAGTTCTTTTTCTCGTATTTTCACTTAATACATAGATATTTCACATCATGGCAAGATACGTTCACTGAACCACTACCTCATAAAAATATGCCGTGTTCTGATTGGAATAAAAAGTGGGATGATTCAAAATATCGTAACTGCAAAAGTACTTCTTTTTGTTCCGAAGATAATGATGAAGAAGAAGAAGAAAAAGAAGGTAGAACTAGTCATCATCTGTACAGAAACCCAATTACGCTGAAATCTCAAAAACCCTGTCCAACTCCCACACATATAAACACTACACTTGATGAGCTAACTGAACTTGTTACAAATGGTAATGACTTCGATAAACGTATACTTAACAATTCTTCTAGTCACATTAATGATGAATCTTGGTATATAGGAAGTGAGTGAATGTCTTTTTTCCTACTCTTGCATTTTATTATTATTCAAGACTTTATAGTGTTCGGTTACGTCATTTCCTACAACACACTTCTATTCATTTCAAAATAAATTTTTAGATATTATGTAATTTAAGGTGTATTTGCAGTTGTAAAAGGATTAGGAAAATTTGTTATTGTTAGTGTTCTTAGAAAGTTGTATAATTTTTTTGTAAGTTATTATTCTTAATAGCTTCCGTTGTATTAGTAATGTGAAAAATTGACTTGTATTAGTGTTCACGAACAAAAGTTTGACTTTAAATGAAGCGAAGTATTTGTTCAGTTTTTTTTCTTTTCGAAGAAGGAATAGATAAATGGCCAGTAATCTTGATTTAAAACTTCATCCGTGTGGATGTTCAGTACTGATAAGAACGTTTAAATATTTCTGACTCTACAAATCATATCCTACCGTATTGACACCTCATGAGTATACCTTTTAACTTGATTATGTTAATTGACTGTAGCAAATAAATGCACAAAGTGGTTTGGTGAATAGCTCGAATTCATTTATATTAAGAGCATCCGTTTTAAAAGATTGCCAGGACCATTAGCCTGTACTCGCTCTTGGTGGTGAGCGGATAGAAGTAGCCGGGAAGTTCGTCTATCTGGGTAGCTGCTTAAGCGCTAGTGGTCGCATGAGTGATGAGGTCAATCCACGTATGGCGGAAACCAGAGTGGCGTATGCCAATCTGGGCCATCTATGGCGTCTTTATGATGTTAGTCTGGCTGTAAAAGATCGAATCTACAACGCATCAATGAGAGCAGTTTCACTCTATACTTATGAATCTTAATCTCTCTGGGTTGAGGGTGTTAGATAACTTATTGTTGTTTCCAGAAAATCGCCAACATTCAGTGGTAACACCATGTTAGTAATACAGAGGTTTGGCAACACGTGTTCGGACATATTGACATCGATTCAGTTGGTGTCACTGTCTTGAAACACTGGATTCGGTGGCTTGAACATGCGCTATGAATGTCGTCTCAGAGAATTACATATCGTTCACTATTTGTCGATTCTAGGACTGGTTGAAAAAAGAGGAAACCTGGTCAGTGTACATCATAATGTAATGGTATGAAAGTTGTACAGGATCGGGTTCTTTTGATCCTTTACGGCTTCCTGGTTAGAGCTCTAGAAATGGTGCGATTCGGTGACTTAAGGCGTCATCAGAAATGTCTCAGAATAGGAGCCGGTGGCGACCCTTATGTAACTCTTTCTCACTTTCTTCATAAAAGTGAAAGTAACTTCTTTAACGGAAACAATTTTTTTCTGATTGTGTTTTTCCTAACTGAACTGCTTCTCCAATTATTATCGTTACTACTAATATTATTATTACTTAACTCCCATACACTAGTTTCAATTGATCGTTGTTCTTTTTTTACTGCATTCACTTCCCCCTATCTCCTCACAACCCAGTTTTTGTTTTGTGGCGCATACATATTTGGTGGCCCCCTCGTTGTACCAATGCTTATGTGTTCAAATAAATTTTGTTTGTCAAGTGAAAATTCGTGTACTGGGCTTTAAACCACGCTCTAACTGTGTTAGGATTAGTGGTACGGCCCAGTTACTCAAACCCTAATCATAAGTATTTATTTATTATTAGAATACATAAATATTGGTACGAAGGGGCACCAGATACATATGCGCCACACAAAAATGGTCATTTCATTTAATTGTGTGAGGGCTATGAAACTGTCCGGATGCCCAGACCGAAACAGGTGGTTTTCTTAAGGGACTATACCTGGAGCCTTCGACCTAAAGGTCTGATCCACAAGGCAGTGGAGCAACGTAAGGAGATGCAGTCTCATGGTAGCCGGTGACCAGTTATTGATTCATACGCCATTTGTCCCTTCAGGATACTGGAGCCCATGTGCACCATTGGTTTGGAGTCAAGATTTTCCAACTCCCCAAGGTGAACTTTCCGTGTCGACCAACCTGGTTAAAGCGCCGGACATTCGATTTTCGTCCTCTCAATTTCATAAACGACACCCCCGCCACGAGAAGGCAGTGAGTAGGACTTCTCTGGCAGAGGCTGTATACGCGTGGCCATGTGAGAGCATTTCGAGCGAGAAGGCAGGCCCTCCTCACTCTCGGCCTTATCAGGGTATTTGGGGGCACTATAAAGTGGATTTCAGTTTCCATGTGTGTTAAAAAACAATTTATTTTAACCCTTAACCTGCCTAGGTAATACTGATTCATTATCTTGAGTGGTTATCACAATGTTTTTGTGTACTTTACTTTTCGATTACCTTTAATCTGTCTAGTTGAGCTTATATTTTTAATATCAAAATGTCCTAACAAGTATATGTGTGATCAGATTGTATTGCGCAAATATATAACATAATTCTGATAACCTTCGTCTTCTCATTGTATTATCGAAATTTATTTAAGGGACTAATTGCTTTAAACATAAACTATCCTCATATTGTTTTGTCATCATTTAATTAAGTAGTAATGGAATTTGATTTCAGTCTAAATGGCTTTTGGCTGTATAAATGTAATTAAACAGATAATCAGTGAACTTTTTTCATTATTCAGTTCATTAAAAATGTGAACATAATGCGAACTAAATCACTTTTGTGTAAAAGCAAAACTTGTAGATTTAATAAAATCCTTAAGTTAAGAGAATTATTAGTACAAATATTTATTCTTGAATAATGAATTGTATCAGTTTTAGTACTCACCAACCTCTGACGATTTTAAAAAAAAATTTTTTTTCAGCAAAAAAGCCAACAAACGTAGTTCGTAATCATTTTTTTCGAATTCCTGGAGAAAGTAGCGATGAAACTGAACATACAAATGATTATTCATCTTCACCTACTTCACTATCATGTTCATATCTATCTTCTGACGTTTCTGATTCATCTACTCAATTTGAAGATAATTTTCTTAATAATCAAAAAACAAGTGATACATTCGTGAATAAAGATGTTTGTGATGTTAAGTAAGTTCCGGATTATTTTAATTTTTATGTAAATACTTATCAGGCCACAGTGATAAAAACAGCAAATATTGAAATATTTTGTTTAGTAATTCGCTTAAAAGAATCCATTTATAATAATGCTAAAGAAGGGATATAGAAATATTCATAATATTTTTTTAAGTATTGCCCACATGTTAATATGTAAATTATTGAGTATGACAGAACGATCGATAAATATGTAAATCTAACCTGATTGTGAATTTCTTCTAGACGTATTGTAGTAGAATACGAAGACTAGTTGGATCCGAGCAGTCGCCTTAACCATAGTGTTTGAAAAAAACTCAACTTAGTAAACTAGTTAAGGTTTCTATGCTCTGATCAGAGTCATATGCTCTGTAACCTTACTTTTGTTTTAACTTCTCTCAACGTTATATATGTAGGGATCATTAGTACGCAAAATTACTTCATATTTAATGGGATTTTGAATCAACCAGCTTAAATCATTTACTTTAAATAGTTAACCCTTTTGATAAACTTTACGTATTTGACGTCACGTAGTTTTGATAAAAAAGACATCTCAGTACATCATTTAAATTAAATCTCATTCAATCAGTTTTAGAATTTTTCTTTTTGTGGCTGAAGTTCTATGTAAAGAGTTGTAATAATTTTTCACACTCACAGACTAAGTGTTGACTTGTGATATCCCTGTGAGAGATAATATATTTAGGGGGAGATGTCTGTTCGTATCTGTCGTTGATTTGTGTTGTTCAGCATAATCCACTTTGGTTGTCGTAATGATCCACTTAGTAATATTAGTAGATTTTAATCAAGTCAACATAATTTAGATTAAAACGGTAAGTCTCTCCAACAACTATTGGAAACCCACATTTCATATATTAAATTTAGCAGTCATAAAACCGTCAATCTCGTGAAAATATGGCTGAAGCATTTGTTGTATTGTGGTGTGTGCTACTTAGACGGACCGATATAAGTAGTATGTATCAAGATTTGGAAGTAGGATTCTTACTGACGCAAGAAGAAAATGATAAGTAGTAGAAGAAAAGCAAAAGCAGTCAGAGTAGCCACAAGAATGAAAGATCAATGGAGCTTGTAATAGTAAATTTAAGGAAGATGTACAAATAATGTATTCAATATATTGTTTTCATATTTTACAAACTTAGTGTGTAATTTCACTGAATAAAAGAAATTGATTTACCCTACCTGAGTTTTCGTTCATTACAGCATTAGCATGTTATTATAATATATCAGATATATATTTGGAATAATAGTTATGAGTATTTATCAGTGCCTTTGTACATTTGAGGATTAAGGAGAATCCACTCCATCTATTGGTTGTTTGCTTATTTGGGCTGTATATGCAAAGGAACACTGCTCTTGTTTATTTATCGATTAAATGTATAACCTTTTCCTCTTCTGTCTATTGATCATCATTCATTCTGCTATTTTGTCATTTTTTTATTTCGTCAAAACGAATATTTAATTGATGAATAAGCTATGATGATGAAGTATTTTTTGGGCTGATATATTTCCTACCTTCACACTATGTATGACATGGTGTCGTGCTATGAAAGAAAGTTGCAAAGGGCTAGCTTCTGTTGGCCCTTCACGACTCCCTGGATGGGGTCTGAAGGATGGTGCAACACAGTGGCTAGAGACGTTATCAGATATGGCTCAGAATAGAAGCCAGTGGCGATCCTACTGTAACCTTCTTTTACTTTCTTCATAGAGAGTGGTTATAACTTTCTTAACTGAGAGTTCTTCTGGTTGTACATTTCAGTTCCCTCCATCATTACTCTTCTCTTTTTTTCATCCTTTTTTTCCTTTATATATACGCATCTTCCCCCTTTCTCCTTCCATTCTCATTATTTTGTGTGGCGCATATGCATTTGGTGCCCTTTGTACCAATATGTATGTGTTTAAATAAATAAACTACTTTCACACCAATACTAAATGTGCTAAATACTAAATACTACATTTAATACTAAATGTAGCATATCAGTTGTATTGCATAACTTTTTTTCCTACTCGTCTTTTTCCATTTATAGTAATTCACAGAACAATGAGATTGAAAAGTCTGTACGAGAATATCGAGTAAGTTTTTGTTTATATGATTTTGCGATTTTATATTCGTATATTCTATCTGTTGATTCGATTCAACATTTAGTTAATTTATTACTAGTTTTACATGAGAAATAGCTTCTATTTGTAAGTGTAGTGAACAAAATTAGCTATTACCAATTTGTCTGTGCATTAACAATCTTTATATTTCGTATTTTTCTTAAACACTATCTGTTGTCTATTATTAACAATTTTCAGTCAAAACTAAACAATATTATACACAATAACCTCTAATGAAGTATTTCGTGTTACGTAGGCCACTAAATTAACTGTTTAAGCACATTCAAACAATCTTTTTTTGCTAAGAGTTGTAGATATGTTACCTCTATGCTTTTCAGACTTTGGCATCGGCCACGCAAATATATGAGATAAGTTGAGATTTCCAATGGTTGAGGTCGATCTCTTCCTTCTATTAGGAGGCGAAATCTCTGAAGACACTGGTCATCTCAAGTAATGTTTTGAAGGCTAATGTACTAAAATGACGATACCTACTTGTCTCCTATGTATGAAACTTTTTGAAAAGATGTTGAAGAGTTAAAGTAAAATTCACATAAGCAATTTTACTTCTCAGTGCCACTCGTTGATCCTCTTACTAATAAGTTCGAGTTCACTAAGAATATTATCAATGATAGACAAGTTCTACCATAAACTCATCTCGATACATATAATTTTTTATATTCCATTTCTGTTTCGTAGTATATTATCATTCAAATGGAATTATGTCCATCCAAGTCATTGAGATATGTTATTGACTCCGAAAATTTATCATGTAGTCCGGATAGAGCTTGGAGTTTATTCCGTGAATTAACAGATGGTTTGGCATATATTCATTCCAAAGGTGTTATTCATAGAGATTTGAAACCAGCCAATATAATGTTAGATTCTAATGATCATGTGAAAATTGTAGATTTCGGCTTGGCTACACGGACTGTACAAGAGAAACTAATGAATGCACGCCAAGCCGTTGCAGCTGAATTCCATGTAAGCATTGTTTTTTTTTAAAAGCATACTTCGTGTATCAAGATTTTAGCATGAATCTAAATCAGTATATACACCTTTAAACGTCACTGTTCGTTGTACAACGTTCTGAATTGATTTATTCATACTTATATCACAGAAATAACCCAAAAAAGTGGCGCTTAAATTTCATACTTTTAACATTTACAAGTTTGTTTTTTCTGAGGGTTATGTAATTTTACAGAACGTTATACAAAAAACACTACATTTTTACTTAGCTATTTGTCTTGTAAGTGAATTGATTTAATGCACTAACCCACTGGAAGTTTTAATTATCGATTAAAACCAGTTATTATTCATCCACTCCTAATTTATTTATTGTAAATGACTTATTTCACCAACAAATCCATTTACTGTATCCTGTATCTTGATTGTTGATTAATTTTCGTGTGATGTTTATAATACTTATTACCATTTAGCCTTCAGCCATTGAGTTAAAGTTACAAAACCCGTCTTATCTGCATTGGTTTGTGAAGTAGATTAGTAGATTAATGTTATTAGCTTTCACATACGTAATTAATTCGGTTCTTAAATGAGTTACATCTTACCTCTAAAATTTTGCTCTGTTTTTCCTTATTCATATTTTGATCAGAAATGTAGTAAACAAACAGAATGCTCAGATTCTACACAACAGATTCCACCTGTTGGACATAAAGAGGTACCGAATTCTACAGGTCAACATGAAAATACCATGAAGTTCGACGACCATTCCATGACCCATAACGTTGGCACCTTCTTGTATATAAGTCCTGAAGTTCTACTTTTGGATTCTCAAAAAAATCGCATTTATGATGAGGTAGTCTTTTCTTCATACATGGTCTCTGTACTGATTCAATTATGTCATTCCTACTTACTATGTGTAAAATTTAGTTGTTAGTTGGAATGAAGCTATGAAAGCAATTTAAATTCTTATGAAGGACTGAGTCAAGTACACAGTAGCTCTGACTATCCTACTGTAGAACTGCTCAATATATACTCATTTTACATAGAAAATAATCAATTTCTAGTATATAGTGTACCACAAATAATCCTAATGTAAAAACCGTAATTTCATAGGTTGGTAAATGACATACAAAAGAACAATCCAGTATTTATTTACATTTTAAATGAATTTCAACGTTTTTTTCCCTGTGTTAAATGTTCTGTATGTATGTCATTTTGCCATATAAAATGGACCATATTTTACTGACTAGTTATTGCCTTCTGATATCCATTGATTATTCGTATTTATGAATAGCGATCACTTTATACGATCGGTCTTGCATATCTCGCAATACACCATTATTTGTATCCGTTACAACAATCTACTGTGGTGTGAATGCATTCAAACTATTATGCACAACTTACTTCCAGTGAATAGATCATGGTACTTTTTGTCATGGAGTGTTTAGGTCTTTAAGAGGATCAGTTGGTTATTTTATTTTATTTAACAAGGCGTTTAAGATATGTGTTACTCACGTATACCGTCTCATCACTACTAACCAACTATACTCGTTACCTGCTTCGGTCTGGGAACCCGGGCAGTATCACAGCCCACACACAAATCAAGTGACTTCTGTAGCGCATATGTATTCGATGCCCCTTTGTACCAATATTTATGTGTTCAAATAAACAAATAATAAATGCTCGCTACCTGCCTGTAACTATGCTATAGCTTTTGATAATTGTCGACAATAATTTCTAATTACAAACCGTTGGGATATTTTTCCTAAGATGGAACTGGACTTATACGAAGTCCAAGGACCAGACAACCGACGCAGAATACTTCATTAATAAATCTCTACGTAATGGAAGTCGCAGAGTAGTCGGGAGTTGGATAAAATTTTAGTACACAGTATGTCAAATTTATAATGGAACAGTTGTGTATGTATAGGTAAAAATTCCCTTGGGGCACAGTAAAATTAGCAATCTAAAAGTAAAAACGATCAAATAACTGAAAAGGTCAATGCGAATACGACAAAAGTTATGGCGGCTATCTTTATACGAAAAAGCTGACATTTATTAACAAAAACCAGGTAACCTGAAGTTTTCTTAGCATTGTGTACTCAGATAAGTTTAGTTGAGCTGTTCTGTTAGTTAAGGGTCAACAATCACTTAATCGAAAGTTAAAAAATTGACGCGTTAAAATCAAAATGTGTTGTTCAATGTACCTGATTTGTTAAACGTATTATCTTTTACAACTGTAGTGTCGATTGCTATGTTAAGCCTACATAGCTTATTTAGCTTCCAGACAGGCCATTTTACTCATTCTTCTTGAGTCACATTTTGACCCTGTTAATTATTCGCTTGTCAACCTTGACTGTTTTTATGTAAGCATGGGTACGTACATTTCTTATCTTACTCATCACATGTCTGTAGCTTATTTCTGTTCGACTATAGATATCAATTCACACTTAGTTAAACTGATTTGGCTCACATGCTTTCTCCACTGTTCATCATTTCATTTTGCTTCATTTCTTTGATAGTCTGGATCAACGACTATATGAAATATGCGCATTTAAAATTCATTTGACTTATTTAATTCCGTTATTCACTAACGCGAGTTAAATCGATATTTATTTACAAGGATTGGCGATATGTATATTTCAATGACAATCATCTTACGATCTAATTAGTGTCAGATTTAAAGCCACCAAACAACACTACAGTAATCATTACCTGTATGTGCAAAAAGAACTGAGACGTATGAATCTTCAATACACTACACATTCATTTCCGCTTATTGCAAATCCACAAACGGTTATCACTTTTTCCTACTTTAGGCTAGTGTTTTTTACAGAGTACATTCAAGCCACATGTTAACCTTTTAGTCGTTGTACTTTTCTCAATATATTTTCATAGTTTAGTGTATGTATATTAACTTTTGTTTTGCTTTGTCCGCACTTTTTTTTATTATCTCACAAACTAGCGGGTTGACATCTACAGTTTGGGTATTATTCTCTTCGAAATGTTTTATCGTGCTATGCCAACTGCAATGGAACGCGTTTTGATTCTTACTGAATTAAGAAAAGAAAAGATTATCTTTCCAAAAGATTGGTCTCAAGATGAACTTGTCAATCAGACTTGGTTAATTCGTACTATGCTACAACATGATCCTTCTAAGAGACCAAGTGCTTCGGTATGTTGTACGATTTCTCATAATGACTATTCACCTCACTTTTTTTTCATATAAACGTAATAGTGTTAACCTAATGTAAATCGCGCTTCCATTGATAGTTTGCGATTAAACCTCTAGCTTAAGTGTTGGAAATGCTACACGACATATTTTTGTTTTATATCTATAGACATGAAACATAAGAGATTGGTACAGCATAGAGATTTTTGTTCGGGAGATCTTCCAATTTGAAATTGCTGCATGTGTATCACGTTTAAATGCGATGCTCACACGCTTCCTCTTGCAGTGTTAAAATTGCTTTACGATAGTTGGTTCCTCGTTTTATATAGAATTCCTGTGAATGGATATTCTTTGTTAATTGTTGTTATGAAAATGATTGTTCAGCTTAAAGGTGAATTTGATTGCTACATAACAGGTGCTGGATATCTTCAATACATGGCTCAAATAATATAACATGTAATGTAAATACGATCCATATACCCTTCGTATTATTGCAAATTGTTATAAAGAGCATTCAGGTGATTGATTTCCAGGCTAGCTATAGAGTAATCTAATAGTAACTGGCCTGTGGGAGATCCTATGGCTATTCTATACTTGTGTCAGCACATCAGGTCGAGTGCGAATTGTTCATTAATGGTACATTTTGAAAATAGTTTTTGTAGATAGAGAGTGGATATTCTAATGTTATTAAAATGTATCTCCGGCGATCTCATTGTACAACCACAAATATTTTCTACATATATAGATTAAAATGAATGAAAAGAACTCATTAAGTTATAAAAGAGGAGAGTGGTTCAACGAAGAATTATCATTACGAAGCTGTACAATTGAAAATGCTCACAATCTTTCTATAGTGGTAATTTGTAATATGGTTGTTAGTATCAACAAAATATCAAACATTTCAACAAAGTAGAAATTACATAATATGATTATTCCTAATCAATGACTGAAAAAAGATATTATAAAATACTCAAAAGTGACCCAGAAACTAAATACAGATTACTAGATATGAATGATGAGTTACATAATATAACAAGGTAAGTTTAAGAGTGACGTATGGTCAACAAGGCCACGTAATAAAGAATAAATCGTTGAAATAATGAGTCGATCTAAGTCAGATCACCATTTTAGACCTGGAAGCACTGGACAGCCATTTTGTCCTAGTATAGGAATCCTCAACAGTGTGAACCCACGAACCGTTTCAGTGGTTTAAAGTTTAAGCAAGCCCGAATGTTCTAGGTTCGCTTCTCATATGCGGAGCCATAGATGCGCACTGCTGGGTTTTTTACTGTTGGTCTTACTTAGTTCGGTTTATGATATCAGTGAAATGCAACAATCTCCACAACCCTATACTGACAAGAATATATCAGTTTGCGTAGAACATTTAGAAGACGATGAATCAAAGATAGATTTAAAAAGAGAAAATATGTATTATTACATTCTCTTCATTAAATCTCCCTCTTTATGTGTCACAATAAGTGCTTTCTGTATGTAAACTCGTAGATTATGCACCATTTCTTATAATTTTCAGTGGGAATTCATATCGAGTTTTTTTTACGCATATTCATGTTTTCTAATTTCTGTAGGACCTACTAACTTCTTCACGTGTCCCACCATTTAAGTCTACTGAAGCAGCATTTAAAAAGCAACTTATGGAAATTTGTAAAACTCCTGATAGCAATTTGTATCGTTTTGTTACGCATACTCTTTTTTCTCAAGCTTGTTCAAACGCATCAGTAAGTTCTGTATTGACAGAAACTTCTTTTTTTTCCTATAACAAAAAAATAGAATATTTAAACTAAGCCGATTGGACATGTCTACGTTTCATCATAATTTTAACCTGATTCACTAAATATTCCAAACATTTATTCGAACCCCATAAAATATCAAAGATTTCACCTCTTTATACTTTTTTAGTATTCCTCTTTTCACATATTTCTCATTTCTTTAGGATTTACTATATGATTGTAACACATGGATAACTTCCGTTCAACATGATATCAGTCAAATTGATGGGAGTTTTTTATCACAATTACTAACTAAAGATTGTTTTATGCAAGACGATCCAAATCGTGTATTATTTAATTTTCTTAAAACACGTAGGTAAGAGGTAGTGTTATATAAATGATATCATTTTATCCATGTACTATTATTATTGTTTTCACACGGATAAAACCTAACACACAAAGTTCGAAGCTTTCGAACTCTGTCTCCTACCATATTGCTTACAACAATAATAATTGTTAGACAGGCGAACTGATCAATATATTTCTCACAAAAGTGCTTTCGTTTAAAAATACGAAAAAAGAGGAATTTATTTAAGAAAAAAAGTACTTCAAATAAAAAAACAGGAAACAAATCAGCGTTTCAAAGTGTTTAAGGTGTGAAGGGATTTAATCTTCAGATCCTTTACTATGTGTAGCACCTGGATAACAGTTACATTTATCCATTTATATTTGGGTACTCCAATCCATTCTATGTAACTACTATCTGTTATGCACTAGATATTAAAAATAGTAAATATACCTTTCCAAAAAGTTCGCAACATTGACGGTGTTGTTTCATTGTAAGTTTCTTGTGGAGGAAGTGATAATGAATATTGCCTCATACTCGAATGTTCTGAAGTGCTTGAAAGATCGTGTGAAGTCAAATTTCTGTGATACTGGTGAACATCTGTTCCATAAGGACAATATACCTTCATATTGATCAGTGTGTGTGTACAGGTTTCTAGTCCGCAATTTCCTCATCACACTGGATCACACTCGTTAATTTCTGGACATAGATTTTTGTGATCTTTTTTTGTTCCCGTAATACAAATTAGTCATTTGCAGATAGCATTGGGTCAATGTGATACCCATCATAGATCAATGAATAATCAGTAACACTGAATAACATAGATCTACTTCTAATTCATTTTGTATTGTTTATTTGAATCTTTACATTAATGTTTAGGACTACAATTGATCAGTTTCTTATTGGTATATGTGCATCCTGTGCGGGTTGCACCAATATTACCTTAAGTCACAAGCATTGTAAGCAAGAATCTATCTCATCTATTAAAATATATCAGTAGATAGTTCCTAAATATGAAGAAAGACTGGTCATTTTATCTATCATCAAAATTTTAAAAGTATCACGAATTAATAACCTGTTTTAAATAGACTTTTAACAACAGACTGAATATGTGTGTCATCGTATCTTGCTGGGTCATTTGATTTTATTTGTTTCCTTCACCACCAAAACCACTATTGAAACAGGTCATACGATTGATTTTAACTCAGCCTTTGTGGTTTTGTACAAAGGTTGTCTAAGGTAAAACTTGGTTGTTAAAATCTTATCTGTACAAAAGTTCACCTCCCCATTGTGTATTCAGTGACAATTTATACTCACATTAAACCTACCCTGGTAGTCAGTCAGTCAGGTCAGGTGATTCACGTTATTATCATTATTATCTTTGTTTTACTGCCATTTTACAATTTGTCTAGTTGACCTTTAATTTTTTTTCAAATATAAATGGCTTAACAAGTAAATGTGTAATCAGGTTCTGATAACTTTCGTCTTCTCACTTTAAATTAATAAGAGGGTTAATTTACATGATTGAAGCACAAATATGACAATAACATATCCAATTAATTTCTCTCGAAGATGACATAGTTTGGTATTAACCCTGAGCATATGTTTTAGTCAATAATAACATTTTTTGTTAATATTTTCATAGTATGTATATACTTTAACATTCCGCACACTTACAACGAATAATTTTGAAAAATAATTTTTAACCAGATTTATTACACATATTGTGGAGACTTCATTCATTGCACACAGTGGTGTACTGTTGGAATCCCCTACACTTGTTCCAGTTATTCATAGACCTTATCAAACATCATGGTTTAGCCAATCAAAACAGGATAACAATGATTTGTGTGATGTGAATGACAATCAAAATGCTGAGTTTTGGGATCGTTTATCAGCTGCTCCAGTCTTACTAGATGAAAATGGTTTACCTGTTCGTTTGCCTGATTCATTACATATACCATTTGCACGTTATCTGGCTCGATCGGGATCAGTTTTACTTGAAAACAGAAATGAATCAGATCCACTGAAGCGATATGAATTCGCGCGAACTTACCACAGTTCTTCAGTTTCAAATACAAGTGGACCGCATATGTTATTTGGTTGTCCAGTAGAAGTTAATCGAGCAACGTTTGATATTGTTTCTCTAGAAAACAGGTACCTTTTTATTTTTGCCATTATTTTCATCATTATTTTCTCTGACTCACATGGGACCATTACAGAGAAATATTTCATCCCAGTGTGGGATTCTTCAGCACTTCACACCGGCTCTTTCAAGTATCTAAATCACAACATTCAGGTCTAACAACGACCTGGTCAACTGAGGTGGTTGAGACATGTATTACGTATATCCATCCGCTGAATACCTCGACGCGCTATGATTTCTAATGTAGGAGTAGGTTAGAAGAAAGCTAGGGGTGGCCAAACCCAATACATGTTATCAGTCCATAAAGTCACTGACAATCAGACCTTGCTATGTTAACAGGTGTAGACTACCTGGTTGAGGTCGGTGTGATTACTATAGCCAATAGTTAGAGACTTTGGATGACATGACTCAAAATAGTTCGCAATGACGTGGGTGCATTTATTCTCTATCTTCCTCCGAATGCTAAACTTCTGCATTATTCATAACTGTTTTTTTCTTTTATTTCACTAATTTATATTTTCTTCAGTCGTATCTTCAATCCCTAATCTTTCTTATCACCACTCATACTCTTACTACTTCTACTATTCTGGGATTTCATCTGACAATTTCATCTCTGTGTGCTAATAGGGTAGGACAACTTGAACCGATGTACATACGTACCAGGTTCTACGCTGGAACTGACTGACATCTGTGTACAGTCTGTCCTGAATAATTCGAAAAGGTTTTCTCAACGATGTGCAACTTGGAAAAATTGTTACAAATACACACATAAATTGAATCACAATCTGCTTCACTCTAATCCGCATACTCATATGCATAAAATCTACTTCACGAATATGTGACAGTTGTACAGTTCTGGGACTTGTTCACATGTGTTCTTTTACAGTTTGATCGAACATGCGGTCTCACTATAGAAATTTGTAGGCTACAAATAATCTGAAAGATTAGTCATCATGAGTCTGCGAAACGTTAGAAATTCTTTTCCCATTCATTTATGATGCAAAAATTGCCCAATCCTCAATTTCTGTAAGACTGTTTTCACATATCGCTAATGATACTTGCTTTTTTTATCGTGCAATATATTTCGTGTTTAATCTTATGTTCTACTTTCTATTTTCAAAGCACTTACTGGGCCACGGAATTGTTTGTCATTTTACGTGAAGTAACAAATAAACTGTTTCAGTCCAAGGTATGTGATCAAATATGACGCATTCTTGTTTTCAGTTTACTATCCTTTTAAGCTGATCGTTTCTTACAATGTTGAAATCTTCAACTGAATATGTTTTTCAGCACCATGAAGTATCTATAATTCCCATTACTAAAATTTGTCAACAAAACTAACACATGTTTTCATGGTTTAAGTGTAAAATATTCCGATTTATTGACAAGACGTTAGCTTTAGATTTCACTTTAGTAAAAAGTATATGCGAAACTAGTAACCTACGATAAATCACTGTCATCGGGGTGCCATGCAAATAATAATTTTCGTTAGTACATTATATTAGTGGAACATATGTTAAAAACCATAGAATACTGGATGCCAGAAAGGACTACTCGGCCAAAATGGAACCTAAGTAGTATCAGTAATAATTTTTTCACTTCATCTGTTTTACTAAAATTTCATTAGCATTCCTACTCACTGTCTTTTACTCTTAAAGAAAATAAGATGACTATAACTTTTTCAATCCAAGGCGGCAATTATAATAATAACTTTACGATTCAACACACAAGTGTAGTTTTATGATTTAAGTTTTATTATGTAAAATTTACAAAAGATATACTGAAGGAATCATTGAAACAAATAATAATCACTGTTGTAAGATTTACCTCAGGTACGAAAGATGGGACATATAGTTTATTGAGAATGTAATAAGGACCTTCATTAACTCGATAAATTGTCTAACTGATATTCAGATCGGTAAGCAGAGATGGATAGTGGCTAGCAGTGGAATCCAGGACGCACGTTTCGTCCTATTTGGGACTCGTCAGCTGGATGTACCTGCATCTCAGAGTTGATGTTCACTCTGGGACTCGAACCCAGTACACTCGCTTCAAACGCCATCGCGTTATCCACTCGGCCACTGAGTCCTGATATTCAGATTGTTGCCTTTAGTGACTGGGAACAACTAGAACAGCTTCTGGCATTTACTAGATTCAGCTATTGGTCTCTGATCAACATGTTCCGTGGTTTTTAGTTGATGAAAGATGTGTAGATATTGTTGTTACCACAATCCGCTCTAATAAGCCAATATGTTTTAAGATGTAAGGAGTCTGCAAAAATTATATAAGTGGAACATTTTGGGAATCTTTAACCAAAATAACTTGTTTTTTTTTTTAACTACTCATGAGTCCAGTTATTATTTTTCTGTAACTTCTGGTGGGAGCACTGTTTAGTTTGTGTAATGAATGAATGTCACGTTAATCGATATCGTTTCGTATGATTGACCAATAAAGATTCTGTAATATTCCTGTACCTCGTGTACACCATTTTTTCTTATAGCATAGAGTCAAAAGCCTTACTAATGATACTCGTTGAATAACACGATAGACCTTGAGCTAGGGCCGAGACAATTTTGTCAGAATGCAGTTCTTATTTATTCGCTTGCCAGAATAGAACAACGATACAGGAAGTAGATAACTTATCTTTGTTCAGTTCAGTTTAAAACTCAATTCTCATGTGATAGTATAGATCGGTTAGTAGGCCACTCCCCTAACTTTTGATTTAGAGATCTAGTCCACAAGGTAATGGAGCAACGTTAGGAGATGCGGTCACATGGTAGCCATTGACAAAGAATAGGTCCATACGCCATTTGCTCCCACAGGATCATGGAGTCTATGTTCACCATTGATCTGGAATCACGGTTTTATAACTCTCGGGGTTAGATCCTCTGTAACCATAAACTCGCTTTAAGCGCCGGATATTCATTTTTTATCCTATCAATTTCTCAAGCAACATCCCGTTGCGAGTAGGCAGTCAGTCGGATTTCCCTAGCATTGGGTATCTAAACATGCTAATCTACTAAACATATAAAAGTACCTTGTTGCTATTATCCATTCTGGCCTTGAGATGCTAATGGATGCGATACTTAAAGATATTTTTTTAAAATAAATTTGATTATCAAATGTCAAGAAGCAGCTAATTCCTTTCCGCTTGTTCAGATTGTTAGGATCAGGGTCTGACTGCCGTGGCCTCAAAAGTTTCTTGACTGTGAATGGTTTTAAACACTTCTATCTTAGTCATGATAATTTATAGTTAATAAAACATCTACAATGTTCTGTGTTAAAGGGTTACTGATATAATCTCAAATTAACCGGAATTGAACAATCCAGTACGAGAAAAGAGGTGTGTAATACTTCATGTTCTCAACAGCTGTATATCTGATATGGTTAGAAATATCTTAAAATTAATTTAGTAACATTTTTGAACATTCGTTCAACAGCCGATTAATCAGTTCAAGTTAATGCAAAAAATATCTCTTGGTTTTATGTCATTACTTTCATTTTTATTTTTTATACTGAAATTTTTGAAAGGAAATATCATTTTTCTTGTACGTGAATCATACCAGCCTGATCAAAGCACTATTTAAACTATCTGGAATTCAATCTGGATCACGTGCAACTGTTTGGCGTCATTTGTCTGAAGCAAATGCTGATCCAAAACCTGTTAACCCATCTACATATTCATCCTTCTTTTCATCAGTGAATTGTTCTACCGCATATTGTACAACAACATCTTACTCTTCATCTTCTAATTCTTCACTCTCAGGATCATCACGGTTGAATGAACCAACACGTTCTCTTATTTTACCTGACTATTTAACAAGCAAACCTCGTGGACATGCACAAAAACGTTTTATGAAAATAATTCGTCTAGAATCTTCACATATTCACTATATACGTGAAGTATTTATTCAACATTCAGGTCAACAATGTCATACAATTAGTAAATTAGTAGATGGTGCTGTGAAATTATTGGAAGAGTTGACAGATATTTACGCTAAATTTGATTGGTCAGAAAGGTTTCATGTATGTTATGATTGCCACAAATGTTTTGTCAGTTAGTTGTACTAACATGCATCTCAATTTTTAGATAACAAACCAGTTTCAAATAGACCTGATTTTAAGCCTTATAAAGAAACACTGAGTCGTTTAAATACTCCTTTTACAACTGCAAGATCATAAGCTTATACACTTGTCCAAACTAATCATATTTATGAAACATTGCTAAACTAACATAATAGTTAGGTGTACCCTTTACTAGTTGACAGACTACTACAAAGAATTATTTTGCGTTTGTTCGAATCGAAATATAAGGATCAAATTTTAATAGTTTAATAGTAGGATTCGTGAGTCGATTTAAGCTAGACCACCCTGGAAAACCTGGAAGCACTGGACGGCCGTTTCGTCCTAGTATGGGACTCGTTTGTGTATCTATCATTTTGGGATAGTTTTATTTCTCGCAAATGAATCTCTGATCAGAGGATTTTTATCATTTTTGTTAATAGGGAGTCATAGAAATTGTACTACTTAATTTCATGTTGTACTGTATTCATAAAAATATTCGCGATACAATATCTTCACATTAGCGCTTAAACTTATCCACATATTTGCTATCTTTATTCGTCAGTTGTTCCATTCGTTTATTACTCTCATCGATAGTTACATATATTCATTGAATCAAAAACATACTTCTATTTCATCATCTGAAATTGATTACTTAAATGATTATAATATTTCCAGTTCTGATAGACGCAAGAGTTATCTGCAGCACAAAGCTTTGATGAGCATTGATTTATTTTTTTAACCATTCGTTTCAATTTTACTACACAACAATATGCTTTCTTTATAATTTCCACCCGCCACTTTGTTTTCGCTTCTTAGCTTCGATTCACCCCTGGATTAGTTCTGCCACACCATATGTACAATGGTTTAATTTTTCAGTTAGTTGCATTGGGTGATTTGTCCCCTAAATCAACCGTGCCCAGTTCCTCTACTTCCATCTGTTATCCACGACATCTTGAAGATTCGTCAATAAAAGTGAATCCCAAAATCAATATCAATATAGCCTCATCACGAATAAATGACACATCTCCGATATTGTATGTTTTAGGTCAAGGAGGCGAATATAACCATTTAATTGCTAAACACTGTGTGCCGAAGGAATTCGGTACTATTCGGTAAGAGAATAAACAGTCATTGAATTTTCCTAAACTTTTATATTCTAATGTTGATAAAAATGGATTACAATACGCAAAAGCTCACATGAACAACGAATGGTTTGTTCATAGCTTATTGATAACTGTGACATTATCCACCACCGACTTTCTTTCTTTATGTGAAAACTTCGTCTTTCAACTTGATCACTCTATTTGGTAGGGAATCTACGAAGAGTAAATTATAAGAAAGCTGAGTAGCTATAGAAAAAGCTAATCTCAAAACATTATGTTAGGTATAGTGGCTGTCTTCAGTGTTACGTTTCTCAAGGGAATCACTTGAAAGCAAACTACCAAAGTAATTTTTAATTAATTAATTTCGCTGAAATCGTGAACCGATCAGTGTTAGACCACTGTTGAAATCTTGGAAGCACTGAACATTCGTTTTATCTTACACTTCAATCGTGGTCTAACATCGATCGGTTCATGATTTCAGTGAAATTCAACAGTCTTTACTATCCCTTACTAATAATTAGTGAATTGTGTGACATGATTATCTGATTGATTGGTGCTTATACCGGCATCATTGCATTAATCTACAAATATAAATAATAAAAATATTTCACTAATTGTTCATTTTTCTATTTATATTATCGATAAAAGTTTTCTTTTCATTCTGGACAGACTACCAAGAAAAATATCCCGATGTAATTCTGCGTCTAATAATCCGGGTATGACTGCATTGACCATAGATAAATGCCCTTATGCAATTGGTTTAAGTTTTGATATGGATAAATTAGTACATTGTTACATGACTTCCTTCTGCAAAAACACTATGCAGGTTTCGTATAATTTAGTAAGTTATTTGCAAGCAAATATATATTTACTTTTTATCCGAATAAATTCCCACTTAGTTTTATACTTCTGCCTAACAGTTTAAGTTATGAATAAAAAAGTTCTACGTTTTATATATTTCCTATCTAATGCTTGTCAGTTGCATATCATGGCATCTCAATTGCTTTAATGCTCCTATTTGGTTGTGAGCTATCGTTTTTGTGTAAGATCTACTGTAGTAGGTGCGACAGAGTTTAAATCATCATTATAGTTGAAAGTTAATTAACTTAATTAACAAGCTTATTTTTCACCTATATCTCAGTACATAAGAATACTGATTTAAACTGAGTCCATATTACATATGGAAAACTGTCATCAGTCATTTAGACGTATCCGTGGCTTCACTTAATCACATCTCACATTGAGTAACCTGTCTTATAGATGTCAATAACAATTACTTACTTTTCCCTACTTGTTTCCTATAGATTTATTATTTATTAATTTTTCTAAATGATAGAAGTACTTGTATGTTACATATATCTCATGAGGTCTTGTTTCTCCACTCTTGAGAACACAACCGACATATAAAATAGATTATTCATGAGTGGATTTTTAGTCAAACCTTTATACTAGTAAATGACTATTCATTTTATGTTTTTGACTCCTGTTTTGATTTCGAATTTTAACAAACTCATTTGTCAGCCTATTATGTAATATAATTGGTTCATGCATATTAAGGCGTGTTAATTTTATACTTTGCCATTTGTTAATTGAGTAGCTGATACTTCCATCTAGTTAGGATTATTTTATTTGTTTTCTATTTTCCTAAGATTTCCATTCAGTAATTTAATATAATTTATGCTAAAGTTACTTGTACAAAACCCATGAAGTGAGTGAGTGTAGGTGCTTGTGTACCAGTTTGTACTGTGAGGTTATAAAAGTAATAATTTTAAGATTTATCAATATATTTTGCTCCAGTTCATCTGTGAGTTGGTTAAAATATCTCAAGTTAAAATAGATCTTCTGAAAGGAGTTATCAGTTCGAAAATTCTATTGAGCAAATTTCTATTTAAAATGATTCGTTTGCTAACTCTTTTTGTAGCGAACTGACTTATTTAAATTATTTATTCCATCAACCTACACGTTTTATAGTTTGAACAAGAATAATAACATATGGTTTATTTGATATTAACCATTTTATATTGAAAAGCTTGGTATGAATAACATAGCCTTTCCAAAACACCCGTTAATTATCCTTAAGCTGATTTCTTGAATAATATTTAGTCCTTCTATAACAAAATCATAGTTTTTTATCGATTACCTTTCAGCATGACTGTATTATATTCAATCCTAAATGGCGCATATTACTTGGATGGGAATCACGTACTGTTGAAACTCTTCATGATTTATATACTTGCCCATTTCGTAACCCTACGACTCAATATACCCGTCGGTCCGGTCTAGGATCTAGTCAACGTTCATCGAGTGAATGTGGTATCAACACCTCGACCAATGCTACGAATACGATGTCACCTACAAATAATTGTTCATCTGATTTTTCAAACTCTGTTAACAATATAACAGTGCCTTACACTAGTACCTCGGGTACTCCGAACCCAACTTCATCATCTGAATCATTCGTATTGACTCAGAATGTATTAAAATTAGCATTTCATTTAGCTCAAATATTTTGGAATTTAAGTTGGACATGTGATTTGTTAACAAAATCAGATTCGGTAAGTGAATTTAACCAGCTACTCACCTTTTCCCATTTGAGAAAAAAGAAGGCGATTCAGCGGAGAAAATGTTCTCGATGATTTCATTTACTTAAGCTGTACAGTCGTACTTATGGTTTTATATATATATATATATATATATATATATATATATATATATATATATATATATATATATATAAGATAGGAATGAAGGTTAAGACCATGAAAGAATGTGGGACTCAACATACTGTTTTTGTTCGAAAGGGTTAAGCTTAAACTGGTAGATAGCAATAGTCTCTGATGTACATAAGTGTTTCATCTGTATTCCACTTGAGCCGACTCTTCTGACTGTATGTATAATTTCAAACGGGGATGCTGATGAAACAGAGTGGCCAGAGTTGACTAGATACTCCAGGACTTAGCTTTTGACTGACTTCTGTGATCCTTCGAAAAACCAGGCGGAGTAATGTCCAGAGATGCGTTTTGATTGTACAGCTTAAATAAGTGGGATCATGAGAAAGGAAGTTTTCTTCGCCGAATCCCCTTATTTCTTCTTTAATGATCACCGGCTACCATGGGATTGCATCTCCTCACGATGCTCCACTGCCTTGTGGACTAGACCTTCAGGTAAAAGACTCGGGGTGTGGCCCCCTAAGAAAACCACCTGCTTCAGTCTGGGCACCTGGGCAGTATCACAGCCCTCACACAAATGGAATGAGATTTGTGAGGCGCATATATATCTGGTGCTTCCTTGTACCAATATTTATGTGTTTAAATAAATAAATAAATAATAATTCTTTAATGACACGATGTGTCTTTTCCATTTATTTATAGATATTTTCATTCATATAAGGTTTACGATAATATTCATCATTATCAGCAATTGCAACTGTTTTATTGTAAATTCTATATGCTGATATGAACAGATAGAAGGTTAAAGGAAATAAAGATAATAATAAGGTAGACAATGTGAAAACTATGCTGAAAAATAAATTATTATTGCCAGGGTAGGTTAAAGTTAAGAACAAACTGTCTTTCAATACATAAAGAGGATTCCAGTTTTCGTATAATCAAAACTTCAGTAAACCTTAGTATACGTCCTTAGACATTTTATATAAAACTACATTTCTACATTTAAATTGATTAAATATCAAAATTTATCACTAGTTATCACTTATTTTCTGTAATTCAATCAACTGTTTAAGTAAAGCTGTTTTCATATTTCTCCTTCTAGTTTCTGTCTCTGAAGATTACAGGAATCTGGAAATCTTTTAGAAAGTCAATATTTCAAGCGTTCTAAGTAGAGGGCTTATTACCTAATTAATTACTTACACCTGTTAGCCTTCGTGGAGGGGCATAGGCATAACTCTGTCCTAGGCAATCCTTCCTAATAGCTATTCATCATTTTGATGTCTGCTTCTAATTCCCAAAGCAATGTGTTCTTTGGTCTTCCTTGTTTCTGTTGCCCTTCAGGATTCCAAGTTAGCGCTTGCTTGGTGATACAGCTTGATGATTTTCGTAATGTGTGTTCTATCGACATACAGTGCCTTTTCCTAACTTTATCTGGAAGCTGGTTTTTTCTATTCCATGGTAGGCTGTTGCTGATGGTATCCCAATAACGGACATTGAGCATCTTGCGTAGACAATTGTATATAAATACCTATACTGTTTTGATAATGGTTGTGGTAAATCTCCAAGTCTCAGCTCCACACAGTTAAACTGACTGTCTTGACATTCGTACTGAAGATTCTGATTTTGATATTGGTTGACAGTTGTTTTGAGTTCTATATTCTTCAACTGTAGGAGTGCTGTCCTTACTTCACCAATCTTTGCGTTTACATCTTCATCAGGTCTTCCTTGTACATCGATGATGGTATCCAAGTACGTGAAAACTTTCACCTTTTTCAGAAATTCTCCATCAAGTGTGACTGGTTTCATGTTGTATGTGTATTGTATATGAGTATCTTGGTTTTCCCCGTGTGTATGTTGAGGCCTACTGATGTAGAAGCAGAGGGCTTATTGGCGAACATTGTAATCTATGAACGGTCAGATTGGATGATATAGCTCAAAATTCGTCGATTTCGTACTGATGCATTTATTCTTCATAATCCTCTTCATTTTAAATGTTAATATTCGTTTATGTTTATTATCCTTCGAGATTGTTTTTGTTCTTTTAATACTACATCCACAATGTACTGTTTTTACTTGCAGCTGATTGATCACTAGTTACTGACCAATCTAATATTTGTTAGGTACTTCTTAGTGGAGATTGGATTTTACCGATCAAATTGCAATGTGGCTGTTAGTCTAGGTGACTCGAAATCGCGTGCACTGTGTTTTGGATGTATGACAGTGGTTGGAGTTATTTGACAGTAAACCTTGAACCTAGGTTTCGTGCTATTTGGCATTCGTCAGCAAAATGTACCTGTAATCTTTAGGAGACGGATGCGATCACTTGTCGATTATAATAACATCTCAATCGCGGTTCGGATAACCCAATTCTAACGTCTTCGACTGTGAAGTTGGGTAACACGGGATCAAATCCGCCAGATAATATCAGTTCCTTCAGGATTACAGATACACCTTGCTGACGAGCGTCGAACTGAACGAAATCTAGGTTCAGGGTATTTTATCAACTATCTTCAACTAGCATCGTACGTTGTTTTCATTATCATAATCCTATATCATTGATCATGTTTAATTTATCTCTCTGTGTCGATGTGATAGGGTGTTGTTATATTGATCAATGCGTATTTCCATCAGTTTTTATAGATTCGTTGACTGATTAGCTTACTCTGAATATCTAATTTTACTTTATTACATGTATATAGCAGTTATACATAATGTTCAATTATTTTAATTTTAGGACCTGGTACGTGAAGCTGAAGATCGAGAAGTAGAATTCGCTGTTCGGGTTATTTTAGTCAAATTATCCACATCTGCTGCAACTAATTTACCACTTGGATCAAAGCATTTATCCCTTGTAACTTATCAAATATGGGCTAGACATAATGCCACTCCATTGAGTGGACAACATGTAATGGTTTTTGAATTACGAAGATCCGACCCAGACTCTGTATTGAATTATTTCTATTCACGCTTCCCAACAAATGTACGTCGACCTTCAGTTGATCCTGATAAAAGCTTTTTGTACATATCTTCCAAGAATTCAACTGAATTAATTCATTATTCAAAGGATTTTTTGTCACATCCTAATCCCGAAAAGACTATCATCTATTGTCCTAGATTAACAGAATCCCATATACGAATACCTGACCTGACAGATACAAAAGAAATATCTGCAAATATGGTAAATAATTTACGCCGTAGTTCTAACAGATATAAGTAAGTTTAGTTCTTATGTATGCGTCAATGTATTGTTTTGTGATGATGCAATGAAAATAAAACTTTGAAATTAATTAAAATATATCTAATAAGCTTTAATTAGGTCGTATAACTACCAGATGTACATTGGCGCTGTATAAATTGTTATCTTGGATAGTTATGAAATCCAGTCTCTGCAAATCGAATATGTTTAACAGCTTTGGTTGATTTCCTACATTAAAAGTGAAGACTAATTCTATATCTATATCTGTGTGTATTTCATATCAAAGACCATTCACTCAAATTCGTTGTCGTGGAAATGTTTCACGAATATCTCTTCATTGACTGTCATAGGTTGTAAAAGGTTCAGATACAGTAAGTTTCACGACATAGAATGAAGAATAGTTATATTGAGTTAGTAACTGTTAACTCACCACGATTCCTTGCTTGCTGTCATATAAATCACATATCACTAGCGGTTCAAGTTATCAGGAATGACTACAAACAAGATTTAATGACGATCATAGTACGTTTTCTATGTTTTTCTTCAACAATATGATATACATTTGAAAATAATAAAATCCACTTTGGTTTTATTCTTATCTAATCATTCGCATATAATTTAACAGAAATAAATATTGAAGATAAACTAACTTATTAGAGGTTATGGACCGGTTTATTGAATAGTATTTACTTCATGGATTACTGTGTTTAATTCTATTCTACATTTTATTTATTTTATTTAAACACATAAATATTGGTACAAGGGGACACCAGATACATATGCGCCGCTCAAATCTCATTTGATTTGTGTGAGGGCTGTGATACTGTCCAGGTGCCCAAACTGAAGTAGGTGGTTTACTTAGGTAGCCACACCCTGAGCCTTTGACCTAAAGATCTGATCCATAAGGCAGTGGAACATCGTAAGGAGATTCAGTCTCATGGTAGCCGGTGACCAACGATTGATTCATACGCCATTTGTTCCCTCAGGATACTGGAGCCCATGTGCACTATTGATTTGGACTCGCCGTGTCCATCAACTCGGTTAAAGCGCCGGACATACACTTTTCGTCCTTTCACTTTCGTGAACAACACCCGCGCCACGAGAAGGCAGTGAGTAGGACTTCCCTGTCAGAGGCTATATATTCGCGTGGCTATGTGAGAGCCTGTAGCTCCTTTGAGGGTTACTGCCGGTCCCAAGCCCGGGTAAAGGAGGAGGGTTGGGCATGGGGTTAGCGACCCCATCCCGTAGAAAATCAACTCGCTAAAAAAACGCTAACCAGAAAAAATCATTCAAACCTTTCAAACTCTGCCCTGGGAGTAGAAGGAATAATTATGACGCCTCATGATGAAAGCCGAGTTCCTTCAGAAGTCATGAGGCCGATGCACCTTCTTACAACCAGAGCAACAATTTTTATAGGTACATGGAATGTCCGAACAATGTGGGAGACCGGAAGAGTTTTCCAAATTGCTGCAGAAATGAGAAAATACAACCTGGAGGTTCTTGGAATCAGCGAAACACATTGGACGCAGGTTGGACAACAACGACTGTCTTCAGGAGAACTTCTGTTATACTCCGGTCATGAAGAAGAAAATGCCGCACATACACAAGGAGTTGCATTGATGTTGTTCAGAAAAGCACAAAATGCACTTATAGGATGGGAATCCCATGGACCAAGGATCATCAAAGCCTCCTTCAGAACAAAGAGAGAGGGCATTACAATGAACGTCATCCAATGCTATGCGCCTACCAATGACTACGATGAAGACGCTAAAGACCAATTCTACGATAGGCTGCAGTCGATCTTCGAGAAGTGCCCAACCAAGGACCTGACAATTCTGATGGGAGATCTCAATGCTAAGGTTGGAATGGACAACACTGGATACGAAGACGTCATGGGACAACATGGACTGGGAGGAAGGAACGAAAATGGTGAGAAATTTGCAAACCTATGTGCCTTCAATAAACTGGTCATAGGTGGCACCATATTCCCACACAAAAACATACACAAAGCCACTTGGATTTCACCGGATCATACTACACAGAATCAAATCGACCATATCTGCATCAACAAAAAGTTCAGGAGGACGATGGAGGATGTGAGAACCAGAAGAGGAGCTGATATAGCATCCGATCATCATTTGCTGGTCGCCAAGATGAAACTAAAACTCAAGAAGCACTGGACAACGGCGCGGACAACATCACAAAAGTTTAATACGGCCTTTCTTCGAGATGCTGACAAACTCAACAAATTCTACATAGCCCTCAGCAACAGGTTCGAGGCCTTTCATGACATACTCAATGGAGAGGGGACTACCATGGAGAGCAACTGGAAAGGTATCAAGGAGGCAATCGTTTCAACGTGTCAAGAGGTTCTGGGCCAAAAGAAGCACCATCACAAGGAATGGATCACTGTTGGTACACTGGATAAAATTGCAGCAAGGAGGAACAAGAAGGCAGCAATCAATATCAGCCGAACCAGAGCGGAAAAAGCCAAGGCACAAGCCGAATACACAGAGGCAAACAAGCAAGTGAAGAGGAGCATCAGAACCGACAAACGTAAATATGTTGAAGATTTAGCAACGACAGCGGAAAAGTCTGCAAGAGAAGGAAACATGAGACAATTGTATGATACAACAAAGAAAATTGCTGGAAATTACCGTAAGCCAGAAAGACCAGTGAAAAGCAAGGAAGGCAAAGTAATCACCGACATTGATGAACAACGAAACAGGTGAGTAGAACACTTCAAAGAACTCTTGAATCGACCAGCCCCACTGAACCCACCCAACATCGAAGCAGCACCCATGGACCTCCCAATCGATATTGGCCCACCAACAATTGAAGAGATCAGCATGACCATTAGACAAGTCAAGAGTGGCAAAGCAGCGGGACCAGACAACATCCCGGCAGAGGCACTGAAAGCAAATGTAACAGCAACTGCCAAGATACTCCACATTTTCTTCAGTAAGATTTGGGATGAAGAACAAGTACCAACAGACTGGAAAAAAGGACTTCTGATCAAGATACCAAAGAAAGGCGATCTGAGCAAGTGCGACAACTACAGGGGCATCACTCTTCTCTCAATACCAGGAAAAGTCTTCAACCGAGTATTGTTAAACAGGATGAAGGATTCCGTGGACGCCCAACTTCGAGATCACTAAGCTGGATTTCGTAAGGATAGATCGTGCACAGATCAAATCGCAACTCTGCGGATCATTGTGGAACAATCAATCGAATAGAATTCATCACTCTACATCAACTTCATCGACTACGAGAAGGCATTTGATAGCGTGGACAGGACGACACTATGGAAGCTTCTTCGACACTACGGCGTGCCTGAGAAGATAGTAAATATCATACGGAACTCCTATGATGGACTCAACTGCCAAATCGTCCACAGAGGACAACTCACCGACTCGTTTCAAGTAAAGACCAGTGTAAGGCAAGGTTGCTTACTCTCACCCTTTCTCTTTCTCCTGGTCATCGACTGGATTATGAAGACGTCAACATCTGGAGGAAATCACGGGATACAGTGGACAGGCAGGATGCAGCTTGACGATTTAGACTTCGCGGATGATCTGGCTCTTCTATCACAAACGCAACAACAAATGCAGGAGAAAACGACCAGTGTAACAACAGCCTCAGCAGCAGTAGGTCTCAATATAAACAAAGAGAAAAGCAAAATTCTTCGATGCAATACAATATGCACCAATCAAATTACACATGACGGAGAAGGAGGATGTGGAAACCTTTACATATCTGGGCAGCATCATTGGTGAACACGGTGGATCAGATGCAGATGTGAGGGCGCGGATCGGCAAAGCAAGAGCAGCATACCTACAACTGAAAAGCATCTGGAGCTCAAAACAATTGTCAACCAACACCAAGGTTAGAATTTTCAATACAAATGTCAAGACAGTTCTACTGTATGGGGCGGAGACATGGAGAAATACGAAAGCCATTATCCAGAAGATACAAGTGTTCATCAACAGCTGTCTACGCAAAATACTTCGGATCCGATGGCCAGACACCATCAGCAATAAGTTACTGTGGGAGAGAACAAACCAGATTCCAGCAGAGCAAGAAATCAGGAAGAAGCGCTGGAAGTGAATTGGGCACACCTTTAGGAAATCAGCTAATTGCGTCATAAGACAAGCCCTCACATGGAATCCTGAAGGTCAACGGAGAAGAGGAAGACCAAAGAATACATTACGCCGAGAAATAGAGACAGACATGAGAAGAATGAACAAGAACTGGATAGAACTAGAAAAGGAAGCCCAGGACAGAGTGGGTTGGAGAAAACTGGTCGGCGGCCTATGCTCCATTGGGAGTAACAGGCGTAAGTAAGTAAGTAATGTGAGAGCATTTCGAAAGTGAGAGCGGACTCTCCCCATTCTCGGCCGTACCCGGGCATATTTGGGTGCAATGCTAGTCTACAGATACTGAATTTATCAAAATTATTCACTAAATGTTCGAAATCCTCATTGTTATTCTGTTGTTTAGCATTCATGAGATCAGTAAAACATGTATATACGATGTATCAATTGAATGACGTTAGAAATGTGAACCAATGTTTGCCAACTCAATGATCTAAAAAAGGTTAAGCACTTCCCTTGAGACTTGAAGGTCTTGAGTTCGATCCCCAGTGGTTAATGCTCACTTTTAAAGAGTCCTACATTAGTGACTCCTGGTTTCAATAACTGTCCAACTGAAATCAGTTCATGATGTTAAACTACGCAAACTGAGTTTTGTCGTCGTAATTTTCGATTTGTATATTTCCATCACTTTCTTCACAAGACAAAATTTATAACAATTTCTTTTTTTATAATTTCAGACAACATTCAAAGCATTCTAAACGTACATGAAAGTGGAAGAGTTGAGAAATCTCCATTACTAAACTGTTCTTAAAACATTGTTTTAAAAACATATTCAACAATTCTACTTATCACCTTAGTTTACATTGTCTTTCTATTCATAATTTCATGCATTTTAGAACGGATGATGTAAAATCTAGAGTTTTTTTACACAACATTTATCTTTGCTAGGAAACTCACATTTACTTTTTTCTAATTTTAATAATAAAGAGTCTTTTTTACATTCATTTTGTCAGTTGTACATTGATATTTAACAGATTGTTGCTATGCTATTTTTTTGTTATCTTCCGATATTTTAACGGTTAATCATCGAATTAACTATAACTAGTCTAGGATAAAGGATAACGAGTGAGGGTATAGTATATTCTTCAACTTCATTTCTTATGAAATAGGTATATTTGTACTTTTTTTAAGGAATGTTACAAAACGTTATGAATTTATTTGCAAAGGTTTGTATTTGTCCATTGTTAGTACTTACAACAGAAAGTGATCACTCTCTGTATAGGAATATGTACATCCTGATTGGATATTTTGAAGGTGCTATTTGAGCACATTTGAAGTGTGTCTAGCAATGGAATCCAGGACACGCGTGTCGTTCTATCTGAAACTCGTTAGCTATAGCTATTTGAATGCATCTCGGTATTGATGTTCACAATGAGCATCTCATTGAACACCAGAGTGGAGCCAGCACTGATCGAATGTATTTACATCAGATGTCATTTATCTACTGTTAAACTAGATGGTTCAGTCAAAGAGAGAGAAAGCTGACATAGAAAACAATGTCTCTTTGTAATAATATATATCTACTGTCCTATGGATTTTAACCTTCTTTTAGTAAAATTGATCTGTACAGTCAAAGAAATGGTGTTTTCGCAAAAACATATTGTTCAGGTGTTGTGATATCAGCTGGGTGACTTGAATGGTCAAATCATGCTTCTAGGTTCGGTAGAGTTGCTTAGGTGTCTTATAGGTACTTACATAAATCGGATATAGGCGACCGTCTTCTGTATCTTTCTGCAGATCGTAACCTATTTCCTTCCAATATTCTCAAATGTAACATTGAATGAAAATTGATCATGTAACGGTCAAGTGCCAATGGTCCAGGTGTATTTGAGGCTGTGTCAAATTTACTTTACATCCTAAACAGATTGATGTAGACATGTTGAGTACGTACACCTGGATCTAAATATCCAAACGAGCTAGGTTTAAGACTAGCTTTCATGTTATTGGAAACTGAGACTGAACCATGAATGCACTTACAATACTCCATGATTGTAATGAGTGAAGTCAGTTGCGGCCTTGCAAAACTTTCCATTGTGTGCTCATGGAAATTTTAGTAGTCATTGGCCTATTCCGTTAAATCCCAAATATGACTATGCCTAAATTCCATGCATGTAACACTCCACAGTTTGCATGAACACTATAAAACTTGATGTATAGAGAATGCTTACTAATTGGATTCGATAACTGGTAGACGTTATCTCATGACATCAACAGTGTCCATGAGACACTGAAAACCTAGTGGCATAATATTTAGTAGTCCCTGATGTCGTCTTGGATTCTGGGAGGAGCTCTTTGGAGGCATTTTATTTATTGCCCTATTAGCGTCTATCAAGCTGAAGTTCGAATGCAATCACAACCTTTAAGGAATCAGGAAAAAATACTTTCGTTTTTTTATCATCTTAGAACGAAGTAGCTATCATTCGCGTTATAACGAGTGCCCACATAACCCGTGCAGAAAATGTCGGGCGTAAGATTGTTTCCGATTACATTCAAACTATGGGCTCCTGAAATATTCTTTAGATCTTGTAAAGCTCGCGAAAGACTGATTCGTAGGAAACTCTGGTTTTCGTTTCAGGAAGTAAGAATGTATAGAAGGCTTTTTAGTCAGTACCCAACGCAATTTACAGCAAATGTATGTGTGTTTAATCAAACTGGCTCACCATAGCTCATGATGTTTAATCCTGACGTACAAGGGGACCCTAATATATCATGTGGCTTGCTTCGTTTACTCGATAAATCATTGTCATGTCCTTATTAACAAATTCAGAACTAGGGAAATAATCGATTCCTTGAAATGTCCGTTTAAGAAAGGGGACAGAACTCTCCCATTGAAATATGGCGTTTTTTTCTCTCGAACCTCAGGGTATTATCAGTTGTTGATACTGATATGGAGGGCCAGTCAGAAGTAGCCTAATGAGAAGGTCAATCAATGGCAAGTAGAAGTGACCTAAAGAATCAGTGCATTACATTAGCTTAAACATGGACTTTATTCTTCAGGATAAGACTGTTATCTATATGAATGAGTATATGTATATTTCATTCAGTAGCCCAATATACTTTCTCACTTGTACTCTCGCTCAAGTAGTTAACTGGGGGGTTAGCGCATGGCATACCGTGTATCAGTATCAGATTTCGAACACCGCCTTTCTCAAAATTTACGATACTAAATATAATTATCATTTAGCTTGTTTGTCTGAATATGTATGCAAAACAACTATATCGTCACGAAAACAATCCAAGCAGAATCTAAGTTAACGCTTTGTGTTATTAATCTCAAATGGACGACATATCTTCAAAAGTCCAAACGGATCGATGTTGGAATAGTGTTGGTCTCCGACAGAATACAAATTAATGACATCAAATCCTTTAATCCTAGTTTAGAGCTTTCTATTCCTTTCAAAGAGCATAACGTTACAGAGTATTATGATTAGAAACAAATGTTTCACATGCATTAATTACTAAAGTGAAAACGAGTTCGAAAGTTAGAAGTATCAAAAGAAGTTGTAGTGGTATGAATTATAAACTCTGTGTTGTTTTAATCAAGAAGAATCATGAACAATAATTTCAAACTCGACAACGAAAATGACAAGATGAATAATACGAATGTTCATTCATGTGTTTCATCTATTCCCACATTTTCTTATTCCATTTCCTCTTATGTATTTCTTCATACTACTTAACAAAGCTTGGTAAATCGTTTCATTTTTAATGACTTTTAAGTCTGACACACATGCCATTGTATGTTGGAATTAGCCTTGATGTAATCATTTCAGGAAGCCTTTTGTCGTCCATAAATACCGACACACTGATCGCACTATATAACTCATGATTTGAGGCTTGTGGCTACCTTACATACATTTTGTTAGGACGGAACCATGTGATTAATGATTATAATCCGTATAATAAATATCGATTAGTCGACATTATTTTGAGCATTACCAAGTGAATAAAGTTTGAAAATAAATTTTTCTCATTTACAAGTTTATAACAACATGGATTCACCACCGTGTTATATTAAACGAATGTTTCATTCTAGAATGAGTATTTGCAGCTACTTATTAGTAGTCAGTTATGAACAATTAAAATATCTATTAGTGTCCTCCAAAATTTTGAACATATTTATGAAATCATAAGTGGTTTGAGAAAAGCATGCTAAACTTGATGTTGTCATCGTAATTCACACTTGATATCATCGTATTTAACTGTTTTACTAGTACGAAGTAGAATATACATCGAATAATATAACCTATGCAATAGTTACTTAATTTTGTTCTTGAAACCCCGTTGTCATAAAATTTTTGAAAAGATACTGTTATATGTGTGCTTGTATTAAAACGTAATCAACTTGTAATCTTAATTTATTTAATTTCCTAGAGCAAATAATGTAGTACTCTAATTAATGATACGTTTTGAATTATTAAAGCAATTATGTTTAAATTGAGTGCATAGACTATAATTTCCCCCATTGATCTTAAATAATCATATCAACGATTCGAAGATTGATTCGAATGTTTATTTATCAAAAAATACAAACTTTCAAAGGCAATAATGAAATAAAAACACCCACTCAAAAATGAATACAATTACCATTTATATGGACATGTGTGCATATATATGATCAATATTCGTCCAATGTGACATAATACAATTAATGTTTTAACAGTAGTGGTCTCTTATTAACTACAATGTTCTAAGTGAAACGTTCTGTTATATTTACTACTAAAGAATAATGAAAATACGAACTTTCAAAACAATCACCTCTAATTCATGACTAAGAACAAAGTCTAAAATTAAGGGGATTATAACAAATACTGCTGAAATTTAAATTAGGTTGAAAATATATTTAAAGTTACATTCTCAAAACACAAGAAGTACTGTGGTGTGTGCTATTAATGTCGAAAGTAGTATGTATCTCCAATTGAAAGTGGAATACCTGGTGGCAGAATGTTGAGGAGATCGAAGTAAAGAGAACGAGACCAGAAAGTGATAGATATAGAGACGAAGAAACAACAAAGTCTGAGATAATTGATGAATGTTTTACAGATGAAGTATTTACTCTATGGTTCTCAGGTTTTACCATAATATTTTGTAATATCGTATTGAAATACGTTTTATTATCCCTACTTGTGTTCTCATTCGCAAGGTACGATAACAAATTCAGTTATATAATTATTATCCAAATTTAGAATTAAAAATTTTCATCATTGATGTATAAATTCAAAAAGTAAGTTGATGAGTGATCAGAAAGCCAAAACTGTATTGAATTTTTTACAGAATATCTAATGAAATTAATTATTAAAAATTTCATTTTATCAGAATGAGGGTTTTTAAAGATTATAGTAATTTAATAGTTGAATTCATCAGTCGATTTAAGCTAGATCACCCTGTAAAACCTGGAAGCACTGGACGGCCGTTTGTTCCTAATATGAGACTCTTCAGCAATATAAAGTGGATTTCATTATTATTTAATATACATCAAACAACTTTTCAATAATGTATGAGATAGTGAAAATAATAATTACACTTTATTATAAAACAAGCATTTATCTAATATAAAATACAAAACGTAAACTTTATTATTTGAAACGTTGTTAAACTTACCAATGATTCATAAATCATAAATTTTAAGAATAATTGACATGATAATCCACATTTACGAAAGTTTAACCAGAATTCATAATTGAAAAATTATTTATTCCAGTATCTGACTGATATCAACAGTTGGCTTTTGTTGTTTTAAAAGACGTTTCTTCCAAAATAAAAAAAAGTTGTCCTTATTATTGTTGTTGTAATAAAAATATTAGAAGGTACCTAAAAACTAAAGCTTTTAGAGTTTGTCTGACCATACTACTTTCTTAATTTTGAAGTTTCGCTCGGTCTGTTAATTTTATTGTTTACTTGAAAAAATAAACTATACCTCCGTCAATACACACGATGTTGAAGAGTAATAAGCATATTTGCATAAATACTTTAAATTAAATAGCTTAATTGTTATGTATTTGACCTAGGCTGTAGCCAATTGTTACGTCTGACCGATTGTGAACGCTAAATTCGCTTCCCTAAGCTAGTTCCGTACCCCCGAGCTAGAACTATACACCGACTTGAAGACCAGAGAAAAGGCCCAAAGTGTGTGGGAAGCGCTTTACTACAGGATTCATTTATGTACAGAAAATACAGGGGTTTTATAGTAATTAAGGGACCTTGAGTTTCCATAGTGGCAGTGTGTTAAACAGTCAATCAGGATCTCGTTATTTTAGTAGCATAGCTTCTATTGAATCGCTGATTGGTTGGGGCTCTTTATGAGCCTCTGGAGGCTCTGATAGAGTTTACTGTAAGTTGACTTAACATTAATGAGTATGTAAAATTTTATGAGAAATTGAGTAGTATATTATTGTACCGTAATATACCAAAATAAATAATGATTTACATGAATCTTATGTAAATATTTTAACTTATAATATTTGACTGGAATTTATTTAATGGATTTTTAAATTCTTCTATTTTAGTCATTTGTGCATCTACTATGAACTCAGCAAATTGTATTGCACTAATAAAAAAGAAGAAAAATATGAATAAGCAAAGTAGAACATGATCAGTAAAGTACATAAACTCAATTTATTTAAGCAACTGTTAAATTTTTTTAGTAAAATATTTTGATAAAATAATATATTTTTCATAGTTGAAAGCATGAATCAATTAAAGCTAGACCACCAAAGAAAATTCAGAAGCAATGGACGGCCGTTTCGTCTTATTGTGGGACTCCTCAGCAGCGCTCACCATCGGATGCCAACTAAGTGATCTATTGGTTAAGTACTCTGGCGCAAGACTGGTAGGTCATGGGTTCGAATCTCGCGAGGTGAGATTTAAACGGAACAAAAGAAGATTTGTAGAATAGAATGAATTCATTTGACTTCGCCGCTTCTCATTAGCTGGACATAAACTACAATTACAATTATTAATATAGTTATAAACAAGGTATTAACATACTTTAGTTTGGGATGTAGGTAAATCCAGCTGACGAGTCCCAAATAAGACGAAGCACACTTCCTGGATTCCACTGCTAGCCCCTATTCATCTTTGTTTAGTTAGTGAAGTTTAAATAAATGCTCGAAACGCCCCTTTAATCATAATAAAACCAGAAATAGGACACAGAATATATGAATGAATATAATTAAGACCGATATGTATTTCTATGTTTGGAAGCAGTATTCCGGAGTAGAACAGGTAATATTATGGCTACTAGTAATCACACTCAATATTAAAAGTCCTGTAAGCGTCTTGATTCAATGATCATTCAGTATGTTCAGAAACAAAATAATTAAATATGTAAGTATCAACAGGATTCAATAAGAGGCAAAAATCAGAAAGCAAGAACAGTGGAGTGTTGAAAAATAATAAGCGTTATTCGACAAATACTCAGTCATCATAACAGAGAAAAGCTAATCAACCTTTCCTTCTGTATTAATAGGTCAGGTTGGAAAAGTTTGAAGGCGATTGCCTATGCAAAATATTGTAAAACTGATGTTTGCTGTTAAATGCTTTACTTATACTCATTGCATGTCCATTATCTGAGTTGCTGATTTCCAACATAGAAATACATATCGGTCTTAACTATATTCATTCATACATTCTATGTCCCTTTCTTCGTTTTATTTTGATTGAACGTGCGTTGTGAATATTTATTTAAACTTCGCAAACTTAAGTATGTTAAGCATATGTTTATAACTATATTATTAATCGTAATTTAAGTCGATATCCAGCTAATGAGAAACGGCGAATTCGAATGGATTCATTTTATTCTACAAACCTTATTTTTCTTGCTCTGTTCAAATTTATTAAGAAACCTCACAACACTAAATGCAAAAATTTCAAAGTAGTGCGTTTGGAGGATGGGACACATATTGAAGAAATCGTCAAACTGCATCACGCAGCAAGCGCTAACTTGAATTCCCAAAGGGAAACGGAAAAGGGGTAGGCCGAATAATACACTGATTCAAGAATAGGGAGCAGACATGAAAAGGATAAATAACAACTGGAAACAACTGGAAAGGATTGATCAGGACAGAGTTGGATAAAGAATACTAATTAGTGATCTATGCTCCTCGATGAGTGGTAACAGGAGTGAGTAAGCAAGTGCCTTTGGAATCCATATAATATGATTACATAAAAAAGTATATGATCACTTCTCTGAATACTAGAAACTTTATATAACCCTGTTGCCAAATCAATGAGATTTTAAACTCTATACATATAAACTGTGTTTGGATGTTACATAAATCGAAATTATAACTAAATCTGCTGGTTTATCGGAACATTACCTGGACGTTCATTTTTTCTACAAATCAAATTTGTCTTAAAATTTTTTCATGGATCATATTCTAGAGATGTAATGAAAGGTTTGAAGGAAGTTTGCGAATACGAAAAACATTAAAAGTAAATTAATTACTTGGTCAAGTTGTTAACATATTTTGTTTCTTTGCCACACTAGTGTCTGTGTGTTACAAATATCTCTTTCTATCTTTGTTTACACTCCAACCATCTAGTTATATCAGTCAATAAAAAAAGTCATTTATAAATGAGTATTATATACTGAATCCTGGTTAGCGGCGTATGCTCGTCCACGAAGGGTAAATGACGTATGAGTAAGCAAGTGAGTGAGTAAGTGAATAAGTTAGTAAGTACGTGAATAAGCAAGTATTCAAGTAAATGAGTAAGTGGGCATGCGAGTAAGTAAGTAAGTTGCTAAGTAAGTATGTAAGTGAGTACTTAAATGAGTGAGTAAGTAAGAACGTAATTACATAGTGACTTATTAGTTATTTGTTCTAGTTGTTTGAAACAGTATTTGATAGATATAAAATTTTATATCATTATTATTATTTTTTATTATTAATGGCTTTATTCAATATTATAATCTGGTACAATATAGAATTCTCAACACGAGTTATTTCAGAGGATTTACTATTTATACTAATTCATTACGGATCCTTTTTCATTTGTATCAACTTGGTGTAATTAATTAAAGATAAAATCGCTTGAATAATTTCAAAACTTTATTCGTTTTAAAGCTAATTCAGAATAAATGGATAAATTTAATAAAGAAATAATTCTTCCTTCTATTATGAATATCAGTATTATCATAATTATCAATAATATGGTTAACGTTTTAAAAACCATAGTAAAAATCTTATTGTAAGATTATTGTAAATAACGTTAGAATAATAAAAGTGTTAGTCAATATTCATAGTTTTACAATTTCATTTTATAGTTAAAATCATGGGTCAATTGAAGCTAGACCACCATGGAAAACCTGGAAGCATTGGACGGCCGTTTTGTTCAATTATTGGAATCCTCAGCAGTGCACATCCACGATCCCACACTCGCGAGATTCGAACCCAGGACCTACGGCTTTCATTTTAGTGTAATACATTAGTTGACGGTTTACAATATACCAAATATTTATAAGTATATGAATGTTTTTACTGATTCTAACTTAATACATTTGTGCTAAAAGGTACAATTTACCAATTTTTATACATAACTAATTAAAACGACAAATTATACAAAATTACATGATTATGTAAGTTTTAATAGTAGCTAACATATCATTCAAAAAAAATAGTCGGTGATGTATGAAGCTAAGAGGCTATCGGAATTGACTTTCAAAGTTTACATTATATCATCTTTAATAGGTTTTCATATATGTGGAGAGTCCGCTCTCCCTCTCGAAATGCTCTCACATGGCCACGCGTATATAGCCTCTGCCACAAAAGTCCTACTCACTGTTTTCTCGTGGCGGGAGTGCCGTTTACGGAATTGAGAGGACGAAAAGCGAATGTCTGGCGTTTTAACCGAGTTGGTGGACACGGAAAGTTCACCTAGGTGATATGGAAAACCCTGATTCAAAATCAATGGTGCACATGGTCGCCAGTATCCTGAAGGAACGAATGGCGTATGAACCAATCGTTGGTCTTCGGCTACCATGATACTGCATCTCCTCACGATGTTCCACTGTCTTGTGGATTAGATCTTTAGGTCAAATGCACCAGGTGTAGCCCCTTAAGAAAACCACCTGTTTCAGTCTGGTCACCTGGACAGTATCATAGCCCTTACACAATTAAATGAAATGAAAATTTTCGGTGTGGCTCATATATATCTGGTACCCTCTTGTACCAATATTTATGTGTTTAAATAAATAAACAAATAATTTTTTTAAATGGAAGTAAACTTAAATCTAAACAGAATATACTCTTTGATTAAATAATTAAAAAAAAAACTGAATAGTGATGTCTTTTATTTTTACTTATTGAAAAACAATAATTATTTATAATATTCATTGTAACTATCTAACTTATAGATTAGAGGGGGTTTTGTGGAGAATTTAGTATTTTCACAGTTGAAATCATGAGTCAATTGAAGCTAGGACACCATCAAAAACCTGGAAGCACTAGACGGCCGTTTCGTCCTATTATAGGACTCCTATCTAACTTATATCAGAAATTTATTTTTATATCCCAGAAAACAAAATTTTTATAGTTAAGATCATGAGTCAACTGAAGCTAAACCACCAAAGAAAACCAGGTTAGACATCAACACCGTTGGATGATAGCTCAGTGGTCTATCGGTTAACGTCTCTGGCTCGAGACTGGTAGGTCCTGGGTTCGAATCTCGCGAGAGCGGGTTCGTGGATGCGCACTGCTGAGGAGTCCCATAATAAGACGAAACGGTCGTCCAGTGCTTCCAGGTTTTCCACGGTGGTCTAGCTTCAATTGACTCATGATCTTACCTATAAAATTACTAAATCTTCACAAAAACCCCCTTGTGATAACAAAATTTTTGTATATTTATCTAAATTTAAAAATAAAAAAAACTGCATATACAACTTTAAACAATGACCTAATGTTCACTAATAAATTATTATTCAATATTTAACAAAAATAAATAATGATATTATGTCAATCAATTAGTTTTTGTTTTAAAAAAAAATCAATTACTTTTTTGTCTTTCTATTCCCATATTACTCAGAATAGAAAAAAATTTTTTTTTTAATAATCAATAATTGATTACATCATATCTTAAAACTTGATTAAATATGATTGGTTTATATAATGATTTATAATTTTTTTTTTAAAAAAAAGGGGAAAATCTAGTTTAAATAATAATAATAATAAATTGAAATATAACCAATCGAATGTATGTCTATTCATTAGGTTGATATGTGTTTATCACTATATTTAATTTATAAAATTCTATACCTTTAAAACAATTATATTGTACTATCAATAATAAATTCGAATGTACTAACTATTATTGTTTTTTTCTTTAATCTGCAATAAATTACATGTTCAATTTGTTTAAACATTTGGTAAATAATTCAGGATCATTATTATCATTTCTAATAAATTATTATTAATATTTACAAATTATTATTACTATATCTATTCGTCAAGATCATAATCTATTGAATTGAAGTTTTTAAAAAAAATGATCTTATTAAAAATAATTACAAAAAAATTATGCTATTCTTTACATACTCTTATAATATATATTACTTTTGGTAAGTAACAAATGGATTCATTAGAATAATATAATATTTATTTATAGTTGAAAGCTTGAGTCAATTGAAACTAGACTACCATGGAAAACCTGGAAGTACTGAACGGTCGTTTCATCCTATTATGGGACTTCTTAGCAATACGTATCCACGATCCCGCCTCATGAGATTCAACCTAAGGACTTACCAGTCTCCCGTTAGAGCATTTAACCGATAGACCACTGAGCCGGCATACGATGGTGTTTATGTCTACTGCTTCTAAGTTTTCTTTGGTGGTCTAGCTTTAATTGACTCACGCTTTCAACTATGGAAATACTAAATCTCCACAAAAAACACCTTCTGAATATTTATTTAATTAATTTTTTGAATTTTATTAAAATGACATTTGTGAAAAATATATTCTCATTATAAGTAGATACATTTATAATAATCTGTCTTATGATAATTATTATTATGATAACAAATATGTATAATTATAGAAGGGGTTTTGTGGAGATTTAGTATTTATTAAAGTTGAAAGCGTGAGTCAATTGAAGCTAGACCACCATGGAAAACCTGGAAACCGGGAAATAATAGGACGAAACGACCGTCCAGTGTTTCCAGGTTTTCCATGGTGGTCTAGTTTCAATTGACTCACGCTTTCAACTATAATAAATATGTATAAGCTTAAAATAGAAGGTGTTTTGTATTATAAAAACAAAATAAAAAAATTCTATATTTGATCAATACATTTCATAGGAGACCTTATCTGACTATTAAATAACTTTAAAGATAGAAATCTTAAAGTCTTAGTACAAAGTAATAATTCAGTTGAAGTTATGGAAGATCAACTTGTTCTACAAATCCAATATGCTTCTAAAATGGTTACTAAAAAGTCTCTGTAGGACAACATCTTTTAAAACATTATTATGATTAGCTACTTTCAAGTATTGAAACAACAAATATATGATCGCTTTTAATATGAATTCATTAATTCATACAACTTTTCACTCTAAATGATGATTGATAAAATTGAGAGACTTAAACATTGTTTAGGATTACCACTACCTAATTAATCATCTATTTTATTTTCTTAAGGAGTGCCATAATAGAACAAAACAGCCGTCCAGTACTTCCAGGTTTTCCATAGTGGTCTAGCTTCAGTTGACTCATAATTTCAATTACATGTAAATGAAATAGTCGAATATTTTGTTGTGAGGTTTAATCTGTTTAAAAAGGAACTGGACACAAATAACATGGTAACCAAATACTAAAACTAGAAATTATAAAATTTTACATTAGATCTTAACACAAAATTTGTTTTTAAACATGTAGACACTAGATTAGTATTCATAATAATTCAGACGAAAAAATTAATCTGTTTTCAAAAAGAAATCTGCGTCATCAGTTGATTTTAAAAACAAGTAACTCGATTACCAATCAGTTTGATGATTGATGAAAGGAATTACAAAACCGGATAATGAAGTATTAGTTTCACTATACTTATCATCTATTTTGTTAAGATATTAGTTTTATAGAATATTCCGTTTTCCTTAAACTAACCATTCACTTAAACTTCTTTGTACTTTAAATTTTCTGAATAGTATAATGTATATAACGATATGAATGACTAAGAGATAATTTGATGAAATATTCATTAATGTATTAATCAAAGTGAATAACAATCTTGCGAATAACGTAACCAAAAAGTCTCAAAATTAATGACACCACCTAGTGGAAAAACTGTAGCCAATGTCATCTTGTTTACTGATTTCATCCCAATAACAACACACAATTTAACTTAGATTCAATTATCATTTTTGAGTTTATAATCATAATATACCAATTCAACATAAAATGGAATACAGCGATACACATTCCTCAATGAATGATTATTTCTTCTTTCATATAGTGGAGAATTTATGACCGGAAAGTTTGTATATGTAGGGAAAAGACAAGTATTTTCTGTAGGCGTGGCGTTGAACCAAATGACATATATATAACGAAAACTAAGGATAAACTCTAGTTAACAGGCATGATCAGACTGACGCTGAAAGAGATGCGAAATTTTATGAGTTATTCTGATTTAACTTTGTGACAGATTTGTTCATAATATGAAGCTTGAAAAATACACAATCAAATGTGACATTATTCTCGATTATGTTATTTTAGAAATGTACAATTTAATAATCAGCAATTGACCTATTAACCTTCACTATACTGTAAGATGATAAAATTAGTCAGTTATTAGTAATTTACGTACCATAAAAAAATATTTCATTAAGCGTTCAATCAATACATTAGGTTTAAAACGCTGAGTACCTTACTTACCCAATGGTTCGTGTTTAAATAATAACTGATTCTGGCTAGTATTACGAAATAACTACACAATAATAACTGTTACGAGATTATCAGTTAACTTTTGTTTCAGATTATTACTCAGTATTCTTACATACCCAGATGAACAGTTGGATGAGATTTTTAGGAAATGTAAATTATCATACACTGTTATGAAGCCTACTATGTAAAATAAAATTTAGACGATAATGAGCAACTCTATGATTTATTAATTTAATATAATTCAGTTTGCAAATTTGGAAGAAAGCAAAGATGGTGAAAATTGGTAGCTCAGGTGGATGATTTTGGCGAAGTTTTGTTCTCTGAGCTGGATGGTTTGCTCGTGCAGCTTTCATCATTATACTGAACAACGTCATCCGCAAAAAATTTAGGTAGGAGTGTAGTGTTGAGAAATTCGAACACTTCACTCCTACCTGAAGTTTGTGCAGATGCTATCGTTCAGAAGGATGATGAAAGCTCCACGACCAAACCATCCAACTCAGAGAACAAAACTCCGCCAAAATCATCCACCTGAGCTACAACAAACCCATCAGTTAACTGGTAATAATTATTTTGGGTTAATAACATAAAATCACGAAAAGTCTTAAGGTTTCTAATGGAGGAGCCATTTCCTCCAGAAAAACTAATTGTGTTTGTTCACTGGCTCCTGATTTTGGAGTGAATTTCTGAGGTTTCAGTTAGAAGTTGTAGCTGAGAAAGTCTAGCCATCTCAGAGTGAACTGGTTATCCACCATTGACAATGAATGAATGTTACTCTTTATAACGAAATGGTTGAAGTCAGAAATGTAGTCTGAAAATCCCTGGAACTTCTGATAATAATATTATCAATTAACTAAAGCGAACAAAATGCTTGATCTGAAATTTAAAAAAACATTTCGATTGTGACCACAATATTTACTGACATTGAGCGATATGCCTTGATTATTGATGAAGAATAAGAACACACTGTCAACTATTTTCAGCAATTACCAATCTAGGGTGTTATATTTTATTTCATTATTTGTTTGTCATATTGAAAATTGGAAATTCAATATAAATTGATTGTTTTTCAATACCTACCGATAATCTGTAAATAGCTTGTCAATAGATCGATAATACTTCGTAAAAGAAATGTATGTAAAAAAATAGATTAGTCTTCGTAATGGTAATTTGCTATGTCTATGGTTATTCTTGTTGATATACAGAATAAAATGCTATTTTGTTAACCTCAATAAATGTATAGGGAAAATATTTGTATATCTGAATATGTTTAGTAATTATAGAGAATGTTCTTAAAACCGACTATCTTGAACAATAAACTATAATTAGTATGTTCTCTTTTCTATCCCCAGGTAATGTAATAAGGCCAGTCAGATCTTGTATATAGAATTTCAGAAAATTTTTCGAAGAATTTTTTTAATGGACAGATTTATGTGTGTTTTTACAACGCCCTTGAAAATAAGTTGAGAAGTGGCGCACAGAGAATATTAACAAACTAATTAGAAAAAACGTCTTTTATAACAGCGGTTAAATCAAAGGGCGAAAACGAAAAATAATTTGAATTTTCATAAAAACTAATTATAGAATAGTAGATTTAGTATTCTAATTTATAAAAATAACAACCCATAATGTTTATATAAAACATTATATTCTAATTACTGACTGACTGAATATTATTCAGTATGCACTATGAATATAAACTGTATATTACTGTAAGCAGAGATAGATAGTGGCTAGCACTGGAATTCAGGACGCGCGTTTCGTCCTATTTGGGACTCGTCAGCTGGATGTACTTGCATCTCAGAGTTGATGTTCACTCTGGGACTCAAACTCAGTACCCTCGCTTCAAACGCTATCGCGTTATCCACTCGGCCACTGAGTCCTGATAGCCACTTGCTTGTGCAATGGGGTGAAGTTTAAATTCATTTAGTACTAAATGAATGGGAAGATTCAAACAAACAATACTAAATGAATTTGTATATTACTGTCGACTGGGTGATTTTACTTCTGTAGGATTTAGACCAGAAGTTGTATCCTTATAAATATTTTTCTTCATTTTTGTACATTTGTCTCATTTTGTATTGACGTCTTTGTAGTAAAATAGAAATCTAAAATCTAACTTGAAAAATAACACAGACTTATTGTTTAGACATTAAATTTGAAAAACGTATGTGTTATTATATACTCAATGATAATACTGCAGTTTATTCATAGTGAACTTATGTAACACCGAAGGCTCATCTATTATATTTTGTAAATCATTTGTAAAAAGATATTGTATTTCTTCATACATATTTATGATAAATTGGATAACATATGAGATCTATCTGAAGAACTTAAACAAACTCAGTCAGTCAGTCAATCACAACGTAGAACTTCGTACGTACGTACATCAGTTCGAGTTGCCATACCACATTAACACAGAGATGCGGTTGTCGATTCAAATCCCGTAGTGGTAGACGTAGTACGAGCATAAACAGTAATCCAAAAGATTAGGGTTTGAAGATGTTATTCTAGGAGTATAATACAGTAAAATAAATTTGGAAAGAGAAAAATGGTAAAGACATGAAGAATTCTGAAGATTGGAATTTACGAGAACACAAAGAGTGGATGCACCTTCTCCATTGCAAACGATTTTCAGCCATGTCATTCAAGGTCTCTAACCATCGGTTGCTATCATCTCGCGAATCACAACCAGGTAGTCTACACCTACCAACATGGCTCAGTCCACTTGTCAGTGACTTCATGGATTTGTGCCATGTTTTGATCTGGCCACCCCTAGCTTTCTTCCAACCTACTCCTACACCACAAAACATTGCACGTCGGGGCAGTCAGTGGTTGGGCTAACTGGAGTACAGTATTTTGATAGATTATAAAGTAAATTAAACCAGTATAAAAATTATAGGCCACACTGATATGTTTAAGTGATAATTTTAAGGAATATTTTAAACTTTGAACACATATATTAGATGAAATAATGTCGGTCCCATTTCTAAAAGCGTCACTGTAGAAGGACTATAGAGTTATTTAATGTTTGACTGTTAAAAATGAATGAAACTGCTACTACTTTGAATAAAAAAATAATTATGAACAACAGTTCAAATTACTTAGTATCATATATTAATACATCGCTAGCATTATAGTATCAATTAAGATGAGCGAGTGAAAGCTTATCTCAAATCAACTTATTATAAGTGAAAAAATTGTTAGTGAAAAGTAGGGTGGTATTCGTTTATCTTGAGATAACGTTCATCAGATGAAATCACTTTAACCTAACTATCAGAAAGAATGTCTCATCATAGCATAGATAAATCTGTATACACATTACTAGATGTTTTACTTCTTAGCTTGACTGTACTACATTATCCTAGATTTTCAGTAGTTACCCATTCATTTAAGATGCATGTATAAAGTATGTGAAAGTTCATATAATTTCGTCTTGTTTTCACAAATATTTTTATTTTGCGTATATATATATGATAAAATACAGAGAAATATACTAGTCCAGAATGTAAAAATTATTACTTTCCTCTTATAAATAATGCGCTTAATAGTGGATGGGTTTTTGACTTACTATATTGACCTAAATGTTGATTCCTTTCAATTTTCAGGTTTCGAATGGATTTTTTGCGAAGTTATCAATAGTACCGTTACTGATAGAAATTCAAATGATCATTTAATCATGTGGATTTCAACCGGTATGATGTTTCAATTTCAAAATATGTACATTTACCATTAACATTTAAATCTTAAGCAACCCTTGTGGACATTCACTTTTTTGTCTAGGTACTACATCACTAGTTCAGTAAGTGAACTGGTTGGGATAATCGAATGTATTTAAGTAAACATTACAGACTATCTCAGTAAATTCTGATAACCATACAATGAACAGTTAATTTGCAAATTAACAACCAGTTGTCTCAACCTTCAATGTTTCTTCTCTAATTCCATTGTTCATGCATTTTCCTACCGATTACGCTTCATGTCAGTTCTTTCCTGATCGGTCTTCTGCCAAAATACATTCTATGTCTGACCAACACCATATACTACTTATATGGATGTGAGTAGCCCACACCTTAGTAGTATGTCATAGTTTTCTGTCGGATAGTTAGTTATTATTTGGAACCGATAGGTTCCAAACTAGATATTCAATATCATAAAATGTTATTATAAATTATGATCTATCTGAATGCAAGATGCTCGAAAAAAAACTCATGTAATAAAACTACAATAAAGTAAACACCGAAACTGAGATAACTATTATGATAACCTACGTACTTACTTAGTATTTCAATATTTATGTATAAACTATTATTGTTATACACTCTCTGGTTTAAAGTTAATAATAACAACCAACCTTCAATGATGATGAATCACTTCGCTAAATAAAACTTTCTTACCACACCACTAAAAGATGTATACTTGGATCTATGGTGATGTGATGTCTTTTACTGATAAATACCAGAAGATATAAATATCGTTCTAGGGTTTTCGTCCTTTTTATTTAGGAAATGAATAAACTCATAATGAATCAACTAGCCTAAATAAGTAATTTGGATGGCAGTTTTCAGTTAACTGTAACGAATAAATATAATGATATTGTTTATAACTGCTGAGAAATTTACTCAATTTTTCTCAACAAAACATCGAACTTTTACTCATCCACTCTAATGAAAAGAAAAATTTCAGTGTAGTTACGTTTTACTAAAGATCAGATCAAATTTTAAGGTTTGAATTCATAATAAGCTGATTATGCAGAGTTCAGAGCATTGATGTAATTAAGTATTTTAAAAAATTTACTTTCATGTACTAAATTGTGTTCCACAGAAATGTACTGTTACAAAACACTGGTGCATCTGAAACGATGTTTTTAAAAAATCAACCTGAAATTCACTGTTTGGATTCTCTCACAAGTAGTGGTCTTAACTATATACTTGACTAATCATTTATTACAAAAAAGTTTTCTAATAAGTTTTAATTTTTGATTAAGATCACGAATCGATCGATGCTAGACCACCATTGAAAACCTGGAAGCACTGGACGGCCGTTTCGTCCTAGTATGGGACTCCCTAGAAGTGCGCATCCACGGTCCCTCACGCTGGATTCGAGCCAGGACCTTCGGTCTCGAAGTTCTATTATGTAATGTTTGCACTGATCCTAGTTCTTCATCTGCTTCTCTATTGGACAGCCGTTCAACCAGAAAACCATTCAAAGAAAATTGCTCATTACCACTATGCAATGAAAACTTCAGTATAACATAAATATTATGAGGCTTGTACATGTTAACACACTTATTAGAATGAAATGTTACTGTTGAAAGCAGAATAATTTCAGAATTTTAATCAAGTCTAAAGGTTTATCATACTAATAATATGTAAAGAGAAGAGATCTAAAAACTTCAGTCCCTACTTAACACATTAGCCAAATGATCAAGATACCTCATAAAAAAACTGCAACCAAATAACTAAGATCTAATACTGTAAGTTGCAAAAGTTGTTGTGAGAAACGAATTGACTGGTGTACGATGGAGAAGATACAACAATGAAAAATTGTCTAGATAAAATGTTCTCTACCAACAAAATTCTCTTCAAATTATAATATTACTGAAGTAAATCACCAAATATCTATTATCTGAGGATTAAATTATTTGCTTTGTAACTGTTGGATGATATCCATTGATCATCTGTTAGTTGGTGACTATTACTAAGTGAATCATTCGTAAGATTAGCTGAATAATCTATTTCTTGAGACAAAACAAGATATGCAGAGATAATTTACGTTACTACATTCACAACTTTTACATAAGGACTAATCACTAAATGATTAACATGATGGAAGGTAGTTGAAAATTGACTATTGTTAAGAAATTTCTATGTAATCAGTAAACTGCTCTCAATATATCTTAAAATAGAAATTATGATTAGTAACCAATCATTACTCAACCTAAAATTTAGCACAAATTTCACGATAATACACATTATAATTGTGTGAAACTAGATGTTACTACTGTAGGTTGATGGTTAATATAGTTAAAACTTTTAACCAAAGGGTCTGAGGTACTATACTTCACAGTCTACGACTAATTCGAAAAATAGTATTCTTGATTCATGCATGAAGGCAGTGTAAAACGCATCATACGTAGTTCATCAACTATATCATTATTCTACAAGTCGCATAATGGATACTTAAAATTATTTAAAATTCATTATAATACGGTTTAGTAACTTATAAATGACCTGATGTATTCATAGTCTTACTACTTTTATTCATTCGAATATTCAAATCTTATACTAAAAAAAAATGAAATATGGATAACGGCTAGCAGTGGAATACAGGACGCGCGTTTCGTTCTATTTGGGACTCGTCAATTGGATGTACCTGCATCTCAGAGTTGATGTTCACTCTGGGACTCGAACCCAGCACCTTTCTGTCCAAACGCCATCGCGTTATCTGAGATGCAGGTACATCCAGCTGATGAGTCCCAAATAGGACGAAACGCGCGTCAGGCTGGATTCCACTGCTAGCCACTATCCATCTTTGCTTACCATGCTTGTGAACTTAGGCTATATTGAGGCGATACGCACAGTATGCACATATGCCAATTAGAGACTGACCAGTTGCCGTCTTAAAACATCAATGGGAAGATTCAACCAAACAATACTAAGTGAACTAAATGAAATACATCAGTTTTCTTTGTATAAACATAGAAACCTTTTAATATTTCATAAGTTAAAAAAATTTTCAATGTTGCTTCATGGATTCGAGAAAAAACGTGTAGTCATTTGTTCAGAAAATATATATCGTACGATAATACTCAAGAATCGATTTGTAGGTTTATAGAGCTATTTAATCCACTGTATGATTTGCAATTTTAACGAGAACGGCTAGTTTATAATGACAAGTAACTTCGAGCTGGATTATCATTTTAGTTACATATAATTCAATAAGCACATTGAAACATTATATAATTGTTTGAATTTATTCTGAAGTTCCTAATTGCTAATATCATTCACTAAAATCAAATGAATTCGATATTTAGGTTTTTAAAAATCTTTATTTCTGGACCTGGAAGCCATTAGATTTCATTCAAATCCATTCACTGGGCACAATTCGAACAGTGACTTCTGAAAACGTCACTGACTGAAGCAGTTAACCCTATCAATTTATTATACTTTAGAATTTGACCATCAACAATAAACTTAAGTCATGATATTTTCAGATCTATGGCTAAAATTAAATATACTTAAATTTTAGGTACTTATTGATACCAATTCAAAGAAACGTGTCACAAATTTGGTATAAAAATGGATATTTTAAATTAAACTTTGATAGTGACTAGTAGTAGAATTCACTACATACGTTTCAGCTTATTAGGCAATCGTCAGGTAGATGCACCTGCACCTCCGTATTGATGTTCACACTGAAATTCAAACCCAGTGTAATTCTATTCATACACTTAACAAGTTATTTACTTATCTACTGAGTCCAGATAGCCACCAGCTTGTATGAAAGTTTTTGGTGGAGTTTTCTGTTCTCTGAGCTGGATGGTTTGGTCTTGGGGCTTTCATCGTTATTCTGAACGACATAATCAGCACAATCTTCAGGTAGACATGGATTAATTTTATTGTGTTTGTGAGGATTGGAATCTTTCCTTTCTTGATGTTAAGAACTATAATTGGTTAGTTTCTTTTTTGGTTGATCAACTATAGATCTTGACTTCAATAACATGAAGATGGAACAAAAATGGGAAGTCGTACAACATTATAATGAGCCTTTAGTAAGAGATTAGATGCCTTCCCTTTTTTTACTGAAGACCATGTAGAAATTACTGTTATATATATCTTAATTTCAGTGTGTTTTAATTGCACTTTTCAATTTTTGTATTCTACTGAAAAATACAGGGCTTAGTATATCAGTTGGCGTTCTTATCATAATTGTATGCTGTCTGCTTGTATTAGTATATAACCTTAGGTAAGTATCACTTTTTTAAATCTTAAATGATTTAATATATGAGTTTTAAACATCAAGGAATCTAACTACACAATGCAGTACTTGACCACTTGGTTGCATCCTGTCATTGAAACTAAACGTTTAGTATTTCCTCTAGTATTTAATCATCTATTCTTTATTTTATAGATCAGTACTAAGCATGTAAGCAGTTCATTATCTGAACAACTCGTGAAAAACAGAATAAAGCAGGAACGTTTTAAGAGTGTTTTATTATGTAGGAACACAACTCATAGCTAGTCACTAATTTCTGAGTTAACAATTTTTCAGGAAGTTTCGAGATAACATACCAAAACGGAACTGAAAACGTAAGCTGATTTCATTACAGTAGACAAATAAATGAACCAAAAAAATGAAATAAGCTAATCTAGATAAGGCTACTTTCAACAACTTTCTTTAAACAATATCGAAAAAATGATATCTTTTTAATCGTACCTTGATAATGAACATTTATTTTAATAGCTGCTCACTGTTGATGGAAACATTTGTTAGCACATTTACTCTCAGCATAAGGCGATAAATTACTTAAGCCCGTTGTCCTTCTTGAAGGCCAAGAATCTACAAACAACTCTGTCCTAAGCTATCCAGTGGTTGTCAAGTACTATTTATCGTCCTGATGTTTATTATCGACTCCCGATACAATGTGTTAGTTGGTTCGGCTCTTTTACTTTTGACTTCAAGATTCAAAGTTAGGGCTTGCCTCGTGATGCAGTTTAGTGATTTCCGTAATGTATGTCCTATCCACATACAGTGATTTTTAATAATTTCCTCTTCATCTGGAAATTGGGTTGTTCTCTCTAACAATAGGTTGTTGCTGACAGCACCCGACCAACGGACACTGAATATCTTGCGTAGACAATTGTACATAAATACCTATACTGTTTTGATAATGGTTGTGGTAAATCTCCAAGTCTCAGCTCCACACAGTTAAACTGACTGTCTTAATAATAATAATAATAATAATAATAATAATATATTTTGAAAATAATATTTACAGAATTCACACCAGTTTACAGGCATGATCAGATTGTTATAAAAATCAACATTTAATGTAGAGAACAAACATGAATTATAAGAAGGTTTTATGTTTGCTGGTTTAGTAATTGATAAACAGTTTAAATACGGCATATATCACGGCAAGCCAATGCAACACCAGGGAACTTGTCATTTTTTTATTAAGTGGATAGCCTGATGATTGACCAACATTATTCTGTAAGGTTATTACCAGTGCCAGAGCGAGTTATTATTAATTATCTACAACTAGAGAAAGTAAGATTAAAGCAAAGAGCACGGAACAACAAAACAATGATAGCAAGTAATAGGTTAAACATTTAAAGTTCCGATAATCTCACTTGTGGAGTAACATACACTTGCAGGCGCTAGAGCATTTAATGCATTTTCAGAGGAGCAAAAAGCATTAATTGACCGAACAAACAATGGGAGAGAGTCTAACATACGGGTAGTTTGGGGTAAATTATTCCATAGTCTAGAAAACTTACAGGTAAAGTAATTCATATAAAGAGATCTGGAATATGTTTGTTTCGCTAGTGACAAGGAGTTACGAATGTCGTAATGTGAAGCCTTAGCATATTGAATCGCCTGACTGGATGTGAAGGAGAGTTTGTTAAGTATTTTGAAAAAGAAGATAAGGTTAAGTTTCAGTCTCCTCATCCATAAAGGGTCAAGCCCTAGTTTACTACACCTCGAATTATATGTCAAGACACTATCAGGTCCAAGAGTACGAAATGTAAATCGTCTCTGTACTGATTCCAGTCTTAATTTATCCTTTATGCGCGTGCTACTAAGGAGAAACGCGCAGTATTCGAGGAGTGGTCGAACACAGACTTTGTACATTAGAATACGGGATTCGCTGTTATGAAGGTTTCGAGTTATGAAACCTATAAGGCGATGAGACTTGGACGTTTGTTTCATTACCTGTTCAGCAAACGACAAGTCATCGGAGTACCTAAGTCCTAGATCTACTACTGTGTGTAACCTAGATAACATTTCCCCATTTATGGTAAGATTAAGGTTGAGTGATGTATCACCGAAGCATAGCCAACCACATTTAGCTGTATTGAGCTCCAGCTGCCATTTTGAGCACCACTGTGCTACCTTGTTAAGCTCCATGCTGATGCAATTTCGAATATAGCTCAGCTCATGTGGAGAAAATGAGTACACCACCTTAAGATCGTCTGCAAACAAAAAGGACTTACCCACACTAAAACACTCACAAATATCATTAATGAAAACTAAAAAGAGCAAAGGACCTAAGACACTACCCTGAATTACCCCACTTCTAACAGGGACTGCGTTCGACAATGAAGAGTTGATTTTAACTATTTGATGTCGATTGCTGAGGAAGGAATCAAGCCAGGCTAGTAACGGGTTTTCGACCCCATAAGATGCGAGTTTACCTATGAGAAGTTGGTGGTTGACCATGTCGAAGGCCTTAGAAATGTCCAGGTATAGCACTAATACTAGATATCCTTGGCTACGAAGCGAATAGACTAAATTAAAGAAGTCAAAATGACATGTCATACAAGATCGATTTTTAAGAAATCCATGTTGCGAATCACCAATAAATTGTTCAGTCAATAAATAGTTGGATAGTTCGTCACTAATAATTTTTTCCATAATCCTAGAGATAACTGGAGTAATATTTATTGGCCGATAGTTGTTCATGTCAGTCTTATCTCCGGATTTGTAACGTGGTATGATGTACGCGGTTTTCCAACGGTCAGGATAACAGCCTGATTCTATAGAGAGGGTAAACAGTTTAAGGAGAAGAAGTTGGATATCTGGACCACCATATTTGTAGAGAAATGATGAAATCCCGTCTGCACCGTGACCTTTCGAAACCTTGAGCTTATTTATAACCTTACTAATTTTCAGACATGTGAAGGAGATAGATTTAATGGAGTTACCAGTCAAGCATATAACTCTAGAAACAGAGCCATTTATGGATTCTTTGTCATTTGCAAAATTACCACTGAAAAGGTCTGCTATAGTTTTTGGGTCATATATAAAACTATTATTATGCAGGATGCATGGTATATCAACATTTTGAGTTGATTTAGCACGTTTATTATAAAGGTGGATTAGGTTTTGCACTTTTGAGCTAGTACGTAGTGCTAATAGCTCTTCATTGATGGCTTTTAACCTATGTTTCTCTTTAATTTGGTTAAAAATTATTGTTATTTGTGTGACTGCTGTGAAGTCGTTAGATTTAAAATAACGTTTCTTTAGGCGTCTTAGTTTATTACGATATTTAGCTGGTATATATAATTCGTAATGTTTACTAATCCTGTAAGTCTTAATTGGTGCACAGGAGTCTAGACAAGAGTTAACAATGAAATAGAATATATTGATGGCATCTGTCAGACTATTACATGAGAAGAATTCATCCCAGTCTGAGAGTTTGATCAGTGAGCGCAAGAGGTCCCAGTCTGTATGCTTATAGTCTCTATAATTGCAGGTTCTTTGAATTGGTCGGTTGTAGGAGGGACAGATGGGGAGAGCACAAGTTACTAACCTATGATCACTGCTTTCAAACTCGTTGTATACTTGTACAGATAGGGGATTGGTGGTGTACAGACCGAATCGCGACACGAATGATCATTGTTGAACAACCAATTGAATGGAACTCGTCAACTATACATCAACTTTCATGACTATGAGAAAGCGTTCGACAGCGTAGATAGGAGAACTTTATGGAGCCTTCTTCGACACTACGAAGTACCTGAGATTGTCAACATCATATGGAATTCTTAAGACGTACTACACTGCAAAGTTGTGTCTGGAGGACAGCTGACAGATGTAGTCCAAGGCTGCTTACTCCCTCCCCTTTCTCTTTCTTCTGGTAGTTGACTGGGTTTTGAAGACCTCCATATCTGACGAGGTGCATTGAATACAATGGACAGCCTGCGTGCTACTAGACGATTTGAACTTCGCAGATGACCTGGTCTTTCTACCTCATACACACTAACAAATGAAGATGAAGATAACCAATGTAGCAGCAGTCTCTGCTTCAGTAGGCCTCAACATACACAAGGGGAAAACCAAGATACTCAAATACAACACACAGACAACATGAAACCAGTCACACTTGATGGAGAATTTCTGAAAAAGGTGAAAATTTTCACGTACTTGGATATCATCATCGATGTACAAGGAAGACCTGATGAAGATGTAAAGGCAAGGATTGGTGAAGTAAGGACAGCACTCCTACAGTTGAAGAATATGGACATTCGTACTGAAGATTCTGATTTTGATATTGGTTGACAGTTGTTTTGAGTTCCATATTCTTCAACTGTAGGAGTGCTGTCCTTACTTCACCAATCCTTGCCTTTACATCTTCATCAGGTCTTCCTTGTACATCGATGATGATATCCAAGTACGTGAAAATTTTCACCTTTTTCAGAAATTCTCCATCAAGTGTGACTGGTTTCATGTTGTCTGTGTGTTGTATTTGAGTATCTTGGTTTTCCCCTTGTGTATGTTGAGGCCTACTGAAGCAGAGACTGCTGCTACATTGGTTATCTTCATCTTCATTTGTTAGTGTGTATGAGGTAGAAAGACCAGGTCATCTGCGAAGTTCAAATCGTCTAGTAGCACGCAGGCTGTCCATTGTATTCAATGCACCTCGTCAGATATGGAGGTCTTCAAAACCCAGTCAACTACCAGAAGAAAGAGAAAGGGGAGGGAGTAAGCAGCCTTGGACTACATCTGTCAGCTGTCCTCCAGACACAACTTTGCAGTGTAGTACGTCTTAAGAATTCCATATGATGTTGACAATCTCAGGTACTTCGTAGTGTCGAAGAAGGCTCCATAAAGTTCTCCTATCTACGCTGTCGAACGCTTTCTCATAGTCATGAAAGTTGATGTATAGTTGACGAGTTCCATTCAATTGGTTGTTCAACAATGATCATTCGTGTCGCGATTCGGTCTGTACACCACCAATCCTTACGGAATCTAGCTTGTTGATCTCGAAGTTAGCTGTTTACTGAATCTTTCATCCTGTTTAACAACACTCTGTTGAAAACTTTTCCTGGTACTGAAAACAAACTGATGCCTCTGTAGCCCTCACATTTACTCAGATGTCTTTTCTTTGGTATCTTGATGAGGCATCCTTCTTTCCAGTCTGTCGGCACTTGTTCCTTCCACCAAATCTTCCTAAATAGAAAGTAGAGTATGTTTGCCGACTCTTCCATATCTGATTTTAGTGCTTCAGTTGGTATACTATCAGGTCCTGCTGCTTTCTCACTCTTGTTCGTGCTTCTTTGGACAGTGTCAGTTCAAAAGTTCGTGTGCACGAAGCGTTTTCTTCCTCATGAACAGAGTCCAATAGCATCTCTCCCTAATCTAAACTTTTCTGTCCAGCTTGTGTTTGGTGAGTTTCATTTACTACGAGCACCGCCAATTTGTATCTCTTCATTTCCGTAGTTATTTGATTAGTCCTCTCGATCTCTCACATTGTCTGGACATTCCATTTACCTGCTGACACGTTGAATTTAGTGCTTCTTTGATCCCTTTCCAATAGCCCTCCATAGTAGTTTGTTCTTCTTTCAGTAGATTCCGTAAGGCTTGGGACCTGTTGTTGAGAGAGCTATCTTGAATTAGTTGAGTTTGTCAGTGTGTCGAAGGAAGGCTGTATTGAACCTTTGTAATGCTGTTTCTCCAGTTTTCCAGTGATACTTCAGCTTCGGTTTCACCTTAGCAACCACCAGGTGGTAATCCGAAGCTATGTCAGCTCCTCTCCTGGTTCTCACGTCTTCCATTAACCTTGCAAGTTGTTTACTGATCCAAATATGGTCGATCTGATTCTCTGTAGTGTGATCTGATGAGACCCATGTATCTTTGTGTATGCGTTTGTGTGGGAATGTTGTTCATCCTATAACCACTTTGTTGAATGCGCATAAATTTGCAAAACTCACCATTCTTGTTCCTTTCTCCCAGTCAGTCTATGTCGTCTCATAATGACTTCATATCCGATGTTGTCCATTCCAACTTTGGCGTTTAGATCTCCTATCAGGATGGTGAGGTCCTTTCTTCACCATGATCGATTGTGGCCTCTCATAAAACTGATCTTTATCCTCGTCATTACCATCATTGGTGGGTGCATAACACTAGATAACATTCATTGTAATCCCTTCGTTCTTCGTTTTAAAGGGTGCTTCAATGATTTTATAAGCGATTTTCGTGCTTCATTGGCCTCCTAGTTTGGAAATAATATAGGCTTTCTTCATGAGGGATGTCTTAAATCTTGCATATGAAGATTCTTTAACACTTAGGGCAGAGTTCAAGTGCTTCTTTGTAGCTATTTCTTTGTTAGTGAGATTTAGTTCATGAGGTGGTGGCGTTAGTTCTGCCTCCAACTTTTCTCCTTTGCCCGGTCTTGGAACCGGCATTACCCCAAATGGCCCCAGATAGAGTTATATGGGGATTACTATACTATGCTTTGAGTATTTTTAGTGAGTATTTTATTGGCAAATAAAATATGGATTTCATTATTCGCGAAAGGTAATTGACTTTGAGATAAATATGTACATAGTTTTCATCAATGTAAGAAGAAATCAAGAAAAGTAGTTATAAGTTCATGATTTATGCCAAAGTTAACCCTTCTGTTAAGTCTATCGAAGCGTCCAAATGACCCGATTGAGATGCGCGCAAAATCGAAGTTCCAAAACAACGATTTGTCTACATAAGCGGTTCTATTATTATATAAAACACAAAATTTAATTACAAACCTCAACTTGTGAGGTGAGGCGTTTAACGCGTCGTTCAAGAATGAAATAGTAAAGGCTTCGATAGTACAAAGATAGCCGATGGCTGTGCCGAAATTGGACAACAGTTTATGAACAATCGAAACTTGAACCAAGAGAAAAGCAATATAATAATAATATATTCTGAAAATAATATTTACAGAATTCACACCAGTTTACAGGCATGATCAGATTGTTATAAAAATCAACATTTAATGTAGAGAGCAAACATGAAATATAAGAAAGTTTTATGTTTGCTGGTTTACTAATTGATAAATAGTTTATATATGGCAGGCCAATGCAACACCAGGGAACTTGTCATTTTTTCTTAATGGATAGCCTGATGTTATTTAAGATTATTTCTAGTGCCAAAGCGAGTTATTGATAATTATCTACAACTAGAGAAAGTAAGATTAAAGCAAAGAGCACGGAACAACAAAACAATGATAGCAAGTAAGAGGTTAAACATTTAAAGTTCCGATAATCTCACTTGTGGAGTAACATACACTTGCAGGCGCTAGAGCATTTAATGCTTTTTCAGAGGAGCAAAAGGCATTAATTGAGCGAACAAACAATGGGAGAGAGTTTAACATACGGGTAGTTTGAGGTAAATTATTACAGAGCCTAGAAAACTTACAGGCAAAGTAATTCATATAGAGAGAAGATCTAGAATATGTTTGTTTCGCTAATGACAAGGAGTTACGAATGTCGTAATGTGAGGCTTTAGCATATTGAATCGCCTGACTGGATGTGAAGGAGAGTTTGTTAAGTATTTTGAAAAAGAAGATAAGGTTAAGTTTGAGTCTCCTCTTCCATAAGGGGTCAAGCCCTAGTTTATATGGAAAATGTTGCGTTTAAACAAATCCACAACTGTGGATAACCGTTACAGTAATTAAAGTACAGTGATTACAATGACAAATACAATGATAAGTACAAGAAACATTATAAATATATGTGAACGTTTCCGAATGTTACAGAACAACTTGCGTTACAATTTAAATGTGAAAATTGTTAAGGATACAACTGCTTACTGAATATAAATAAGTAGTATAAAACAATAAACAAAGAAGTGAAAGGAGAGCGAGTAGGAATAATGTAAGACAAACTTAACACCTTCATTTTGCATTTTTATGTAACGACTAGGTACTGAGTATTTAGAAGTAAAACTAATTTGTTTGTTTAATTTAGTATAGCATGGGGTCTGTTACTTAATTTGATATTTGTTGAAATAAAATAAGCAGTATTTTATTCTACCGACATACAGCTTTTAACACTTACTCACTTAACCCGCGTATTTTTCAATACGAAGTGAACGAAATCACATCTGAATACATGAAGATATTTATAGATTCTTCGTAGCTACAATGATGTAGGGCATATTTGTTCAGGTAGTTCTTCACAAGTAAAAATATCTGAATGACCATTGTAAGCAAACTCCTGTACATATACTATGGTTTTCCTGTTCATCTGTCGAGTGTCTTTGAGAACTCTCGGAAGTAACTCACAACAATTAGTCTAAAACTTTAAATGGTTGAAATACAATATACAATTTAAGTCATGAAATAGAGGATTTGTGACAACCAGTTAAATCATTGATTTCATGATTTTTTCAGTTCACAACTTGTAGTATATTATTGATTCTTCATGTGTCACAGATATTAGACTTTACTCATATTTTTGACCTAAAGTAGATCTTGATATACTTACTTTTACTGGGCATTTTTTTCAATGAAATAACTTTTTTATATAACTACGGATCTGTTTAACCATGAAAGGTCAATAAAATGTGATTCAGAACCGGCTATATTCAAAGAAACAATTACTAACGGAAACAACTGTTTACCTGGTGATCGTGTTCTAGCCACATCTGCCCAACGCTATCATTTTAGCCATCAGAAGCAACAAATGCTAGCTGAAAATAAGTAAGTTACAGACATTATATATATATGCAGAGAGAGTTTGTGTCTAAATTAATATCATTATATTTACCTGATTGTCACTTGAATACAAAATACAATCGCAAAGACTATGTACTTATTCTAAACCTCAAATTCAAATAAGATTTAACTCTTCGTCGGACCTAGATGTTCTAGATTTAATACCTTGAATCCACACTCCTGTGGAGTTCCAAATCGAAGTGAAACAAGTTTTCATGTGATGTCATAGTTTGACTAAAATGACTTGATTGAATTAATTTCTTCCATCATTAATGTATAATTTATGATTGTGTCTTTTATGCAAAATTTAAGTACTAATTGACTTGTTTTTGATTTATTTGTAGTTATAGATGCTTTTAAGGTATGTTTTTAGACTTAAACTCCAAACCATAATTTATTTCAAGTAGTTGGGACATGTATTTCGTGTGTTCAACTACCTCTTACCTCAATGAGCAACGTTAACTGATACAGGATTAAGTTTAACACCTATGGACAGCTAAACTGAGATGTAGCATTAGCCTATGAATCGATGACTGGTGGACTGAACAGTGTTCATAGGTTCAGAATACGCGGTTTAGGTCAGCTCAATAATTGTAATCAGTAGTTAGATGTATTGGTTGACATGAATCAGAATCAGTTGCAATGATTCATATGCGTTCACTCAAGCTGTTTATCCCACAAATTTGATCTTCCTCAAATCTTATTGTCTATGCCTAATCCTTTCTGCTACTACTGGCACTGTTTCTACTTTTGGCACTATGGAATTTGTTTTAATAATTGTATCTCTCTCTACTGATACCATTTAGCCGTTTGAAATGATACACATATGTCCTAGCTTGTAAATCGCTTATTACTGAATGACAAATCTTTGTCATATAGTACACACAATTTCACAAAGATTGCATAGTTCTGAAGAAGTAAAACAAAAAGTAATTGCGTCAAAATATTATATATATATCTATCTGTATTTTAATATGATGGGAATTTTTCAACGAGTATAATATGACATGAAATACCTCATATAGGCAAATTTAATAATGATAAAGGCCGTGACAATTCAAATTATCAGTATATGATTGTGGAGATTGTCAAGTTTAAATTGATATCAAACATGGGTGAATCCTGCATGCGGGATTGTGGATGCGCACCGCTGAGTTGTCTTATACTAGAATGAAACGGCCGTCCAGTGCTTCCAGGTTTTCAATAGTGGTCTAACATTGATCCATTCATGATATCAATTTAAATCCAAGTTATGTTTCATTCACATAGTTTAGCTTATTAACCTTAAGAAAATAAACATATATTTGAACGGAATTCATTTCCTTTCGATAGGTTCTCATCACCTAGTTACAACTTGTAACACTTAAAAATCAAAATTACGAATAAAGGTTAACATACAAAATAGATTTGGTTATTATCAGTTATTATTATCGGTTAAGTGCTCTGGCGCGAGACTGATAGGTCCTGGGTTCGAATCTCGCGAGTGCGGGATCGTGGATGCGCACTGCTGAGGAGTCCCATAATAGGGCGAAACGGGCGTCCAGTGCTTCTAGGTTTTCGATGGTGGTCTAGCTTCAATTGACTCATGACCTCAACTCTATAAAATTAGATTTGGTTAGTTTTGAATATGTATTATTACGGTAGACCAAAAATGTTTTTAGTTTAACGTAAAACATGTTTTAAATAAAATGTATGAGTAAAACAAGAACAGCAAAATAAAAACAGTGAACAGGATAACAACCAAAGATGATAGGACTAAGAATATTGATTACTTAGTGAAATACTTAAATACAGCTTATTGTTGATAAAGAATAACTTTAGTTGAGTTTATTCAGTCAAAAATAAATTAATGAACTAGGCAAAAATTGGAAATAAGCGAGAGAGAGAGAGAGAGAGAGAGTACAATTATTTCTTTTACAATATATAAATACATCATTGACTTCAAAAAATGTAAAAAAAAGCCAGATCTTGGTTTTTTCATAATCAATGTGAACAAATTCAAGACATCTACTAGATATCCTTTTTCATTAAAATGCCACGAAATTCTTCATTCCGTTCGACCGATGACCTCTTGAGATATCTTTAATGGAGTCTAATATAGGTCCTTGTTTCTGATTTCACAGTAGGTAGTATCATTATTAATGCTGAAATGATTTTCTAAAACATCTGATGAACAGAAGGAAAAGGGTTATTTCAGTGAAAACTTGTTTCATCCCTATGACAATACTATCATTTTATGCTTTTAAAATTTTTTAAGTATTTACAATACACTATCAATAACTACACGTATAAAAAATCTGGATTAGTGGTCACGAGGTTTAAAGAAGTGTCCCACAAAAGGAACGAACAATTATGGGTGGACTAGTAAACAGTAATTTACGATAAAAGTGAAAAGTTAGTATGTTGTCAGTTATCATTATCACTACTGGGATATAAGTGCATCACGGTGTTAATATTACTTCACAGGCATCTCATCATAAGTAATGATAATTTCGGGTACTGGTTGCTTGTCAAGTGAATACAATCACTAAAAGTCGTTAGACTAACAAAAAGGTACAAGTCCACTCATTTAAGCTTTATATGGAAATAATGTAAGTGTAAATTAATTTAATTCTTTTGTAGCTTTCCGGTTGTTCCTGAAAGAGGCAATAGCCCACCCAAAGTGCTATACTCCGATCTAAAACTTGTAAGTAAACACAAGTTTTGGTATTAATCTAACTAAATTTATTCTCGTCCCAGAATACTTTTCTTTGCAGTAATGACTTACCGAAACAAATGTATCAACCATTAATTTGGTAGAGTAATAAACAACCCATCCCAGCTAACCTGAAAAAGTAGTGCACTTTCTTTACTATTAGATAACAAGTGGAAGAAAGATCTAGGTTACATAATTTTCATTATTCATAGCCAATGTCCGAAAAACTAATTTTTTTTTTAAAGTTTGAGTAAGTAAGTTTAAGTAAGTCAGTACACTGATATTTGAATGGCACGATTTTGAGCATTTTATCTACATTTACGGCTTTTTGTTGTCTGCCTCTAGACCTTTAACAAAAGAATATTTAACAGTTGCTTGGTTTTCTCTTATCAATAATATCTGATCGCAAAGTTTTTGCTGGTAGTTTGACGCCCTTATTCACATAAAAAAATTATTTACGTGTCACACGAATGTACGATTTATCGAAGCACAATAACATAATCCAAACTATCTTCAAATTTATCCTGTCACTGAGTAAATCAAAATATCGACACGATTGTGAACTCAACGCAAATACACTTCGACGAAGTTGCGTTAAGTCTCCAGTATCCCTTAATGAAAACCCTAACTACTGTGAAGACGAGAGAAACTAAATGGTATAATTCTCTCTTTCACTGACAATAGCACAGATGAAAACGCGTGTATATTGATAGACTTTCCAGCGCCGTTGAGAATTAGACATTTAGGCCGTGAGTTTGTACGGCCTGATTCAGTTGTACGTACGCAGTTTAACGATTCAAAGTGATGATTGTAAAATATCGATCATTTGGTAAATTTGTGTCTCATTTTAGGAAAATAGTACAATTCTCAACACATTCGTTTTTATATAATTTTTAAACATAAAACTGTCAGCAAGGTGTGGAATGAACCCCGCCTGTAGCTCTTCTAGGATTACTGCCGGTCCCAAGCTAATATAAAGGAAGAGGGTCGAGCATTGGACCAGCAACCGCATCCCGTTGTTACAAACTTAATTACTCCTCTCTATGTACCTGCGTTTATACACAATCAGTAAACCCAATGGGATATGATGTAATTATTTATGCGATCTTGAGACTTATGAGGAATCATATGATTATTTTTTCAATAATAATCGATGTGGCATCGTATGTTTACGCTTGGTTTGATACATAATTGGTAATGTAAAGACTGACCAAAATCAATTGTAATAAGGAGTCATTTTTGAAGGTGCTTAAAAGATGCTTCATTTTTCATACCTGTAGACGTGGTGTAAATTTGTCAATGTGATTTAGAAAGTGGGAAAATATAGATCTCACTGAAACGTGCTTTGTCATCCAACAAAAAATTTATAATATTCACATCACATAATGCTTCTCGAATAGTCAATTACGTACAGCACGTTAAATTTTTTTGACTAATAAATCTATTAGTCTCAGTGATACGGAGATGAATTTTTTAATACCAAACAAATGTCCAAACTTTGTTTACAATTCAGTCATCCTGCTGGAGTCAGTTAATCACTTATAGGCCAAAAAGTATAACTAAAAACATATTTATTTGACCGATTCCGTTTATATACATGTATATATTCTATGATAAATATTAATTGTATAACTGTTTTGGATGCAGGCTGAGAAATTAGAAATTGAGAACCCAGGTTTCAAAGGACCTGCGGAAAACAATGATAATCACTCCACAACATCAACAAAAAATCAATCTGCGACACAGTAACAATTTATTACAACATATTGATCCGCAAGTCTAGATGCCAGAAGGCTTTTTGGCCACCTTTAGTACATTTAAAGAAACTTCTCCCGGTTTGTGTATTGATAATTATATTTCTTATCCTGTACTTGTTATTGGGTATATGCCGGAACAAGAAAAAAAACACTTGTATGAATAACTATTGTCCCAATTTACTTTTGTTGTCTCATTAATTATTTTATTTGTTGCATGTATTCTAATAACATGAATAGCTATAATATAAGATCACTTAGATTATTCCTGGATATTTTTCAGTTGACTGCTGAAATGCCTTGATACTGTGTCTTTGCGATAACAAACACATTAAAGTGCTGTTTGTTTCCTCGAACTGCATAACTCTAAAGAAAAGTGCTTCACCATTTGTGTGTCAAGTCTAATAAATCAGTTTTTAAAGTTACGACAAATGATGTTAAAATAAAAATAAAAAACTGAAAAATTAGTTCAGGAGTTTTTATTTCAATAATGTTCTATTGCTTGACATTTTTGATACTTTAGATAGATAAAAAAAGATCTATTCAGTTACAAACTCGAACTGATAATGAGGAAGTGTAGAGACAGATTTCAGTTTATTATGGTTTGTTAAAAAGTAAAGAATAAGAATTAGAGATTGTCCAAAAAACACATTTTGGATCATCATGCTGTTTATGTTCTAATGGAACCAATAGGGCTCAAAGCGAGACACGAATTAATCAATGAGACTGGATGGGATTCGAACTATATTACGAATTAGCTGAGCTTGAAAATTTGGATTTAAGTATATTGACTTAATGGTATCTATTGTTTATGAAATATGAATGTTTGGTATTTTATCTCGTATTAGTCACATAGTTCTGTGGAACTACAAAATAAGGTGACATACTTACCTACCTTTTTGGGTGGCTCCTGAAATTATGTCAGTGTTCACGATGAAAACTACACTCAACATACACAAAATCAATAAAATAATATTATATTTACGAGGAGAAAATTTACAGATTGCTTAAGACATGGAATAGATAACAAGAACTAAAACTGGACCGAATAATAAGTAAATTGTCCATATGTATCAATATGCGTAGTAACAAAATCAGTGAAATTTATGTTGTGAAAATTTAAATAGAAACGGATTTGAATATTAGGCACTTTGAGTCATAATATAACACATGTTTATTTGTTAATGAAATCTGTTATCGGCTTAAGTACTAAAAAGATATTTAACTGTCTTCATTTTGTGTGAATAATTTTGGTTGTCTAAATTAAACAAATAGTGCTTTTGCTGGTTAAATGACTTAGCTAGAAAAATATTGATGAATATAAAACTCAGTCATGATCTGATAAAGATCTTACCCAATCATCTGTAGATCTCTCTGCTAAGCATGAAGCTCATCAATAATTTCTAAAGATAAATACCTGAATCTCAATCTTAGTATTCTCTCCTCAAAATTAACCAGTTATTTAAATTCATTTAGTGTTGTTTGTTTGAATCTTCCCATTGATGTGTTAGGACTGCAACTGGTCAGTCTCTAATTGGCATATGTGCATACTGTGCGTATTGCCTTGATATAGCCTTAATTCACAAGCATGGTAAGCAGAGATGGATAGTGGCTAGCAGTGGAATCCAGCCTGACGCGCGTTTCGTCCTATTTGGAACTCGTCAGGACTCAGTGGCCGAGTGGATAACGCGATGGCGTTTGAAGCGAGGGTACTGGGTTCGAGTCCCAGAGTGAACATCGACTCTGAGATTCAGGTACATCCAGCTGACGAGTCTCAAATATGACGAAACGCGCGTCCTGGATTCCACTGATAGCCACTATCCATCTCTGCTTAACCAGTTATTTGTTTAGATTTTTCCTGGAGGAGAATATTTGTGAATAATGAGGATAATAATAATATATTCTGAAAATAATATTTACAGAATTCACACCAGTTTACAGACATGATCAATTTGATATAAATAACAACATTTGATGTAGAGAACAAATATGTGATATAAGAAAGTTTTATGTTTGCTGGTTCAGTAATTGATAAGTAGTTTATTTATGACATGTATCATGGCAATCCAATGCATCAGCAGGGAAGTTTTAATTTTTTTCTTAAGTGGATAGCCTGATGATTTATGAACGTTGTACTTTAAGGTTATTTCCAGTGCGAGAGCGAGTTGTTGATAAATATTTACAACTAGAGAAAGTAATATTAAAGCAGAGAGCAAGGAACAACAAAACAATGATTGCCAAAATAAGTCTGTCAGGTTTACCACTGTTCATGTTAGATATTATTCAAACGAGTTGAAGTTGCTAGTAACAGTGATAATGTTAGTGGATAAACATTTAAAGTTCCTATAATCTCACTTGTGGAGTAAGATACATTTACAGGCGCTAGGGCATTTATTGCATTTTCAGAAGAGTAGGGTGCATCAAGGGAGCAAACGAATAGTGGGAGAGATTTTATCGTAGGGATAGTTTGTGGTAGATTATTCCAGAGTCTACAAAATTTACAGGTAAAGTAATTCATATAGATAGAAGATATAGAATATGATTGTTTCGCTAAAGACAAACAGTTACGAACGTCGCAGTGTGAAGTTTCTGCATATTGAATATTGAAGAAGAAGAAGATAAGATTTAGTTTGAGTCTTCTCTTCCATAAATGGTCGAGTCCAAGTTTATTACGCCTAGAATTATATGTCAAGGTACAATCAGTTCCAAGAGTAAGAAGTGTAAATCATCTCTGTACTGATTCCAGCCCTAATTTATCCTTTATGCGCGCGCTACTAAGACTAAACTCGCAGTATTCAAGGAGTGGTCGAACACAAACTTTGTACACTAAAATACGTGATTCGTTGTTATAAAGGTTCCGAGTTATGTAACCTATAAGGCGTTGAGACTAAGAAGTTTGTTTCATTATCTGTTCGGTAAATGACAAGTCGTAGGTGTACCTAACTCCCAGGTCTACTACTGTGTGTAACCTAGATAACACTTCACCATTTATGGTAAGATAGAGGTTGAGTGATGTGTCACCGAAGCATAGCCATGCACATTCAGCTCTTACATAATTCCTGATTTATACATCTAACCTTACTTAATTCTTTTTCATCGACTTGAGTGTTTTATGAGTTAGAATTATTCACTAATCTCCTAGCATAACTAAAGATTCTGTTAGCTAATTCTCGCTTGAATTATTGGTATACTATTTGTATTGTCTTTGAGAATTGTCATTTACAAACATCCAACTTTCAGATATTTAAGTTTTTCAGTACCTTCTTTATGCTTGTTTTTGATAACTCTAATGTATTTATCTTTCTCGCCTTTATTTTGACATGAGTAGTCAACTCGATATGCTTCAAAGCTTACTACTACTACTACATCGTATTATGGCTCTTGAAGACAACTTATAAAGCCTCTGACCTGAAGATCGAAGTAAGCCTACGACAGGAAAGAGAAAGGTAAATATATCAGGTAGATATAGCACAAGCCGCAAAGTAGAAAACTAACTACGATTATGTAATGGTAAAATCTTACCAATCATAGGAAAAAGACTAGATCCTGTTAACGATTTAGCAAGTTTTAAGAAGTACCGTATGATAATGATTTAATGAAGTAAGAGGTGAAGAGACACTGCCACAAGTACGAAAATCGATGACAACATTATAATAAGAGTTTGTGCGGCTGCCTTAAGTGACTAAATGTAAACATAAATACTCAAGATTTAGAAATAGACGAATATAAATCAAACTACTTATTGCTAATACGTAGCATAGTGTAACACACAAAACATCAAGTAAAGAAGTAATATAGTTTGGAAGCAAGATACATTTAATAGCATGAATTTCACTATTTTATTATATATTTTTTCAAATGGAATGTCTGTATCTATAAAATTCAAATGATTGAATCTGTCACAGAAGTTAGTAAATTTTTATTAAATTGCTCCTAGACGAAATACACAAGATAATGAAATCAGTAATATGAAGTTGTAAAAATTTACTGAACAGTTAATACAGTGAAATGGCATGCATAAAACGCATTTAAGTTGTTAGATTTATTGTTTTCTGATAACTGTAATTAAAAAAAACTGCCTTTATCATATCAATTACGCTGCCGCACTTCCAAATTATTTACACATTATTTGTACTAAATACCAGCATTCTTACTTAAAATGATGTGGTTGAACACAATGAGCTTATAAATTTCCCAGACATAGAGTACTCAGATACTGAAAACAAATAATAATAATAATAAATGTTCTCAGGTCTTCAGTAACGTTCAGTAATATCATTCCACCTAATCGGCCGTAATATTTATCTTGAATTCGGCAGATAGTTGGCAGTTCGTATATTTTGAGGTTTCATGAATGAGTTCGTTACTCAATGAATAATGCTCTGGAATCGACTGTGGTCGCTTTATTAAATAATCTTTCGCTTACTCGAAGAAGTGAAAATATACGTTTTTTTTCCACTATGTTCAGGAGGTCTAAATACAGTGAAGTAGAAGAAAGAAAATAGGTAAAAGAAAAGGGATCAATAAGTAGACAAAGTGGTTCGTAACGAGTAAGGAAGGAACGATAATGAATGAAGTAGTGGCTTGTATCATCAGTTCATCTCAGTGGAAAAAATTGTACAACGCTATGTGTACAAGCACCTAGTTATTCCTTAAAGTTGCCCATTCATGTTCCACCATCTGTCAGCTAGCACAGTATTCTGGTGAACATATATAACAAGATAGCCTCACATTTTTCTATAACTAGACGAAGGTATTCGTAGCTCACAAAGACTGTATTCGTATGTTTTTCCATCAACCAAAAAATCTTTATGGTGCACGTTCTCCTATTTTTCCTAAGAAATTCTCATGTACACTAATCAAAAATGCAATAACCTTTTGAATTTCAAAGGTCACATATAAGTCTTACATTTAACAAGTAACAACTGGGAGATGAAAAGATTTATCACCTTAGTTACAAAATAGACTATCATGTTAGCTTTTTCTGTGTGACTTGGATATTCAGTTCAGCTGTTTAGAGTTTTTGCCAGAGGTGGACATAAATTATTCTTTGTTGAAGTATGGCTGAGTTAACGACTACAGAAGATGGATTTAGTTTATTACTATTCATAGGGATGAAAGATCATGTTCAATACTTTTGCGGGTAAAAGGTTAAATTGTTACCGTTCTCGATCCTCCTGTTACGTTCAGATATATAAATAAGTAATTAAGCAATTTAAAATAACAGGGAGTTCAATTTTTAAAGCGATTGTCCTTTTAAACCTAATAAAAATGAGAAAAGTCATTTAAATTTAACTTATTTTTATAGATATTTAGAGAGAATTGTTAAAAACCGAGATCTGTAGATGAGTAGAAGATAAGAAAATGCATAGGAAAATACGTATCAATTATAAATAATCCTACTAATTGATGAGTCTTCCACTTGAATGCTTGTTTCGGACTTTCTAGCTGGTTCCTCAATCTC